CCAGCGGTCGCGGGTTCGAGTCCCGCTGGAGGCATTCATTTGTGTGATGACGAATGTTTGTACTCCAGTCATGGGTGTTTATATTTATAATATTATGTATGTATTTAAAGTTATATATGTGTAGTGTATCAACTATCTGGTATCCATAACACGAGCCTCGTAGCTTACCATGGAACTAGATGGTGCTGTGTGTTAATGTCCCAACATAATTTTTATTTATTATTATTACTTATATCTATTTTTAGGTAACCTAACTAGCCAAACTTAAGTCATATTTAAATAGAATTATGCGTTTGATTTATTATAAAACATATGTTAAGAATGTTTTGGAAATTTTCGCGTGCTTATAGACAGAAAAATAGCAGGGACTTGGTGGTCTAGTTGGTTGATGTGTGCCTGCAGAACCGCAGGTCTCGGATTCGAGTCCTGTGACAGGACCATTTTAAATGAGTTTTTCACAACCGGGAGTGCAATAATAATCAAGTCGATCTGTTTATGGAGTTAGAAGAAGAGTAGTGGAACTTTTTATTAGTTTGTACTAAAACTTTTGAGTTTTGAGGAGTCCCATACATTGCAGTTGGTCGAAAGCTTTTTCTTTGATTTTTTAAATCATAATTATTATTATAGTACCTTACAAAGCTAATAGAATTATATTTAAGATACTTTTTTTCTTGAGCGAAAACAATCAAAATTACTTAAACATTTATTTATATGTATACTTTTTTAAGTTAAAAAAAATCGGAGGTTAGGAGGTGTTAACACCTCCAGGTACTAAGAAATTAAATAAATTTCTAAGAAATCTATTGTTAACTGTAACGCCGGCGTGTCCGCGGTCGTTGAGGGATTAAAATTAAGAATTAAATTTAGTACAGGCGCGTGTAAAACCGTACGTAAATAGATGCAAAAATTTGAAAATTACCCGAATAAAATCATAAATTGCAAATTATCTTTACACTTTGTATTTACTGGCACCGCTTCAAGACTCTTGACGCTAAAAGCTCGTTGGCAATGACCGCGAGTACTGCATTAAATTATAGAAGATAGCGAAATAGACCACTATTTCTATACCTACTTGGTGTCACTTGCGAAAAAAAACGTATGTGTGTACTTATGTACGTAAGAAGTTATACTTCTTTGGCGTAACAGAACAAAAAAGCTAAAGATTTCATCCTGTATGTCACAACTCTCTGTAAAAGAAATTCAGCTAACTTCATCATGTCTGGTCTGATCTAACTGATCGAATCTAGATAAAATTTGACATAGAGATAGATTATAGCCTGAAATAGCACATAGGCTACTTTTTATCCCGGAATAATGAACAGTTCCCGTGGGATAGAATGTAAATTGGACTCGTTTTGCGTACTTAGACACGCATTTGGTCTGTTGTATGTAAGTCCTGTGGAATAGATTTGTTTTTATTTTTCCCTATGGATGAAACATTATTTCAAAGCATGCCAGTTGAGCACAGATTACTTCGCCAATGTCACATAGAACGGAGAAAACAACATAGTATGTCAAGATGGGCCATTTATATTGACACTAGCAAAACCCGCAGCTTCGCTCATGCTAAAACTACAATAAAATACCTAAAAAGGTAGTTTCATACAAATACTTATCCCCTATTTTAACCCCTAATAGAATGAATTACGAAAAATGCTAAAACACGTATTTATTTAATTTTATTAGAGAGCATTAATACTAAGTTTCAAGTAATTCTGATCATAATTTTTTTTTAGATTGTAATATAACGTGTTTTCCCGTGGGAATTAGATTATCTTCCGCGGTAAAAAGTAGCCTATGTCACTCTCCAGCCCTCCAACTCGGTTTCGACGTGAAAGAAGGACAAACAAACACACTTTCACATTTATAGTGTTAGTATGGATACCACACGTGCAAACTGCAGACTCGCCACAGGTAATAAATTAGTGAGACATATTTATTATTAAACCAGTGTCTAGTCAATCTTTCATAACTGAGGTGGAAGGATTATGCATTAAAGCTAATATGCCCTTATCAGATTGTCAACAGTAAATCTGTGTAATCAATAATGATAAAAATGATGAAATATATAAAACTTTCATGGCTTCAAATATACTGGAAAAGTTTCCTGAGCAGGAAATGAAATTAAATTTATAAGAACATTTAAATGTAGATCATAACTAAAACACTGAAGGTTTTATTTTAATGGCTAATTAGCTTGGTTCCCCATACAAACTTTTATCTCCATTTTCACCCCCTTACGGGATGTTTTCCGGGATAAAAAGTATCCTATGTCCTTCCCAGGGTCTCAAACTATCTTCTTACCAAATTTCATCTAAATCTGCTCAGTATATCCAGAGATTACCCCCTACAACGTCACAAACTCACAAACTCAAAAACATTACCTGTTTATAATATTAGTACAGATATGATAAATAAGATATAAAGACAAGTAGCACATTGTGTAAGTGGGACCATTTACTATAATATGTCTTAGTTAGACCACAAACACTCACTGAAACAGGGTTGTAGCAATATAGCTAATTTAAAACTACTACTTAGTACTATAACAGAAAATTTGAGTAATGCCTTTATAAGTTTTGAATTGTGATAAAATCATGAGTGCCACAATCCATGGAATTAAGAATTGTGGTGTTCTAGAGTTAGTCAAAATGCATTGTGGTCGCTTCTTCACACAGTGAACGATTCCGGTCTCTACACCTAACATTGCATAATATGTTAATTTCTTAAATTTTTGGAGAAGGACTGAAAAAATCTAAAACTAAGAGCAGAGTATGAGTCCGAGTTAATAAGCAACTTCAAAATGTCATGACTTAGTCACATGTAGGAAATATTTAATTCAGTAAAATATTTATAGTTTGAAGATTGTACAATGGTAACTGTTTTAAAAACAATCTTCACAATTGTATATAACAAAAAGGACTTTTATAATATGAACTCCTATAATATGAATCACCTCAGCTAAGTTTCCTCGTGTCAATATCTTTTACTGTTTTAAATGATGTAATAACCACTAAGCCAAATAAAAAACTCGCCAAAATTAGATGCATATGCATTTTCTTACACAACTTCTAAAAAGCACATATAAAACTTACATCGCTCATATAAGGAGTCCAGTCGTGGTTTCCAGCTTCCCATTCTGGCGGAGGCTTCTTCTCACGTAATCTATTTATTATAGTTGCATCAGAATCATCATTAACTATTGTGCGATCAAAATCAAACACTGCTAAAGAAGACATTTTAAATGTGCGCGCGCACTGAACCGCCGACGCGAATGTACTGCGGTGCGGATTGCTTGCGACAAGGGCAAGGCTAAGCTTTCATGAAAATAAGGGGCATGACACCTCTGTGATTTTGCCATTGTAGAATTTTTTGGACAGTTTTTTCTCAAAAGCCCGAAGATTTGAGCGGTTTGACGTTTCCATTTTTGATAGATGTCACTGTCATGTCTATTCTACTACACTGTTCAGAAACATAGATTTAAATAAATAATTGCATAAAATTTTATAAAATATCATTAGATATTTCAATTTCGTAATCGGAAAAGAAATAATATTACAAAATTGCATTCTGTAAAACTAGTTGTTATATATTGTAATTTTTATGTCTTATCAACGGCACTAATTTCTAATCATTGCGTGTAAAGTGACCATAAAAAATAAATGACAGTGTTCTTGGTCTATGAATGACAGATAAAGAATTTGATTAAAATTTATAACCTCATACGGGCAATCTCGTAAAATTATTCGAGAGATTTATATTTATTATATATAATGGCCTCATTAAAAGTTTATACAGTGGGCAGATTAGCCAGATATTTGACTGATTCTTCTTTGACGAGTTTGCGGACGAATATCTACAGGTACGTTGCGCAACTTATTCCAACCTTAAAATTTACAGTCGCAGTTGAATTAGAACTTTTTTATTACTGCTTAAATAAATAATGTGAAGTTCGTTTTATAAAAATATATTTCATACTATATGAATAACTCTATTTTGATTTAATAACAAAACCATTGTAATATTTATTGATATTTCATCATTATCTCACATTTAGACATTGTAACTATAAAAAATATATTTCTAAAATTATATTGATAGCTTGCCGTATCCTTAACTGATTTTTATATAAGATAAATAAATTTCCCACATGTATGTACCTATAATAATTTTTTACTAAGTCAAATAATAATTAACATTAAATGTAATTAATTCCTTGTACTATTTTAGAACAATGATATGTAAATATAGTACAGAAGAGAAAGCTGCAGTAAAAGATGATAAGCAGCTACCATCAACTATCGAAGAATGTCACAAACAGTTAGAAAACTTAAACAATGAAGTTGGCAACCTTAAAGAACAAATTAAAGAATACGACGTAAGATATAGCACAGATTATATTATAAATATTAAAAAAAAAACACATTATTATATAAAATAAATATTTGTCATATGACAAACAACATATTTTGTTAATAAAATAGTCTTCTCTTCATGTTATATTTATGATAACCTTAATTTTATTCATTCTAATAAAAAAGCCTAATCTTGCAGAAGCAAGTTTATCTTTTTAATGGTTTACTTATTTTTTAATGAGCTAGAACTGAACTCCAAATATAAAATGTAATAATATTAAATGACAATAGATTATAAATATATTGAAAAAATGTATAATTAGTCCTACATCCATAAAAATTGTATCCATTATGTTATGCTTTTACATAGTAATGGAGTGACAAGTTAACTCGATTTTTTTGCATAGAATAGATAGTATTGTGGGCTCCTTTTACATGAGAAGCCCACAGAATAAAGGCTGAACTGACATAGATTTTTTTTAAGTCAGTACACCTGCCATAATAATAGGGAATGAGTATGATTTATTTTTTATACAATAGCTTACATTAGAAAAAATATCCAGATCCAAAAAAATTAAAATGCAGTATTTTTTTTTAAATATCATACCGATATGGTTACTTAAACCTCCGCCATTTCACGCGCTCGGCGTGACGTCACAGTATGATATACACAGAGAAATGATGACTCAATTTGTAGGCGACAGAATCGCTTATTCCTCTGATAAGATATATGCACTCTGACGTCACATTCGGTCTGACCAATGGCGTGCGTTTCAACTACTATGAATTTCCCACCTGATTTTGCAGTTTTAATAATTATTTTCCCTCCAGTGGTTTTTCCGTGATGCGTTAACAGACAGACAGACAAAAATTCTAAAAACTATTGATTCTGCCTCTGTATCGATAATAATGTCTATTTCAATAAGATTTTACAAAAAAATATTTAATGTACAGATTCGACTTAGTTACAATTTTATTATATGTATAGATTTAGTCCATTTCATTTTTCAGGATAAATATAAAAGGGCATTAGCAGATAGTGAAAATGTAAGGAGACGAATGTTAAAACAAGTTGAAGATGCCAAATCCTTTGCAATACAGAGCTTCTGCAAAGATTTATTAGATGTAAGTATTATTTATTACTACACACGAGTGTTAACCATTATTATTGAAGTTATCCTTTTTTTGGGATGTTTGGAAAACATTATTAGGGTAAAATGTAGTGCGCGCGCACACCGACAGCCAAAAAGCGATATGATGAAGTTAGCTGCATTCCTATTACAAACAGAGAGTTGTGACATTTGGGATCAAATCTTTAGCTTTTTGTTCTGTTATGTCAAAGAAGTATAACTTTTTACGTGTGTACATAAGTACATACACACGTTTTATATATATATATATATATATATATATATATATATATATATATATATATTTATATATATATATAAAATTTCCTATTACAAACAGAGAGTTGTGACATTTGGGATCAAATCTTTAGCTTTTTGTTCTGTTATGTCAAAGAAGTATAACTTTTTACGTGTGTACATAAGTACATACACACGTTTTATATATATATATATATATATATATATATATATATATATATATATATATATATATATAAATACAGTGTTGCATGGGAAATATATATATATATATATATATATATATTTCCCATGCAACATAGTATTTTTTTTGTTTCATTTTTTTTGTGTGGTCTCCTTCAGGTAATAGCTTCATCCATTTTTAGCCATATCATATTCTCAGTGCTTATTTGTCTAAAAACCATTTTACCAAAAGAATTTTTAATACAGAATAATATTTGACCTTTAGATGTCAATTCTATTATTACTTTATAATAATATTTTTACTTTAAAAAAGCTGATAATATGTATATATTGTCAATAAATCTAAGAAATGAAGCTTTTGTTTTTAAAATACAGTCTGAGTACTCTGTACTCTATAAAGTACAACAAAATATGGGTGATTTAAACAAATAAGCACTGAGGCGACGATTTGTCTGTCTGTCTGTCTGTTGTTAACCATTAGGTAAATGACAAACTATATGTCACTTCCAGGTAGCGGACACTCTGTCAGCGGCTGCAGAGAGTGTTCCGGATGGTGTGGAGGGAGAGGGAGCGCCAGCCGCCCTTCGATCTTTGAGGGACGGCCTGCACTTGACCAGGGCACAGTTACAGCAGGTGACTGATTAGCGGTTTGATTTCTCTTTTTTAGAATTCAGTAACTTAAAAGGGAAAAAAGACCCCTTATAAGATCATTTTTTTGTCTGTTTGTCTGTCAAGAACATTTTTCTCAGGAACGCGTTGTATCAAGTTGCAATTAATATCAAATCTGAGCCGAGGTACTCTGTAAAAGCTAATGGAGTAGATTAAAGTAGTATTTATTTAAAAAGAACACCTGATAAATACAAGTATTATTAAAATTACAATTCAAATGGTAATTATGATCTAAGTTTCATTAGTGGTGAAAGAAAAAAAATTATACCACTGGTCCATACAAAAGGTTGTATTGTCCTTTCATGCTTATAATATTTACTAGTGACTTACACTCGCTTCGCTCGGGTTCATCCTAAGTTTGATTCCCCACACGAACTTTCGTCCACATTTTCACCCCCATATGGGATGATTTCCGGGATAATAACTATCTTATGTCCTTCCCAGACTCAAACTATCATACCAAATTTCATCTAAATCGGTTTAGTAATTCCAGAGATTATTTCCTACAAACAAACTCACGAACTTACAAACTTTACCTCTTTATAATATTAGTATGATATTTTAATTCCAGGTGTTCAGTAGACACGGGCTCGTAGTGGTGTCGCCGTTGCGGGAGAAGTTCGACCCGAACCTACACGAAGCATTGTTCCAACAAGTAAGTTTTTTTAATAATTATATTCAGGGCATACCAAATGTCTCATTATACGGTTAATTTTCGTTTATGGAACCTAATCTCGTCTAAAACCGGTTGAAAAACGTAACCGAAAACGAAAAGCCTTTTTTATGAAAAGGTTTGGGGTCCATAACCAAAACCGGTTTAAAAATTAAACAAATTTCTCTGGTGTGTTTATTATTTAATTTCTTAATTAGGGGTTATAATTGTCTCAGTTCAAAACTGGTTAATTTTTTACAAGCTTTTATTTAACTTGCAATTTTTGTATATATGTATGTTTGTTTGGGTCAAATCTCAAAGCAACAGAATTTTAATGCAGTTATCCTCAACTGATTGAGCTGAAATTTTGTATTCATGGCTAGCTAAGTGACGTCATTTTAAATTCAATATGGCGGATTCCCAAAGATGGCGGACTATGTTTTTTTATGCACCCCCATGATTATTTGTAACCGATTTCATTGTAGGAGGTGGAAGGTGCAGAGCCAGGAACAGTAGTGGCGGTGAGCAAGGTGGGCTACAAGCTGCACGAGCGCTGCGTGCGCCCCGCCCTCGTGGGCGTCGCAAAGGGCTCCTCCTAACAGTGTTGCTACATCACATTATTTAATTGTACGCTAAAATGTGCTTGTATGTTTTGCCAGGTACGTATGATGAAGTTGTGTTGGGTGTTTCATATTTAAGATTGTAGTTGAGTTTGTTCTTTTTTGGTATAATTATAATGTATATAACAGGTTTTAAGAAGTTAAATTGTAATTTGTTATATTAATTTTTTAAAGAAATTGCTATGGAAGGAAATAGTATGAAAATATATTTTTTAACTTGGCAACACTGTATCAAAATTTTAGTACTACAAAATTAGGGAACGCATCCATTCTACGTGACTCGTTCAGGGGAGGAGGGGGTCTTCAAAATACCGTCACTGATGGGGGTCTCAGGTCTTTGTCTCGTGGTCAATATCCTCTAGGGAGATGAGATCTCCCGTTTTTTCGAGCTATAAAACTCACTTTTAGTATTTTATAACACAAATATGAGCCACTTTTTTTTAACTTTCTGTTTGCAAAAAATGATTTAAAACCATATTTATGAATTATTACGTGAAAAATAGAGGGGCGGGGGTTGTGCCTTTGCATATACTACGGGTGGTCACCGAGGGGAAGGGGGGGTTTAGTGTTTAAAAATTACAAAAAATGGGTCACGTAGTATGAAAACGCGCCCCTTTGTTATTTTTAATTTAAAATAACTATAGATGTTATATGACTGGGATATATACTGTCATATATATATATATATATATATATATATATATATATATATATATATATATATATATATATATTTCTTGTAATGCAAGTAAAGTTTTAGAACATTTGTAGTAATTTCTTTTGTTTTTTTTTCACAAGTATTTACGTTTTTGAGCAAGTTGCATTTGAAATATGATATTTAAATACAACATATCGTTATCTCAGTGTTTATTTGTTCAAACCACCTATACTTATTCTACTTAACAGTAGAGGGATTCTTTCCTGTATTTTAAAAATAAAGCTTTATTTCTAAGATTTACGCGGTAAAGATGATTTGATTTAAGATAAAATATATATCTTTACCGCTTTTTTAAAGTACATACATACAACATAAAAGTAAATAATTCTGTACTAATATTTCTTTCGGTGAATTGGTCGTTTGGACAAATAAACAATGAGACGGATATATTATGCGGATATTCAATTTGTCTTATAGTACAGGAGATAGCGTGGCGTTTCTTGTACGAGTTATATACCCAATTATAGGAGTATTATGTATTTATGATAACATATACAGACAACGCCATCTCTTGGCAAATTTTATTACTAGTTAGTCCCCCGTCCTTTCGCATTTATAACAGAATAAAAAATTTGATATTATTTTGCTAATGCTGAATTCATTATTAATAAAGTTTTCTTAGATTTACGCCATTTCGACATATCAAATAAAATTTCGAAAAATCTTTTCTGATGTTATAGCGATTTTATTATAAATTTTGGTTCTCAACTGACGTTATACTTTATTATTAAAGAGCATTAAATTTCAGCTAAAACTATAAAATACTATTGAAATGTAACGCTATCTCCTCTCCTAATATGTCGTGGGTTTGAATCCCGCGAAATGAGAATTTGTATGAATAATACAAGTGTTTTCTGTTTACATTATAAGGGAAATGCTGTCCCACACGAATGTCTTTATATTCGGGAATAAAAAGTAGTATATATGTATATATGTTTAATTACAAAATAATCCCTAAATTAAATTAACAGCACAAAGACTATGATAAAACTTTAATAAAAACTAGGTGGAAATGAGGTTTTCTATGGTAACTGTCATCAGACAAACGCCATTTTAACTTTTTTTTCAAAATGTCGGCGCAATATGAAACTGGTATGAATGGATAGAGGACACTTAAATGAACATAAAATATACGAAATATCTTGTTCCAAGTCGTCACGTTTATGAGATATTTCCATATAAGAATTATGGGAACTACATATTTTATTTGAATTCTATCACCATGTTACGTAGTTCACGTTTTAAATGTCTCTAAAAAAGAGGAGGTTATCAATTCGACGCGTGTGTGTGTATAAAAAAAATGGCGGCATTTAGCAATCACAAAATTTCTTACGCCATATGCAATGAAGAAATATCTCTTATATATAAAATTTCCATGTCACAATGTTTGTTACCGTACCTACTCCGAAACGGCTTTACCGATTTTTACCAAATTTTATATGCGTATTCAGTAAATCTGAGAATCGGTTACTATCTATTTTCCATACCCCTAAGTGATAAGGGTGGCCCACGTTAGGGACGAACCTGAGCGGAGCGAGGGTGAGTCGCTAGTTATATATAAAACAAATAAAAATATCTGTATGACGCAAGCCGCTGGCCGGATTATGATGTAACCAACTAAAACCAAAAGAAGTTTTAACAAAAGGATGGGTTTGATATTTAAACATTGTTTTTTTATTCCAAAAACTTAATTTGTAGCCTAGTATGTATTTAGATTTTTAGAAATAGTATCGCAAATAAAAATACTTTTTAAATAATTTTAACTATAGGTTCCAGTCCCAGGTTGGGCTAAGTTTAGTTATGGAGATCTTTCATTTTCTGTTAAGAAATTGTCAATAACAGTCCGGAGTTGGGAAGTTGGCTGTGTGACACGATGTAGTGTTCAAGTGAGAGGGAGAGAGAGTGCGCGTCGTGCGTCTCTCTCCCTCCGCACACCACAACATGTCGCGCACAAAATTGGTCCCCATGACCGGACATCGGTCAGAAATATATTATTATACATATATTCAAAATTACTTTTGCTAGTTGTATTTGGTAATATATAATAATATGAGATGTCAAATTATTTAAAAAAAAAGTATTTTTATTTTTAATTCATTGTAATTTAATATAGTTGTACGAGTGTATGTTACGTTGAATAAATTACATAATTGTTGGCTTCTGTTTTAATTATTGGTTTTCCTTTTTTTAAACCTTCACTAGCTTCACTTGTATGTAATTTTGGTAATCGATTTTAGTCTTGCAATATAGTATCGATTTTAAACTTTGTGAAATTTGGGGGAAGTACAATGATTTGATACCATCGAGCTGATCTGATGATGGAGCTATGAGGTGGATAGTGGTACTCTTCAATGGCAACTAGCAACATCTTCGAGTTTGGTTTGTTTTTGTTCGTTCTATCTAGTCCCGAATACGAAAGATCCCCGTAACATTTAAATCATATTAATTGTCTTACCTTTATGTATGTATTCAGCCCTTTTTAACGTCCCACTGCTGGGCACGGGCCTCCCTTCAATACGAGGGGGATCAGGCCATAGTCCACCACGCTGGCCAAGTGCGGGTTGGCGGACTTCACATGTCTTTCGAAAACTTGCTAAGTTCTCTCAGACATGCAGGTTTACTCACGATGTTTTCCTTCACCGTAAGGCAAGTGGTAATCATGTTAGAAATGATTCGCACATGAAAATATCAGAGGTGCCAGACCCGGGATTTGAACCCGCTTCACTCGGTTTCCCAAGCGAGAGCGTTACCACTGGGCTACCACTGCCGTTAAATAAATAAATATTATAAAATAAATATTTATACAGATAATAAAAATTGTGAAAATAAAACACATAACTATCTTACATAATATTTAATTCACATACACTGCACTATCACTTACGAGTCCATATTCAAATCTAAGCCTGTGGCAGTTTTAGATATAAACCAATCAAAATTTTGCTAGCGATCTAAAATTATTTTTACTTATGATATTATATGTATTTAAAACGTATTTTTGCTTTCATAAGGCGGATATCAATAAAAAAAAATTAATATTTCTTACTAGCGGTAAGAATATGGCTCTAAAAAACACATGAATTTAGCTCTAAAAACTCTATTCATTTTCAATTAACTGTAAAATTATATTTATAGCAGCTTTCAAATAAAAATCTATACAGATAAATAAAAACGAAGGGTCTGTTTGTGATGTCAAAATAAGAGCTTTTTACTGAATGCACAGGAAATTATATATGGTACATACAAGAAAAACACTTTTTTTTTTAAATTTTTGTCTGTCTGTTTGCTCCGGCTAATCTCCGAAACGGCTGGACCGACTTTGATGGGACTTTCACTAGCAGATAGCTGATGTTATAAGAAGTAGCTTAGGCTACTTTTGTTTTAGAAAAAGTATTACGAGTTAAGTTCAAAAAAATTAAGTCGCTAATATCTAGTAAAAAGTTAGTCAAGTGACAACGTCGAAATAATTTATTAGGACCGGCACATAGAAACTTCAAAAAAGTATTTAATTCAATCCCAGTTTTTAATCTTATCCTAATCTTCCAACTTTAGAAGTCGCAGCCATAAAAAAAAAAAGAACAAAAAAAAAACAAAAACAGTCAATTATTTCAAAATCATTAAGAAGTAAATATGATAAAATTATCTAATATATAAAATTTCCATGTCACAATGTTAGTTACCGTACTCCTCCGAAACGGCTTTACCGATTTTTACCCAAATTTTATATGCGTATTCAGTAGGTCTGAGAATCGGCTACTATCTATTTTTCATACCCCTTAGTGATAAGGATAAGGGTGGTCCTCCCAGACCCCACCCCAGGGACGAACCCGAGCGGAACGAGGGTGAGTCGCTAGTTTTATATATATAACACAAAAACTCATTCAAATTCAATTTCAAACTAAAAATTGTAACAAACCAACAAATATAATCTAATAAAGTTCTAAATACTTTCTTAGATTTAGGCGAATATTTGACATTTTAAATAAAAATATCTTTTGGGATATTTTTTTGCGAATTTATTTTGATTTTTGGTTCCCGACGTCTCCATGATCGCTGTAAAGCATTCGAAACGTCGGGAATCAAAAATCAAAATAAATCCGCGAAATAATTCAAAAACGTAGTTTTATCTATACTATTATTATTTTGTAAGTTTGTGAGTTTGTTTGTAATGGATAAACTTAAAATCCGCTGATCCGATTTGAATGAAATTTTGTATGGCGATAGTTTGAGACCCTGGGAAGGACATAGGATAGTTTTTATCCCGGAAATTATCCCTTAAGGGGGTGGAACTTTGTATGGGGAATCAATCATTTCTCAAGTAAGAGATATAAAACTCATCATACCTATGTACACACACACATATATATATATATATATATATATATATATATATATATATTAGTCTATCTATTCCATATTAACCGTTAAAACGTACCTAGGGACGAGCCGCTAGTTTATATGTATATTTAATTTCCTTAGAAAAGGAATATATCTAACTCTGCCACGTTTTAGACTAAATCTTCACAAAATCTAGATCTCCTTAGACCTATTTCAACATCTTAGATATAACTGACAGTTTCATTTTTGTTTCCAATTTATTATCTGTGCACGTAAATACAGAATCGAAATTAAGAAAAAAGGCTTGAATAAAAAAATTTAAGCTATTTTTGAGAATAGTGAATCGATTTGCTCAAGCTTTAAATACTTTTATTTCTTTAGTAAAATCTAACTATAAACCTTAAGAGTTTTAAAACGCTCAAAAGAACATCGTTTTAGTGTAATGTTACAATTAAAATATTCGTCCACAAACTAATACCAAACTCACGACTCACACTTGGCCGGTTTTTAAATTCTTCTAATGACAATTTTATTTTATTACATAATAATAAAGTATTATACAATATTAATACTTAATAACTTTTGATACAAACCTATTTCAAAACCATCTGCATTTTAGAGCTAACTATAGCATAGTGTACATTTTCCAGTCCAAAGATCTATAGATCTTAAACATATAAATCTACATCAGTTATATCTAACTTCTATAGATAAGCTGTCTTTCTACAATTGATATCGCTAATAGAAAGCTAAGATAAAATTATAAAGGAACTAGCGGCTCACCCTTGCTACGCTTCGGGTTCGTCCCTAGTGGAAAACAAAATCAAATCTATCTATCCCACGGGAACCGTTCATTTCTCCGGGATAAAAAGTAGCCTATGTGCTATTTCAGACTATAATCTATCTTCGTGCCAAATTTCATCCAGATCTGTTCAGCTGTTCTGACGTGAAAGAGTAACAAACAAACATCCATCCTCACAAACTTTCACATTTAAAATATTAGTATAAACAAACAAAACATCAGATTACTGAGACGTTTTTAACCGATAAGAAAAAAGGAGTATTCTGTTATTTTAAACCAATTTTACACCAGGGTGGTCCCGATTAAATTTTCTAACAAAAAAAAGCACAATTTCCACCCACTAAAGTGGAATTATAATTTTTTTTTATTTGTATTAAAGTAATTTTTTAAATCATTATTTAGTTTCTAATTAGCAATAACGATTGTAGAATACCATCTTATCTTAACGTTTCTAGTGTCTAAAAACCTTCCTGATACGCTTTGGAGTCTAAACGTGCCTGCAGCAGCTCGAGCTGTCTCCGAGCCTCGCACTGTGGGAAGTTATTTAGTTCATAGTACTGCGGTGCAATTTTGAGGAGCCATTCCGCTGAAAGTGTAATGAGATTGCTTTATTAGTTTTCATATATTATTTACTTGAGACCGATTTCCATAATAGAAGTATACAAGTACTCCAAGTCTATACAGATAAATAAAATTGAAGTGTCTGTTTGTATGGCCAAAAAAACAGCTTTATACTGAATGCTTATAAAATTATAATATATGATGCTTTTAAGAATAACACAATTTTTAAAATTTGTCTCGTGTCTATCTGTTTATTCCGGCTAATCTCCGAAACGGCTGGATTGATTTTGACGGAGCTTTCACTGGGAGATAACTAATGTTATAAGGAGTAACTTGAGCTACTTTAATTTTAGAAAAAGGGAAAAATCAGGGTTCCGCTCAAAAAGCCGCTTTTTCTTTATCAAACGTATTACTAACATATTTTAAAACCCACCCTCACCCTTTTTGTGAACCAATGTTATTTCTTTTAGGGTTACCATGAAAAAAAAAAACATAAAAACTTTTCACACTAAAGCGCGGAATAATTATGTACAATAATTTAAAGACAGCATTTAAAAAGAAGAAAAGAAGGCAGTGGTAGCCCAGTAGTAACGCGCTCGCTTAGGAAACCGAGTGAAGCGGGTTCAAATCCCGGGTCTCGCACCTCTGATAATCTCACGTGTGAATCATTTCCAACATGATTACCACTCGTCTTACGGTGAAGGAAAACATCGTGAGTAAACCTGCATGTCTGCGAGAACCTAGCAAGCTTTCAAAAGACACGCTCAGTCCGCCCAGCATTGGTATGTTAAAATAGTCAAAGGAGTAACAAACATACACACATACAATATTTCACAATTTATACTAGTCATCGATCAAAAAAACACTAGATACACAATCCCATGCAAAAGTTCTCTTATAACTGTCACCAATTGTGTTTAGGTGATTGTTCTAGTTGAAATAAATATACAACAATGTAAATTGAACCTTAAATGCAATACTTAAAGGTGTTTTAATAATTAAAAATTAAAAGCGCGCTCAAATGTTCAAATGAGCGCTCATTCGATGAGGACATTTTTTGTCGCTATTTGTGTATCTAGTGCTTTTTTGTTCGAAGTAGTAGTCCAATGTTTTACAATAAGAAATTCCCAATATACGAACACAACAAAAATCCATACAAGCAACAGGGACTCACGTTTAATATCAGTGACAGTCCTTATATAATTCTTGGTGGTGAGAACAAACTCGTTGTATATGACCCAGTCCGGTTTGTGGTCGAGACAGGTGGAAGGGTGCAGCTGTACCACCTGGTTGTCCTTCACAGTGAGGTAGTGTCCTGTTCGTTCTAGATGGGCCACCTGGAATTATATAAAATAGAGTTTATTACAATGAAAAGTATATGTGTCACATACTATAATAACGTCCATATGTATCTATCCCACGGGAACCGTACATTTTACCGGGATGACATAATATGTTATGCTATATTATAGCATATAGCATTTCTGAATAAACGCGTTATCTAATACAAGAATTTTTCAAATTGGATAAGTAGTCCCTGAGATTAGCGCGTTAAAACAAACTCTACCTCTTTATAATATTAGTATAGACTAGCAATGCCCGCGGCTCCGCCCGCGTTCAGATGACCAAAAAGCAAATTCTTAGGTTTTACATATTAGTATACTCTTACATTGCAGTTTTTGTATTTTTTCTCAGAAATGAGATATTTTCCCGCGGTAAAAAGTATCCTATATGTTGACCTGGATAATCAGCTATGACCATACCAAATTTCATCAAAATGCCTACAGTGGTTTTTCTGTGATGTGATGTGGTAACAGACAGACAGACAAGAATTCTAAAAACTATAGATTCTGCCTCTGTATCGATAATAATTATTATATTCTTTAATGCACTTAAAATGTGATACAGAAAAAAAACAACAATAAACATAGTTCACAAATGGTGCAAAATAATGTCTATTTCAATAAGATTTTCCAAAAAATATTTAATGTACAGATTCGGCTTGGTTACAATTTTATTATATGTATAGATTATTGCCTCACTGGACTATGAAAGTTAAAGGAAAAGAGCACTACATCAGATTGAAGGATTATATAGATGGAGCCACCAAAAGAATGTGCAAGTCAAAAATAGTAGCATGATTTGCTTTTTATGCTACTTACTATCTAAACACAAATATATACACACACATCCATCTTATACTTTTCTATTTTAGATTAATAACACCTTTTTTAATAGCCTTTTATATTAATTACGTTACGTTTTGGAAAGAATTTGTAAAAAGTAAAAGCATTCTTGTTAAAAAGGCATACAATAATTAGATGCATGTTATTTATTTCTATTGTATTGAAATACGTTGAAATAATCTAACATAGCTGCAACGGCCATATATCCTTAATATTAGCTGATTCTTAAAAAGTACACAAAAATATATATAATTGTACCTGCATGAAGAATCCATTAACGAGCGCCTTTCTTATATTGATATAGTAGTCTTTACTTGTGAATTCTGTGCTAGTTCTTTTTAGATTAAACCTGGAAATTAAAAAAAAAAACAAATTTATTAAAGCTTGATTCCCCATACAAACTTTCATCCCCATTTTCACCCCCTTAAGGGATGATTTCCAGGATAAAAAGTATCCAATGTCCTTCCCAGGGTCTCCAACTATCTTCTAACCAAATTTCATCTAAATCGGTTCAGTAGATCCAGAGATTACCCCCTACAACGTCATAAACTCACAAACTTTACCTCTATATAATATTAGTATAAACTATAGACTACAAAATATTGCTATTTGTTCAAACCACCAATACTTATTGTACTTTACAGTAGAAAATTTTAAAAACAAAGTTATATTACTAAGATTTATATATGTCGCAGGGAGATTGTAAGATCTTTTAAATTATGTCACTAGTAAATAGGGAATATGCGTGTGATGTAAATAAAGATGAAATATATATATTTTTTATAATCTTTATTGGTTTTTAATTAAGCATATATTAATATTTTTTTAATGTAATTTCTGTTTGATGGAGAAAATAATTATTGAAAAGTACAAATATAGATGGGAAATTCAAAGTAGTTGAAACGCACGCCATTGGTCAGACCGAATGTGACGTCAGAGTGCATATTATATCTTATCAGAGCAATTAGCGATTTTGTCGCTTATAAATTGAGTCGTCATTTCTCTGTGTATATCATACTGTGACGTCACACCAAGCGCGCGAAATGGGTTTTAAAGTATCCGTATCGATATGACATTTAAAAAAAATCATACTAAATTTTAGTTTTTTTATGAGCTGAATAATTACATAACGATATTAGCTATTGTATAAAAAATATCACGCATATTCCCTCTTACCCAGAGTATTGTCAATAGTCTCCTTTTCTTACAATATCACGGAATATTTTTAGATAAATTATAATTTCCCTAAGCACATAATTTGCCAGTATAAAATACAGAAAATAAAATTTAAAAAACCCATGGGATTGTTCCTATCCCAGGATAATCCCGGGATTTCAGGCCATACCTGTCCATAATTCTGCTGAGCTGCTGGCGCACATTGTCGCCGGACTTGAGGGATCTGTAGTTGATGAAGTTGTCATAGCACCAGTGTGGGTCCTCCATATCTGAAAAAACGATATATTGACGTCACGTTTGGTTCAGTTTGTAGTGACCCTACTTTTGTTGTGCCAGCGGGCGCGGGTTCAAATCCCGCTGGTGGCATTCATTTGTGATAAGTACAAATGTATGTATCCAGTCTTGGATGTTTATATTTATAATTTATATTTATGTAAAAAAAAGTTATCTGGTGTCCATAAAACAAGCCTCGTAGCTTACCATGGAAGTAGACGGTGTTGTGTGTTAATATCCCAATATATTTATTTATATATTAGGAAATATCACAAAAATATTATATAAATTCAGAAAGTGATTTAAATATAAAAATCGGACAAGTGCAAGTCTGACTCCCACACCGAGGGTTCCGTAGCGTGAAACATTAAAATAAAATAATTGCAAAAAAATTACAAATTTACGGTTTTCAGATTTTCCCTTTACTTGTGCTTTTATAACACACACATTGCTTCTTGTCAAATTTATGGCTCTAGGTCAACGGGAAGTACCCTATTAGGTTTTGACTTCCTAGCGATTGTCAAAACATGTGATGCATAACCGTATCTTTTGATTTTGTTGTATTAGAAGTTTGATTGTGTCACAGCTCCGAGAGATTGCAGACCTGAGTATTTGATATTAATTTGAACTTTATACCTCCACGGGTTTTATGAGAAAAAGGGTCTTGACAGACAGATATGAACAATATAGTGATCCTAAAAGCGTTCCTTTTTTTTCCTTTAGAAGCACGGAATCCTAAAAAACGTTAAAAATTAACACTCACTCTGTTTAAAAGCGTGATACACATTAAGCAACGTGAGGTGATCTCCATCTATGTGTGCAAATCTCATCTTGGCCTCGTCTGCTGCCTTTCTCGCTTCATTAGGCCGGACAAAGCATTGTGGTACTGGAAAATAATAATAATAATATTATTTATATAGCGTTTAGTATGGATTTCTCAGAGATGAGATATTTTCCTGCAGTAAATAGTATTCTATATGTTGACCCGGATAACCAGCTATCATCATACCAAATCTCATCAAAATCTGTCCAGTGGTTTTCTCGTGATGCGGTAACAGACAGACAGACAAAAATTCTAAACACTAGATTTGGCCTCTGTATCGATAACAATGAGTATTTCAAGAAGATTTATCAAAAAATATTTAATGTACAGATTCAACTCAGTTAGAATTTTATTATATAGAATAGATATAGTATAAAACAAAATTGATGTATCGTTTATCTGTTTCTCCACTTCCTTCTACCAAGCCAAGTGATTTTGATAAACGAGGTTTTTTTTTGTATACAATTTGTAAATATCTCGAACACGTAATTTAATATTTTGCCAAAAAAAAAACGGTTTTTTAAAAGATACATTAAAAGAATGTATTTATTTATGGAAAACTTAGCTAGCTAGGGACACACCCGAGTTACCACTTTAAACAAAACCAAACCTCTTCCGTTGCTTCATCGATTACAAACTCAGCCACACATCACTCCCAACTCCTCAACAAACTTACCAGAGAGCATGGCGGTGATGGAGAGGATCTCGTTGGAACAGTTGTGGTTACAGCTGGCTATCAACATCTTGGCGAGTTGAGGGTCCAGGGGGAACTCCGCCATCACCGCTCCCAGGTCTGTTAGGTTGCCGTCGTCATCTGGAATTGAGAGTGGGATTTGTTAGTTTACATTAGTGATGTAACGAATGGTCGATTTTTCACATTCGCTAATTCGAATCTCTAGTATTCGCGAATACGAATGCGAATGTTGATTTTCAAAGTGCGCGTAAAATGTCAAACAGACAGGTTTGACATTTCGTGTCGGCCATGTTTGAACAGAACGTAGCCGAGCCGATACAGGTTGAATAATGAACGAAGTTAGTCACATAGAGTTCGTTCGAAAAGATTTCTTGTGATGTGAAGTTAGATTAGTATTATTGCATTTATCAAATTTAAGTAAATACCTACTCACATTAACAAAGGCAAAAAAAAACTAGCAAACTCACCGAGTGCAGCCAGATAGTTGAGCAACTCCAACGCCCTCATGAGTGTCTCCGGCGCTGGCGGGTCCATGAAGTCAAAGTGTACCAGGTCGTCGATACCCAGCTTTTTCAACTGCAAAACTACAGATCCTAAGTTTGATCTGCAAACGTAATGCCGTGGACGTTAGACTTTGTATTACCACAGATTACATATTAATTTATATTTAGTGATTTTACTGTTTTTTTTTGTCTGTGGATAATAGTCGACTTATTTTAAATGCATATAACATATTTAGTTTTGTATTAATCATACATAAATAATTTCATTTTAGTAAGTAAAAGAATCCATTTTAAATCAAGCGGTCAGCACAGAAAAATGGCCTGACACTTATAAATAACGTGTATAATATTAATATAGAAGAATTATCAACGCATCCAGGTTTGGTCTGGGTTCGTCCCTAGTTATACAGAAGCGCACCCATCAAGTCTTAAGCCTTAATACTACCTTCACACAGAAAACTATATTAGAAAAAAACCATAGTTTTATTTTGTATTAAAACATATTTTCCCATGGGAATGAGATACCATAAGAAGTTACATACTTATGTCACTCTTAACTTTTAACTATTTCCATTTAAAATATCACATTTATACAATATTTAATTCATCACCACATCTCGGAGTGAAAGAAGGAAAATGGACTAGCAAACAAATATACTTTCACTATATAATGTTATGGAATTTTGATATTTTTTTCATAAAACGCCAAATCTTATGGAAATGGCAATGTTATGGAAATGGCAGTGATTGCACTCCTAATAAGTATGTATATATTTTATGTTAAACAACAGTTACAGAACAGAGTTATTGTCAACTTAAACTATAAAAAAAAAACCATACTACACCAGTACTATAGGTCACCTCAAAATCTCCGGATATGTGTTATCCTGCATTTCATTCTTGTAAGCCTTCTCCGTGTACAGCCTGAAGCACTTTCCGGGCTTAGTTCTTCCAGCCCTACCTGCCCTCTGTTGGGCTGACGCTTTACTTATGGGCGAGACCAGAAGTGACTCGACACGTATCCTTGGATTATACACTTTTTGTTTGGAAAAACCCGTATCTATCACAAAAACTACACCATCTATCGTTAAAGATGTTTCAGCAATATTTGTTGACACTACAACCTTTCTGCCAATCGCTCCGTTCGCACGATTAGGAGGAGCTGGCTCAAAAATTCTTTGCTGAAGGTTAGGGGGTAACGTGGAATATAAGGGTATACACTTCAATTCTCCTACATCTGGTCCCAAATTATCTATCTCTCTCTTGATTCTCTTACACGCATCCTCTATCTCCTCTTGTCCTGTCAAAAACAGAAGGATATCTCCGGCAATCTCTTCGCATACGTGAATTTGTATGACTGTACGTATCGCTGCTTCCAAATAATCCCTTTCAGGTTGAGGTGTGTAGAATATTTCTACTGGATGTGTTCTTCCGGGGACATTCATTAGAGGTGCATTATCAAAGTATTGTTGAAACTTCCCAGCGTCTAATGTGGCTGACATAATAACTAATTTCAAATCTGTGCGCTGTTTTATAACTTCTTTAAGTACGCCCATCAATATGTCTGTTGCTAACGTCCTTTCGTGGGCTTCGTCTAGTAAAATCACTCTATACTGTTCCAACATAGGATCCGACATGGCTTCTCTTAATAACATACCATCTGTCATGTATTTCAAGACGGTTTGTGGTCCAGAGCAGTCTTCGAAACGGATGCTGTAACCAACTTGCTGTCCTAGTGCCACATCCATCTCTTCAGCCACTCTCTGAGCCACTGACATAGCCGCCACTCTCCTGGGCTGGGTACATGCCACCCCAAAAGACTTCCCAGCAGTAACTGCTGCAAATTCTACACACCATTGTGGTATTTGTGTAGTCTTTCCTGACCCAGTCTCACCGACTAAAACAACACACTGATGGGTATTTAGAAGTCTCATGAAATCATTTTGGTATTCCCATACAGGTAGGCTTCGACGACGACGCAGCAGTTCGTGGTATGTGAGGGAGTGTGGACGACCTGGAAAAGACCGTTTAATGGATCAATACATATTATAAATTAAGGTGGGTTTGTATTTGTTTGGTGAACTCAGAAAATGCTTTACAGATTTCCATGCAGTTTCAATTCACGAATAGTTAAGAAATTTTCTAGGAAAGCTATAGTCCATAATTTATAATCATATTGTGAAATTAAACTATCGATAATATCATGATATTTTTGTATTATGGAAGAAATGTATACATACAACAACATTGTAATGTTGTGTTTTATCTGTTGTTAAGAAGATATTGTGGATTTTTGTATGCATCACTTGAGAATACCTTTTTACTTTAATTATGTTTTAATTGGCCGCGGCTCCGCCCGCGTTCAGATGACCAAAAATCAAATTCTTAGGTTTTACATATTAGTATACCCTTACATTGCAGTTTTTGTATTTTTTCTCAGAAATGAGACATTTTCCTGCGGTAAAAAGTATCCTATATGTTGATCCAGATAACCAGCTATCACCATACCAAATTTCATCAAAATCCCTCCAGTGGTTTTTCTGTGATGCGGTAACACACAGACAGACAAAAATTGTAAAAACTATATATTCGGCCTCTGTATCGATAATAAAGTCTATTTCAATAAGATTTTCCAAAAAATATTTAATGTACAGAATCGGCTTAGTTACAATTTTATTATATTATGTATAGATAGATTTTAGGTTGGATACATTTTTAGATTATTATTCCTTTGCCTGTCCGTTCCCTCAAGAGGACCGGAGACGATCAATCGCAATTGTCAATTTTACGTTATTGTCAGTTGCCCTTGATCGTTTACAAGTACAATTGAAGCGATTGTCAATCGCAGTTACGTGATTGAAAACAATTGATGCTCATTGACAGAAGACATTGAAGTTGCCAATTGATCGTTTACCGAGTCATTGACAATCGTTTCCGTCATTCAGCTGCGTAGGTACCTACAGATTGAGGAAACTACTAGGCACTAGCTACCTGTGCAAACCCTACCTGTTACAATGCCAAACAGCATACTGGGCATAAACAGATTGTAAACTGCATCAATCATACTTTAATTGCAATTGCGATTCATTATCTCGGGTCTGCTTTACGAATTGTGATTAATAATACTTTTATTTCAAGAAATACAAACAAAGACAAACCTGTATATGGATTAATGCCTGAAGCACTGGTGGCTGTTTGTGCGGGAGCAGTACCTAGAGTAGCTGCAGCTGATTCTGAGGATTCACCGCTGCCACCGGATTTTGCGGCTGCTGCTGCCTTTTCTTCTCTGATGTAACATAAAACAGATATTAATAATCTATGTCTATAGAATAAAAGGGTTGCTATAAAAGAAAACTGGGTTACTTTATGTAAAAAAAAAACTTAAGTAAAATATAGCTAAATCATATATTATTTATATTATAATTATAAAGAGGTAAAGTTTGCGAGTTTGTGAATTGTGAGCTTGTGACATTGTAGGGGGTAATCGCTTCAGTATTGAAGCGATTTAAATTAAATTTGGTAAGATGATAGTTTGAGATCCTGGGAAAGACATAGGTTACTTTGTATCCTGGAAATCATCCCTTAAGGGGGTGAAAATGTGGATGAAAGTTTGTGTGAGGAATCAATACAATAAACATATAATAGTATGAAATATATATGTTCCAATAACACATATTTCTAGTGAATACAATTAATGTGTATAAAACATAGCAACACTGTACATTAGTTGTGATGGGCTCTCACTTTTTGTGAAAAAATGAAACGACACTTTAGCAAGTTTTCATTTAAATATATAAATAGGCTCACCCTTGCTTCGCTCGGCTGCGCCTCTAGGATAACAAAAATAACCACGGAACCCATACGTTATTCCGGGAAAAAAGTAGCTTACGTGTTATTCCAGACTATAATCTATCTCTGTACCAAATTTCATCCAGATCCGTTCAGCCGTTCTAACGTGAAAGAGTATCATTTATGATATTTATACAGATTTTTGTATAAGCTAATATGTGTAGAGTGCACTTATAACATTCATCAATTTCTTGTTTCGAAAGTAATAACTAATATTAAATAAATTAAACTAATAAATTTAATGCAATGTGCAAGTTAATCGAAAATGTTTAAAAATGCGAAAAACACGTTGCTAGCAAAATGTAAATAAATTATGTTTGGGCTTATATTATCGTAATGTTATAAAATATATATTTACATTTTATTTATACGCAACTAGGTCATTTTTATTATAGTGTGCATAAAATATAAATTAGAAAACAAAGGAAATATAAGTGTAGCTAAGGCATGTTTTCTTAAAATATTAATAATCCGTATATATAAGCATCAAACCTTTTTTTCTTTATAAAAGGGTCTATCATCTCGATCCGTCGCTTCGACATATTAACAATTAACACATATAACACCAAAATAAAATAAATATGAGAAAATTCTCTAAATTTTCAATAAACGAGGCAGCTAACAAAATGGCGACTATGCGATATCATAAACTATAAAATACAGAATGCAGATAGCATATAAATTTTTAATAGACCATAGACTTTACACAATAACTACTTTGAAAATTTTTATAAACTGAGTACATTTTTTATGCATATTTTATGAGTTTTGTTTTATAGTTTTATGTTAGTATTACTATTAAAATATGTTATTTGAATAAAATTTTGGTCTAGAAATATGTTTGCTTAGAGCTTAACACGTTAACATTCACGCATTGTTTCTTTTCTAAAAAAGTATAATATCAAGCAGATTTTTATAATGAGTCTTTTAAAATTTACTACTTGATCTTATTAACATAAAAACATAAATATTAAATTTTTTTTAACTTTTTTTAAACTAATTTCATCAAGATAAAGTCTTTACAAATTATAAACATTTTCGATGTGAATTTTCCGATGTAATCATAAAAGGGAACGTTCTCAAATCTCAAACAAAAATGTCACCGACAAAGTAAATGCGTATTTAAGCTGCGTGCTAATTATTCATACATTGTGTTATTTTAAATATACATGTGTAAATAGCATTTGTTCGGTGTTTAAAAATAATATACGTTATTTTATAACACAATCTTGACTTCCTTTAAGTGCTGTGAATATAAAGTGGAAATGATCGTAAGACAGCAAAAAACTTAAATGGTATTGTGCAATTATCTCGAAAACGACTTTTACGACCGCATGATATAATAACAAATTAGACGTAAGTAATACAATTTCTTCATCGATTAATCTTAATGCATGGGATATGGATCATAGCCTTTTCAAGATGGCTGCCATTGATTTTCTATGATTTATTTTTTAATCCATTTATATATCACTGCAATTGTTCACTATAATAATTAGATGAATTCATTTTTTTTATTTTCGATAAGTATAAAAATATTTTAAGCAATCTATGCAAGTTTTTATAAGAGGTCAGTAAAGGTTGTTGAACCTGTCAAAACATGTCTGAAAAAAGTAAAGACATGTTATATTTATAACTTTTTTATCAGAAAAATCCTATAAATTATATGATTTGTGTTCAATGTACATAGTATATTAGTTTATTTAACTCATTTATGCCTGATATAGGTATATATATTATCCATACTTTTTTATTTTGAAGAACAACTTGCAGCCTGATAAACTGTTATACTTTTTGTAAAACAATATAAGTCTAATGAAATATAAAACTTATATAAAAAAATATATAAATAATATTAGATTAGAATTAATATCCTCGTTGTCCAAACAATTTGCATTTATGAATTAATTATTAAATAATAATCTATAATTTTGGTTTTTTATCAAATATATCTATTTGACAAAAAATATAGATTTAATGCCATGTTTATGTGTATCTTTAGTGTGGATCTTATTTTATTTCAATTAAAGTTCTAATTCTAGTTAAAAATGTGAATTACAGCAAGCTTCTTATTTTTTTAAGCAATACTTTTATTTTTATAGTTTAGTCAATTAAGATTCTTTCTTTGTTTTATATAAGTTTTGTTAGCAATGTTTACCGAGAAACAATTTCTTTTGTTAATCAACTTGTGGTACTTACGATACAGTCTTTGCCTAGTGTATGTACTTTTTTATATAAAATATATTGTATTAGCTGTACTTGGCAATTAAAAAATATAACAATTATTATTACTTTATCAATATTTTGATAAACAAAACTATAAAAGTTAATAGGGTATTCAATTCCCACTTTTGAGTCACCATACAGTTCCATGTGAGTAATTAATTTGCTGTTTTAATTGTTGCTAATTGTTCCAATTTAGTGTTGCAGGCTCCAATCTATTTTTAAAATGTTACACAAAAATGAACTTTGTTTCATTCTATATATTCATATCTAAGTTTTATAAGAGTTATGAGTTTATTGCTATTATGGAAAAAAAAGCTTTACATTTGCCTTTGAAAAAAAATTGGCTTAGAATGGTAAAAAGAACTGTACTGATTTTGTGCAAACTTTGTGAACTAAACACATTATTATATTATTTAAATTTAAAAAATTGTATTTTTCTTATTAGTTTGGTATATAATTTCATATGCATTTATTTAAAGCTTTTATTTCGACATTACAAACAGACACTTCAAATTTATTTATATGTACGGATAATTAAAAAAATTAAAAAGATAGATTACAACTACCAATAAGTATGTACAAAATGACTAATATAATTGAACAAAAAGGTTATATATATTTTTTTTTGCAGATGGTAGTTCGCTGGGCGAACCACACATAGTTGCCAAATAAAATTTGCAATATGGGTCAGCAAACATCCAGAAAGAGTAAGTATATATAATTGAACTAGCATTGCCCGAGGCTCCGCCCGCGTTCAGGTGACCAAAAATCAAATTCTTAGGTTTACATATTAGTATACTCTTACATTGCAGTATTTGTATTTTTTCTCAGAAATGAAACATTTGCCCGCGGTAAAAAGTATCCTATATGTTGACCTGGATAACCAGCTATCACGATATCAAATTTCATCAAAATCCGTCCATTGGTTTTCTGTGATGCGGTAACAGACAGACAGACAGACAAAAATTCTAAAAACTATAGATTCGGCCTCTGTATCGATAATAATGTCTATTTCAATAACATTTTCCAAAAAATATTTAATGTACTGTCTTGTCTGTTTCTGATGGGAAAACGCATCACGACAAAATTACTGCATAGATTTTGAAGAAATTTGGTGTGAGATAGTTGGTTATCAGAGTTAACACATAGGATACATTTTATTGCGGGAAAATAAGTTATCTCTGAGAAATTTGCTAAACGTGAAAACGTAACTAGGGACGAACTCGAGCGGAGTGAGGATGAGTCGCCAGTCTATACTAATATTATAGTGGTAAAGTTTGTGAGTTTGTAAAGTTGTAGGGGGTAATCTCTGGTTCGACTGAACCGATTTAGACGAAATTTGGTAAGAAGATAGTTTGAGACCCTGGAAAGGACATAGGATACTTTTTATTCCGGAAATCGTTCCTTAAGACGGTGAAAATGAAGGTGAAAATTTGTATGGGGAATCCCCGCAATACATATAAATAAATACACTTGATTATGTGTTTTTTTTAACTAAACCTTTGGCTGTTTGGTTATTCGAGACGACCGGTGAGAAATCAGACGCAGGCTGTATATGCTAAAAATCCTGACTGACAGAATTTCTTGACAGAAAAACCTAATTAATTTATTTCGGGACCCTGCCCGGGATTCGAATCCAGTCCCTATAGGTCTGCAATCGTACGTGCTAGTGCTAGTACATATACATAATATATTGTACATACATATATCTATGGAAAGAGATATCAAACGTGTTCATCAATCGACGCATGTGCAATAAAATAAATCAATGTTGGACGAATCGTGTAGGATATTTATAGAGCCTTTAGTTCACTTGTATGAGGTATCTATGTATACATTATTTTTTATGTATTTATATGAAAACTATATTTTAGGGTTTTGTCGCGGTTTTATTTTGATTTATTTGTTTAAACCCGCGAAATAAAACCGCGATTAAATCCGAAAAAATATTTTCATTTAAAATCTATGCCTTTTATATCCATCTATACATATAATAAAATTGTAAATGAATCGAATTGAAATAGTCAGTATTATTAACGATACTGAGGCCGAACCTATAGTTTTTAGAATTTTTGTCTGTCTGTCTGTCTGTCTGTCGGGAACGCATCACGAGAAATCCACTGGACAGATTTTGATGAAATTTGGTATGACGATAGCTGGTCATCCGGGTCAACATATAGGATAGGTACTTTTCGCTGCGGGAAAATATCTCATCTCTGAGAAATCTATACTAGAAGTTAAACTTTATGTGGACATAGACATAGACTATTAGGCTATATTGTGTGAATTTTATCTAAAACTAGTTATTGCCTGCGACTTCGCTCGCGTGGTTATTCGGGGGTCAAAAGTGGCGTTTGTCCAATCTTAGGATGTAATCTATGTCCTTGTCAAATTTTATCGAAATCTGTGCAGCGGTTTAAGCGTGGAAACGTAACAGACAGAGTTACTTTTACATTTGTAATAATAGTGTGGACTACGACATATCTCTAATATATAAAATTTCCATGTCACAATGTTTGTTACCGTACTCCTCCGAAACGGTTTTACAGATTTTTACCAAATTTAATATGCGTATTCAGTAGGTCTGAGAATCGGCTACTATCTATTTTCCATACCCCTAAGTGATAAGGGTGGGCCCACGTTAGGGACGAACCCGAGCGGAGCGAGGGTGAGTCGCTAGTATTATAATAAATGTTTTTTTTATAGGTGGTGAATGCACATGTGGGTGCGGCGCGTGGGAGAGGCGAAGATACGCGGAGTCTCCGAGCAGTGTGCACCGATACGTTAGCGCGGTCACTGACAGGTGAGATAGTCGGAATTTGGTCAAGTGTGAGTCTTGATTTAGGTGACGTGTGTTCCCTCGATGTTAACACACCTCCTTGTTGTAGTGGAGGGGGGGGGGGGGGGGGGTCATCAGTCGGTGCCAGCCTACAATATTTTAATATGTGAATATCTAAAAGGTAAATATGTATTTAACGTATCGCAATATATTAGATTTGATTTGCATCGGCTGGCATCGACTTCGAAAATATCTGATTAGGTATCTATTCTAAATGACAACCTCCGTTTAGTTATTTTTTACATTTCAGTGCCTGGGAGTCGGTTTTTTTTTATGTTTTTATGTAGTAGATATTACTTGTTTCTAAAGAGTAAGGGCAGTTTAAAACTTATCAATCAATAGATGGCGCGGCGCTATCGTAAAATGTAAGAAAACAACTAAAATTTACTTTACGTGAGCGCGTAGTTCGTGAGCAAAACATAGTTTATTTCATTAAGATATTAATTAAGATAAATGTTATCATCCTCGATAATAGGTTAATGATTTATGGGAAATTAAAAAGTCATTACGCGATGAGTACTTTTTTAATTAGTATGTACATAAGTATATAAGGATGTGCCAAAAGAACTTTTTTTTTAGTTACCATGAAAATGTCGTCGAAAGATGACGAAAAAACAATTCCATGTTATTTAAATGGAAAATCAAAAATCACGACGAGCCACCTCTTATTATTTATATTAAAAGCTCAAATTTTACAAAAAAAAATTTTTGTCATCTTAGACGATATTTTTATTGGTAACTAAAGAATATTTTTTTTTTTGGCACAACCTAATGTGCATATGTATAAAATAAAAAGGTGTAATTATTTCATCGGATAATAATGTATACCCATCTCTTTCTGGTATAACCTCAAAATAAAATATATAGACATATGCGACACATTTGGCTCAGTTTGTAGTGACCCTACTTTCTGCGCCAGCGGTCGCGGGTTCGAGTCCCGCTAGGGGCATTCATTTGTGTGATAAGCACGAATGTTTGTACTCCAGTCATGGGTGTTTATATTTATAACATGTATGTATTTAAAGTTATATGATATGTGTAGTGTATCAACTATCTGGTATCCATAACACAAGCCTCGTAGCTTACCATGGAACTAGATGGTGATGTGTGTTAATGTCCCAAAATATTTATAAAAAAATATATTTATAGACGGAGTCCGCCAAAATAAATGTCAAAGTCAAAAATAGTAGCGTGATTTGCTGTTTATGCTACTCTTCTAGATTTTGCCATACAGATCGTTTACTTTCTTTACGGAATAAAGGATGTTTTATATGTTATAGGTTATTTAAAATATCATTTTTTTTAGAATATAATATGAAGTATAAAAATAATACTATATTCGTTTGTATTTTTTAAAGCGTTCGTCTTCCTCCTGAAAGAGATAGTATAATATGAGCTTATTTAATTTTTTTGTTTGTACCACCTCCAGGTATATTTCTAAGAAATGAATTAAATTTCTAAGAAATCTATTGTTGCCTGACACGCCGGCGTGTCCGCGGTCGTGGATTAATTAAAATAAAATCCGTTAGCTATGTTTATTTATTAACATTTATTTACTAATCGCTCTTTATAATAATTGACATTTGTATATCATTTTAATCCTTCAATAACCGCGGACGCGCCGGAGTTACAGTTAACAATAGATTTCTTAGAAATTTAATTAATTTCTTCGAAATTTACCTGGAAATATTAGAAATATATGTATAATTTGAAAATACTATTGTTTGGCTTAATGTTTAGTTCCATGACACTCTGTCTATATTCAACATACAATTTGTTTTTATACCGTCTTTAATTTTTACTTCTTTATTCAAAAAATGTAATAGTTATACAAACATCAAAATTAATACTCCACAATCGTTTAATAAAAAGCACTAGATACACAATCATCGACAAAAAATGTCCTCACCGAATGAGCGCTCATTTGAACATTTGGGCCCGCTTTTATTTAAAAAATAATAATTGTGAAAACAACTTTAAGCATTGCATTTAAGGTTCAATTTACATTGTCGCATATTAATTTCAACTAGAACAATCACCTAAACACAATTGGTGACAGTTTTAAGAGAACTTTTGCTCGGGATTGTGTAGCTACTACTTTTTTGATCGATACACTCCACCAAACAACGTGGAACCACTGCGCGAATTCAACTCGCGCTTGTTCGATCTTATTGTGATTTAATCATTCACTAACTAAAGCTATTTTAAATGAAACTATCTTTTCGTGTTATTTCGTGGATTTATTTTGATTTTTGGTTGGTTGGTTATCTTTTGGTTGTTTTGGGAACCAAAAATCTAAATAAATCCGCGAAATAATCCGAAAAGATAGTTTAAAGTTTTATTTAAAATGTCAAATATTCTCGTAAATCTAAGAAAGTATAAACTAAAGCTAAACATCAATTCGTCACTCTAGATGGAGTGGGAGAGAGTGCGCGTGCAGAAGACGTAGATGGCGGCGACCGGCGTGCGTGTGCACCGCGTACAGACGTGTTAGCGATGCGTGTCATGATGACAGGTAGGTGTTCGTTTGTTTATATGTTTATATTAATAGTACTTAAGGGAAGCTTTGCTTGGTTTTTTTTCGGGTAAGAAAAAAAAAGTTAGCCTATATGGATAAAGTTAAAAGGGAAAACCTTATCCAAATACAAAAATAATTTATATCTTTAGAGCTGTTTCTGAGATAAACGATATTTTATTTAGGTGTATACAAGAATTGCTAATTTATTATTATAAGATTATAATTTTCGTGCACATTTCTGAAAGTTTAAATTGCTGGTTAAAACTATATGCGGAATTTTAAAACGCTTTAAAATTAATTATTCCACGTAGATTATATTTGCAATCTAGCTATTTATATTTTATATACACCATATTAAAAAAAAAACTTGTGTGTAAGAAGTTATACTTCTTTGGCGTAACAACAAAAATAGCTAAAGAATTCATCCCGTATGTCACAACTCTGTGTTTGTAAAAGGAAAGCAGCTAACTTCAACATGTCGCTTTTTGGCTGTCGGTGTGCGCGCGCATCGTAAAAATTTTACTCGTTAAGTTCGGTCGGACAAATTTTAATAATAATACTAAGTATAATCTGTACTAATATTATAAAGAGGCAGAGTTTGTTTGTTTGAACGCACTAATCTGAGGAACTAGTAAGCTGATTTAAAAAATATATTTTTGCATTAGATAGTCCGTTCATTAAGGAGGGCTATACGCTTGATATCATCATGCTACTACCCAAGAGAACGGAGCAGTAATCATAAATGTCAACAAATCAGGTAGTGTTCCATACATTATTGTAAAGGGATGGGTGTAGGGACGAACCCGAGCGAAGCAAGTCGCAAGTAGTATGTATAATAATGGAAATTTATCTTTTGACTAGCATTGCCCGCGGCTCCGCCCGCGTTCAGATAACCAAAAACCAAATACTTAGGTTTTACATTAATATGTATACTCCTACAGTGCAGTTTTTGTATTTTTCTCAGAAATGATATATTTTACTTCGGTAAAAAGTATCCTATATGTTGACCCGGATAACCAGCTATCACCATACCAAATTTCATCAAAATCCAGTGGTTTTTCTGTGATGCGGTAACAGTCAGACAGATAAAAAATAATGTCTATTTCATTAAGATTTCCCAAAAAATATTTAATGTACAGATTTGGCTTAGTTACAATTTTATTATATGTATAGATGATCAAAAAACACTTTTTCTCCTCAGATTGGCCGCGGTACTAACATTAGGTGCCAGAGATCTACGAAGGGAGTTGGACGCCATTGTCATAAACACTGGTAAGTCTAAATATTTTTGACGACATGTTTGGCTTAGTTGGTAGTGACGCTACTTCCCGTGCCAGCGGTCGCGGGTTCGTGTCCCGCTGGGGGCATACACAAATGTATGTAATGTTCTATCGAGTCTTCCTTAGAAATTTATATGGCTAACGCTGGATAAACCTTAAGAGGTGCATAAAAACAATGAACTAGAAAATTGTAAGTCTTACAAAGGCCCACAGAAGTCGGAAAGTCAGTAGCATTATGTCTATGTCCTAAAGTACACTCGCAATAACGATTTTTATCTAAAGAAAACATACCTAAGAAGAGTCCTATAAATCAAGTGAGTTCCAGTTAGTTTTTAACGGGGATGGCTTATAATTCCATTCAAAATTCACTGAAATTTATTAACCGGTTTTTGATTAATATGAATAAATAAAGATTTATTTGAAGAAATTATATATGGTGCTTTTATGAAGAAAACAAAATTTTTAATATTTTTGTCCAACTAATATCTGAAACGGCTGGACCGATTTTGAAGGGACTTTCACTGGCAGATAGCTGATGTTATAAGGTGTGACATAGACTACTTCTATTTTAGAAAAGAATTAGGATTCCGCGCAAAAAATTAAAACCCATGAAAATGTGAACAAAATCCGCATACCCAGTTTAAAATTAAAGGAGTATATTTTTTACATATTTTTTTTCTTTCTTCCAGACAGTGACAATAACAGAGAAAATGGAGAGCCCACTGCGGAGGTTTATGTGCTGTCGGTGGCGCCTAGAAAGTAAGTATTTATAATTATTATGATCATTCATCCCTTTTTTACATCCCGCTGCTGGGGGTGGGTCCCACACTTCAATAATCGGGGCACCACTGCACCAGGCCATAGTCCATCACGCTGGCTATGAAATTGTTCGCACGTAAAAATTTCAGAAATGCGAGACCCGGGATTCGAACCTGCTTAACTCGGTTTTTCAAGCTATAGTGCGTTACCACTGGGCTACCACTGACTTTATTTATATTATAATATTTCTTTATCCGCTATTTCGCTTGTAATACGGCGGGATAGGGATCAAAGGTAGCCTAAGTCCATCCCAATTTTACTCTATCCATGTCCTTGACAATGTTGTCAGACATACAGACAGATACTTTTACATTTATAAATATTTTTAAGCATAATCATACATATATATTATTTACCGATTTTGATGAAACTTTTCATATTTAAAAGTTCAATGAGCTTGTCTGTAATTTCTAATTTTTAGACATTATTTTTATTACTTTACTTAGATTTGACTTTGCATATAATTTTTCAGTGACGGTGAACCTTCCCAAGAGGGGCGAAGAACAGAGTTGGTCCAAGCCAACGATCCTTCTATAAGACGTTTTCAGGTTAGTACGTAGTTATCAATAGATAATTTGCTTTTTTTTTAATTTACTGTCTCTTTGAAATTGCTATAATATAATAGACGGGATTTGAACCCGCTTCACTCGGTTTCCTAAGCGAGCGCGTTACCACTGGGCTACCACTGCCTTTTTTTTTCTAACTGATTTTCAGGGTTCCGCTCTTGAAGGGTGCCAACGGAACCCTATTACTATGCCTCCGCTGTCTGTCCGTTTGTGTGTCAGCGGGCCGTATTTAATGAACCGTAATAGATAGAGAGTTGAAATTTTCACAGAGTGTGTATTTTTATTGCTGTTATAACAGCAAATAATTAATTAGTGATCGACCGACGCTTCGTTTTGGTCATTTTCTGCCAAAAAATCATGGTTCGGTCATATTTTCGTTTTCGGCCATAAACCAGCCGAAGCTTTGGCCAATCCGAAAATCAGATTTAACTTGTTATAATATAAATTTTATTGTATTATATAATATTGTATTGACTGATTATATTATACTAGCGACTCTCCCTCACTTCGCTCGGGTTCGTCCCTAGGTTGATACCCCATACAAACATTCAGCCTTATTTTCACTTCCTTAAAGGATGATTTCCAGGATAAAAAGTATCCTATATCTAAATCGGTTCAGTAGATCTAGAGATTACCCCCTACAACGTCACAAACTCACGAACTTTACCTCTTTATAATATTAGTATCGAATATAGATAATCAATTAATACAACAAGAAATACAGGAAATTTTGTAGCCTCTAATGGAATTATCGTATTTAATTTCTTTCAATGCTTATATTTGTTCTTTCACTCACTCTCTAGGTGTAAAAATAATATTTTTAATGCCTAAATTAATTTTATTTTCGGCTTCGTTTTCGACTGAAACCCCGTTTTCGCTTGGACACCGCAAATAACAGAGAACCAAGATGGCGGATTTCAAAATGGCCGCCATGCAGATTAAATTCCATAGTGTTATAACTTGTACGATGGTACGGAACCCTTTCGTGTGGGAGTTGGACTCGCACTTGACTGATTTTTTATCACTATGTATTATTATTTATTATTTATAGGTGGTATGTGGCGGTGAACTCCGAGCGCTGCTGTTCAGGGCGCCCCCACTGGCTCATCAGTCGATAACGCCGCCCACCACGGTGCACACGCAGGTTAGTGCGGGTTTGATTATTGTGTTTTGTATCGGTGGAGGAGAGGATGGAGTGATCGATTCTCTTTGATTTTCTTTCTCCGTGTTGATGGTAATTTTATCTTATAATATTAAATGAGCAATTTTTGTATGTACATTTATTTCCTATTTCGTGTATCTGAGAAACGGTTCTAACGTTTTGGATCGAATTTTGTATTTAGATAAGGATTTTTACTTTAACCATGACCACTGACCATGATCGCTGTAAAGCATTCAAAATGTCAGGAACCGAAAATCAAAATAAATCCCCGAAAAGATCCAAAAAGATTGTTTTATTTAAAATAAAAAACAACTAAATAATAAAATTGACGATGATATTGATATCTATTATATAATATATCTTATATATAAATTCCAGGTCGACTATAAACATTGCCTAGTGCCGGACCTGCAGGAGATCACCGCCTGCTCCTTCTACTGGGGCAAGATGGACAGATATGAGGCGGAACGACTGTTGGACAATAAGCCAGAAGGTATGATATTAGTGTTATTTTCTATCTATTCTATCTTCTTCTTCTATATAAATAAAAATGAATATTCGTATGTTTATCCTCTATGTGTTTCCTAAACCATTTAAATATCTAGTTCAGTTTTTGTCTGTGCGTTTGTGCGCGCTAATGCATTGTGGTGAGTTTCACTTAACGTTTAGTATTTGTTTTATTTCAATCGGTTCATAAACAAAAAAGTTGTGTCAATTTAAAAAAATACCTAATCCATATTAATGTTATAAATCTGAAAGTGTGTTTGTTTGTTCTTCCTTCACGTTGAAACGGAGTGACAGATTGGCGTGACTTTTTATGTGGAGGTAGTTGGAGTGATTTATGCTAGTTTTTACTGCGGGAAATTATCTCATTTCCACGTGAAAACACACCAAAAAAATATTTGTGATCAGGAATACTTGAATATATACTAATAGGAAGTGGTATTATTAGTGATCTTTAATACAATTAAATAAAGACGTGTATTAGCAGTTTTCGAAATTCATCATATAAATATAAAATATGGGGATGAAAGTTTTGTTAACCTACCTTTTTATTGTTTTTTTTAATAGTTTAAGCGCGAGCGAAGCCGCTGGTTCAACTAATATATAAATTCATTCAAAGAATAAATAAATTCCTCTACCAGGCACATTCCTCCTCCGCGACTCGGCCCAAGAGGAGCACCTGTTCTCTGTGTCCTTCCGTAAGTACGGGCGCTCGCTGCACGCGCGCATAGAGCACTACCAGCATCGGTTCAGCTTCGATTCCCACGACCCGGCCGTCTTCGCAGCCCCCACTGTCACCGGACTGATTGAACACTATAAGGTGATATGGGTTGTGTTTGCTTTGTTACTGTAGTGACGGTTAGTATTGTATGGATATCACATCCCACGGGATCCCACGGGAACTACTTTTGTTCCGGGATAAAAAGAAGCTTATGTGTTATTCGAGATTGTATTCTTTATATGTGCCAAATTTCGTCTGGATTCGTTCAGTCGCTGTTGTGTGACTGAGTAACTAACGTCTGTTCATCCAAACATATTTATAACATATATAGTTTAGTATAGATTTCTCAGAGATGAGATATTTTCTCGCAGTAAAAAGTATCCTATATGTTGACCCGGATAACCAGCTATCAATATACTAAATTTCATCAAAATCTGTCCATTGATTTTCTCGTGATGCGGTCACAGACTTAATTAACTTGTAATTTTTAAACACTATTTGGCCTTTGTATAGATAATAATTACTGTTTCAATAAGATTTTCTAAAAAATATTTAATGTACAGATTCAACTCGTAATAATTTAATGCTGAATAAAATATATTTTGAATTTGAATAATGTAACCCGTACACCTTTAGCAGGACCCCGCTTGTGTGATGTTCTTCGAGCCGATGCTGACCGCACCTCTCCCTCGCACTGCGCCATTCACTCTGCAGCAGCTGGCGAGGGCGGTGATCGTGTCTCATGTCAACTATGACGGTATGTTGGTTTAACGTCCCACTGCTGGGCGTGGGCACCCCTCCAATGCGAGGGAGATCAGGCCATAGTCCACCACACTGACCGAGTGCAGACGTACTGAGCATGTCTTTTGAAAACTTGCTAGGTTCTCTCAGATATGCAGCTTTCCTTCACCGTAAGACAAGTGGTAATCATGTAGGATATGACTCGTACATGAGAATATTAGATGTGCTAGACCCGGGATTTGAACCTGCTTTGGGTTTCTCAAGCGAGTGCGTTACCTTCGGCCTACAACTGCCTCATGTTAGTTTGTAACTGACTGTCTTTTTATAGAAGAGATAGTATAACTGAAGACACAAATATATTTAAAAAAGAAACAGACTAAATAACCAAAGGAGGCAATATTAAACTAAGAAAATGTTAAAAGCCTTTTGTTTTCTTTTTAACTAAACCAATCCGATTATAGAGCCATGATGGAACCTCTTAGTAGCTGCTCGTAAAATCTACGAGTTTGGACTGATTTTTTTTTTTTTTTTATTAAAAATAGGCTCACTCTTGACCTTCATCTTACTTTAAATGTATAGATAAGGTCTATGATGTACCGAGTTTGCCCAGGAGAAGCCTGTTGACACGCACCTTAAAAAGTTTCAAGTTGTACGCTCTCGGAAAAACAGACGCAGGCAGGGCATTCCATTTCTTGGCTGTGCGCAATATAAAAGATGATGAATAGCGCTTAGTGCGAGTGGTCGGAATGTCAACCAAGAAAGGATGGTATCCTGCAGTACGTCTGGTGTTCCGATAAAAGAATGGCGATGGCGGTATGAGACTGGAGCTCGTGGGCACACTCCCCGAAGTACAGTCTGTAGAAAACCGACAGACAAGCAACTTGGCGACGGTGTGCTAAGCTGTGAAGCTTAGTTTTCACAAGCTTTTCGTCGCCGATTAGCTTTTTAGCTCTGCGTTCCACCGAGTCAAGAGCGGCAAGTTGGTATTTTGCAGAGCCATCCCAAAGGTGACTGCAATACTCCATGCATGATCGGACTTGAGCTTTGTATAAATTGAGAAGCTGTCCAGGCGTGAAGTATCGCTTAACCTTGTTTAGGATACCCAGTTTTTTGGCCGCAGTCTGTGCCTTCGACTCGATGTCATCGCCAAAGTTAAGGTTTGCCTTCAACCTTATACCGAGAAGCTCTAGACTGTCGGATACTTCCACATGTGCACCACGGAAAGTAGGAGTCAGGCTGAATGGACTCCTTTTTGCAGAGAACAAACAGGCCTGCGTTTTGGCGGCGTTGAAGTCAATATAATAATATAATAATATATCAATATAATATCGATTTGATATGTTTGTACGAAAAAAACCATGTATTGATCTTCAATATATGTTTTTTTTTAGTTTTTTTTAATGTTTTTTTTTAAACAATACCGTTAAATCTTATTTCAGGCGTAGAACAACTACCGCTTCCAGCTCGTCTTCGAGCCTACTTGAAGGAGTATCATTATCGTCAAAGAGTGCGTGTACGTCGCCTAGAGCCAGACGCGTACGAACAGCAAATATAGCGGGCGATGTGGCGCGATTACGCGCTAGTACTACTCGTGCTCTACATATTCCTGGGTATTATCCGCCTGTGGTGTGGTGAGCAAGTGCACAGTGGTGTGTGCAGTGATTAACTTCGTGAAAGTGTTATTGGACGTGACAAAGTGTTATTGGACGTGGGGCAGTGTTATTGGGTGTGACAGTGTTATCGGATGCTGGGATGTTGAAATGATGTGACTCGGTGTTCTGGATATGGTAAGGTTGGTTTAATTAATTGACAGAGATTCGAATTAACATGTAACTTATTTTGTAGGTTTTGATCGAATAAGCATTTATGGTTATTACTATTACATATTTCATTTCATTTAAAACCGACTTTAAAAAAAAGTAATATATTGTCCAAAATATTAATATTTCTTCCTGTAGAAGTAAAGTTTTTTAGATTACCTTATTACCCTGAACATTTGTTTAAATATTCACAGTAATAAATAATAATTCAAATTTTAAATTTAAGTAATTCAAAGAAATATATTTCTGTATCAAAAAGTAGGCAAAGGTATAGGTACCTATAATTCCTAAGTATATTTATTATTGAACAAGTACTAAAATAATGAATATGCGATCATGCTTTTCTAGATTTATTAATTTAGAGGGTAGCAGATTCGAATTATTATTGTAAATAAAAAAAAACTAAAAGATAACCTCCATGTTTGATATACTGTCATTTGAATTGTCATCATAGAAAAAAAAAATATCTATGGAACTAACATTAGCATAAACTACTTAAGTAGCGTCTGAAAATTAACTTTATAATAGACAATTGGTTTAAGGTTTTTTTTAATTTAAAAACTGTAAATAAAATATCCGTTAGAGCTTTTAAATTTAAAATGAATTTAAAAATTGTTTAAGGTTTCACTCTCAGCTGGAGTATATGTATGTGATGCATACAAAATATATGGAACATTTAAAATAGTAACTTTCCAGGATTATAGTGGCACAAGTCCAAATTTTTAGATTTTGCTTAGTCTAAAAAAATGCTAATTTTTTTTTTTTAAATTGCAACATTTATTCTTTGAATGAGATTCATTTTTTTTTAGTTATTTTTTCTTAATCAGTAGATATGATAGTCATAAACAGGTAATTATAATTCTGAAATTAATTATACTTTGGGTTGTCTTTGCTAATATATTGGCACAATGGCTCAAAGTACTAATATAGTATTATTATTTATAATATTACAAGTTGGATAAACGGTGGGTTGACTTGCCAATGCAATAAAACATGTTGGCATATACGGCCAATATTGGCTCAAAATTAGTATTACATAGAAATACTCAATGTATATTTGCCATACAAAATAAGGAATGTTGGCGTACAGTGTGTGTTATTGAAATATATGTATAGAAGAGTAAGACTTTGTCATTTTCCTTCTCTTTCACTTATCATTTATTAGAAAGTCAAAGGTATAGACATATTTTATGATCAGGGATGCATAGGTCTAAATTATCTTATTATTATTTAATTTATATTAATATTTATAATACAATCTTTTAATGACCTGAAAAATTATATATATCTGAGTCACCATTTATATACATATTTAATCATCAATCAAAATGCAAATATTCAAAAGTTCTTTTAATAAAATAGTCACTAATTATGTTTGGGTAATTATTCTAGTTGAAATAAATATACGACATTGTAAATTGAACCTTAAATGCAATGGTTGAAGTTATTTTCACAAAAAAAAAATTAATTAAAAGCGCGCTAAAATGTACAAATGAGCGGTCATTCGGTGAGGACATTTTATGTAGCAGATTGTGTATTTAGTTCTTTTTTGATCGATGTATTTAATTCAAGTTCTTATTACTAAACATTTATTACTGAAATTCAAAATTTATTATTCTCATAATGAGAAATACATAAAACAAATGTGTTTATTCAAATATTTCAACAACACCTGTGTATTATGTGGCCGAAAGAAATTTTGTATTGGCATAAAACAGTCAATGTTGGTTCGGTAAGAGTATTATCTGTAAATATTAGGTGGGTGTTAGCCAAACGTGAAAGTTTAGTACTCGCCATATAAGTTGAATCAAGATGGTTCTGATCTTTTGTCTTCTAATGAAATTATGAAAAACACGATTTCACCAACATCACTTAAGCTACTACCTACGTATGGGATCTTTAGCTTAAAAGTTCCCGTAAACTAGCCCCTAAATTAAATTTCGTTTTACCATCGTCAGAGCCCGTATTTCTAGTACCTATATTTAGGTGGCATTTTAACATTTAGGTGACCCCTAACTGTCGGTGAAACAGAAACTGTCCTATAACAGCCCCCTAACCATGCTTAGGGGATCCCTTAAACTTACGTTGACGTTGGTGAAATCGGCCATAAGATTCCTTTTGAAGAAACTAATAAAATGTAAACTAAATATCTAAGTTATTCATATTTGAAGGCAATATTACTTGTTTTAGATAGGATCCTTCCGAATTAATTATATATTTAAAAAAGTATTTTAAACTTTTAAAAAATGGGCAATGTTAAGTGTATCTTAAATAAATAAATAAATATCTATTATTTCCTCCAAAATTTTTATGTTTTTTTTTTCATTTAAAAGGAAATTTATATTGTAAATGCGAGAGGCGCAATAACGTTAGATTTGGCATAATATAAAAAATGACATGGCTGCCATCTTGGACCAACTGATGTGAAGCGACCTATATATATTTATTATTCTTATTTAGCTAACTTTCAAGTTTGGTCGTATTGACATATGCAAGGAACAACATTGTAACTCATTATTGTTAGATACAAATAAAAAAAAAACATTAAATTTCTCTAAAATCGTCGCAATACCGATTTACAACATTGTTCCTTGCATGTGTGCATATAATAGAAATATAAATTGTACATAAAAAAATAATATATAGTCTAATCAAAAATCTTAGGGTCGTGGGTTCTTATCCCGGTGCATGCAGAATTATTTACGTGTAACAAAATGTATTCGACGTAGTTGTATTTAGTTTAAATTGTAAATATTAAATATTTTTCTATTAATTATTATTATTGATTATTTCTCTGTTACTAAAATTGATGTATTTTTCGAGGGCATTGGACGGGGTGTATGTTATTTATTTATCCTATTATTAACGTTAGGTAATTTAAATAAATTATTAAACTAAAATCAAAATGGAGATTTGTCTCCAAAAATTGTCTATTTAACTACTTAATAAATAAATACTTCACTTTTGTTGTGGCGAGAAGAATATTGATTTTTTTTAATATGTCCAGGGTTATGACTACTAAATTTTTATTGTCAGATTTTATTCCTGAGTTCCGAAATTATGGTGCTTCCATCTTTTACAGATTGCGCTTGACCCTAATTAGTTTTTTCTGGTTAATATCATTAGGACATTGTCCACGTGGGTTATTTAATATTTAATAACTATACAATCTGTATGTTGTCACAAGTAATGTTGTTTTTTTTTCTAAATATTTTTGGTACAAAGGTAACATAGAAAAGTCTTATTTTAATACAAATGAGTTTTCCCTACATAAATTTTGGAAACTAGTAAAATCATTATTTTTAAATGTTTATACATTAAATTATTTATATTAAATATTATGTTCTTTTTTTTTTAATCTGTACTGTTTTAAAAAAAAGTCAAAGGTTATATTATAAAAATGGATCGTAGTGATTTTTTGATAGCATTTCATCCAACATTTTATGTGACAAACGGACAAATAGTTCAAAATTTATTTGTATATATCGTCATATTGACTTTCCTTAAAACATACTAAAAGATCTTAATATACTTTATATGTATATATATATATTTTTATATATTATTCAGCATAAGTAGTATTATTGTTCTACTTAAAGTATGTATATGTATGTAAAACTATTCAATTTTGAAATAAGCGTTAGTGAAACAATTCAATATTGCTTACGTTTGGTTATTTGTGGCTTTTTTCACAAAGATAATGTCTGAATGTTTAGAGAATTTTCATTTAAAAGAATATAATTACACTGTATTTATAGCTTAATATGTATTATTTAAGATACAAGTGTAATTTTTTCTACATATTTCATTTATAAATTGTATATTGCTTATAATTTTGACAGAGTTTCATCAAAATTGACTTAGTTTAACTGAATTGATTAGATATGTCTTTTAGTTATATAAGACTTATTTGTGAACAAAGTTACATAAAATAACCAAATTTTAAACAATTAGTTATTATACAAATACAGTAGATTCAAACTTTGTAGAAGTTAAATGGATGTTTCAAAATATAATAATAATAATTATCAAATCCTTTATCCCCTTATATAGACCCCCAAGGCTACTGTAGGGAACCCCCAGGACTACTACAGGGACCCCCCAAAATGAAGGTTAAAAGGGGCCCGGCAAGTAAAACCAAGTTGCACTCTCAAATTGGTCGATAAAAAATGAGTATACTATACATACAGATTTTGTTTATTTTTTTTAAGATAAAATTATAAATATTCAGCATATCTAGAAAAGTGACATATTATTATGAAGACCGGAGATTATAATCTATAATTGATTCCCCATACAAACTTTCATCCCCATTTTCACCCACTTAAGGGATGATTTCAGGTATAAAAAGTATACTATGTCCTTCCCAGGGTTTCAAACTATCTCCTTACCAAATTTCATCTAAACCAGTTCAGTAGATCTAGAGATTATCCCCTACAACGTCACAAACTCACAAACTTGTGCCTTTTTACATATTAGTATATCATAGAGATGGAATGAGTACCTTCTTTTTTGAATTTGGTCAAAAAGTTTGTGTCAAATATCTTTAGTGTACATTTTGACGGTAAAACTAAACTAGTATTTTATTGTAAAAATTTAAATTAAAAAAATAGTATGGAATATCTCATTTTGACGACAGGTCTAGCTAAGTTTGTAGTTACCATACTTGTTCCAGCGGTCGCGGGTTCGAGTCCCGCGGGGGGCATTCATTTGTGTGATGAGCACGTTTGTTTGTACTCCAGTCATGGGTGTTTATATTTATAATATGTATGTATTTAAATTTATATAATAAAGTTATATATGTGTAGTGTATCAATAGTCTGGTATCCATAACACAAGCCTCGTAGCTTACCATGGAATTAGATGGTGTTGTGAGTTAATGTCCCAAACCCCAACATATTTATTTCTTTATTTTATTTATATCAAATAATTCATTTATCACAGATAAGTAATGTAAAGATATTTTCCACTCTTTCATTTTTTTTTTAATTTCAATGGTTTAAGCTTTTTTTGAATTATTTATGTACTTTGATGTGAAATTAGGGGAAAAAGCATGTTTTTACTTAAAATTGGATATTTTTAGATAATTTAAATATTTTTTATATACATGACTACAATTTTCTTTACTAACGCTACGTGTTAGAAATATTTAACAATGGGCCTTTGTGGGTGTTGAAAAGCGTTGGGAGTTATATTTTTTGTTTAATTGTAAGTTTTTTAAATTATAAGTGTAGCCTTTTATTGTATAATTTTGTATAGTATATACATGTATGTATAGAATATGTCTTGTACTGAGGAGTGTAACCGCGCGAAGCGTACAAATTATATTGAAAAATCAATAAATAAATGTATTTTAAAACTATATTTGTTTTTATTTCTTTGTGAAGTAAAACTTTTTTGGAATCGTTGTGATTTGAAACTCGATGGAACGGAAATTTGACTGTAAATAGAGAAAAATCTATACGATTAAGCAGGCGAGTAAAAGGAGATAGTATATATTGCCATGTTGCCATGGTAACCGTTGCTACTGCCTTATTTATTTTTTTTGATTCGCGGGGAAACCCCTTTACGGGTGCGCGCGGGGTATGTGGGACTCCTGCCGTGAGAAGCGCGATGGATTATCTACTAAAACCACCATGGTGATCCCGATCGCCTAAGACAGGGCCGCGGGGTCGCTTGCGCATTCGACTTATGTCCTATAATTACAAATAGTCCTTATAAATGTCCTACCGCATATATTTTTTTACGAGGACCACAAGTCCAACTCTAAACTCAGCTTTTTTACTAAATTTTACTCTACCCACTCTTCCGTGTCTTTCTCTGTATGTGGACCACATTCGTTTTTGAAATAGGCAAATCCTAGGAACTTTGATTTTTCTTTGCATTGGGGCCCAGAAAGGTTGGTTACCACTTACCCTACTGGTGGAAATTGCTCCCCCCCAACGTGCGTTCACTTTGTCGTGGTGGAGGGGATCAGTAGTGCCCGGCAATACAGCCGGGCGCGAAGCCAAGAAAGGCACAGGGAGGTGACCCACTTCAGTCACTGAAGTGGGTCACCTCCCTGTGGTACCGCCCACTGTGGGCGGTGGGCGGTGTACCATACGGGTTGCTCCTGGTATTTCTCTGATAGCAGAATGGACCTTGGAACAACTCCATGGTTGTTGTGGTCTGCTTCAGCAGAACTGCCATCGGGGTGTCGTAGTTGAACGCGTAAGCGATCCTGCGACGCCCCATTAAGACGGGCGAAGGTTTTGTTGGGTTTTAGTGGGTAGTACTGGCTTTGCCGGTGAGTCCCACAACTCGTGCGTAAATGCCTTTCCCAACGTTAAAAAAAAGAAACTGGTGGCAATTGCTTTTTCTCCTTACTTGAAGAAGTTTTTTTTTTTTTCAAGTTATGAAACTACTCTAGGTATATTAGTAAATAAAATACAAATATATCTAACATCCTCTTTTATTACATCAAATAAATTATAAAGTTCATAGACAATATTACTTTTTAATATTAATAAAAAGCGCATGCACTGTCCGTCTGTCGCGTTCAACACACCGTAGGTACGAAACTTAAAGCTTATGTTATACAATACACCTTAAAATTATGAGAGAAACTGTTTATCCATAGTTAAGAAATGGGTAATTAAAAAAAATAAAACTCGATTGAGACAAGCATGGCCTAACTTACAATTTTAAGTATAATACAAAAGTTTTGACAAGTTTGATACAACTTTCTTCCAATAGAAATAAATGGCGTCACAAATGTCATATTTGTGTTATTTTTTATATAAAAATGTAAGTTAGGGCACTTTTGTTTTGACATCTTCAAATGCTTTTTTTGTATTGACGTTATTTAACTATGAACAAATCAATTTCACTCTGAATAACAAATTATTAATACTGAAAATGATACCATTAAATGCGCTGATGACAAAAAAAAACTACCATTTTGGTAGTTTATGGTAGAAAATAAATACGGAATGTCGACCAATGAAACTTAATCTCTACCTTATCTAAAAATTTACAGATAAGCCTAAAGCTACACATTAGCAACAAAACTGCAATAAATATAATAATCTATTATTATTATTATTATTATTATACTTTACAAAAGAATTCTTCAGTCGAAATCTATTTTTATTCTAAAGGATACATAAAGATGGCAAAAATTCGAATTCGAATCGATATGTTGGTTAATTTTATATGGCAAGGTAAAACAAATTACATAAGGCCAAGTTCATATTATAGTGCCAATCAAAACCAAGTTTGGTCCATATATAGACTTTACTCGGTCCATGGCACGCCAATATGGACCAAGCCTAAAAAGCCGAATTTCTAACTTATTAATCGAATCAATAAACATCTAGCCATAAATATATTATTATTAAATGAACACAATATATTGTTTAAGAATATTTCATATGTAAATGGCAGTTTTATAATTAAGTTTGACATTATGTCAAAAATGAAAAATAAATGGAAAAAGATTATATTTATGGCGAATATATATAAAGAGTTGGGATAAATAAATAAAATAATATGTTTTAATTTTTGTAATCTACATTTATGACGTATAGATTATAAATAAAGATAAAACGACAGATAGCCTCCAGGGCTTAACTTATAACAGTAAATGCACTACCTATTTGAGTATATTTAATATTCTAATTGGGTACAATATTAGATCTAAGTTACATACAAAATCTTATCAAAATCAGCATTTTAGAGAAAGTTCCCGAATATGGATATTTCTAGATCATTGTTTTATAATACGATAAAAATCTTTTTAAAACATATTTTTTATAAAAAAAGAATATTTCTTGAATGAAAGTTGCTATGATATAGGCTATCTCCTTTCTTTTCTATGACAAGGAAGAGACAGATATATAGAACTTCAGTTTTTAAATGGTGGGTAGTTTGTAATGTCGATTGTTGACTAAATATTGTATATAGCAAAATGTTTAAAAAAGGTTTACGTATTTTATGAATGATATTGTTTTTTCTTTGGATTTATTATGGAAAATGGGGCTTTGATAAAAAAATGAATATATTTTTCTCTTTATGTAATATTAGGCCATGTGTATTTTAAAGAGATCATCCCGAGTTTAGACCGTTGCATTGTGGCTAGTAAAAAAAAAAAACATTATGGACATTTATTGTCTGTGGATTTTCGTTGGCTAGTTTGAATTCCTTAAGTATTTGCATAAAACTATTAGAACCTTAAAACAAATCTCATATTGTAAATTAATTAATATATATTAAATCCTACTTTATTTTTAATGTCACATCACATTCAACTACAACGGTTGCTTTTGCAGTGCATTTTTAAAAAAAACTTTAATATCGCTCTTTCACTCAATATATGTTGGCTTATGTTAGAGTGAGATAGATAGATTGTAAATAAAACTTGTATTGAACTTTTCTAATACTTATAGCCATCTCATTTTAGATGTGATAGAAAGAGATAGCAATATTTATGAGTTGTTTCGAGACGATAGAGATGGTGAGATGTTTTATGTGCTCGTTTTCATTTTTATATACAGAATGGTAAACTAAACAGAATTTTTCAATTGTTTTTTTTATTACTTTTTAATTAAGTCTTAAAATATTGACAAAGTAATTTTTTACATTTAAAAAATTTAAAATAATGGACCATATAAAAAAATAAACAAATTCTACTGTATATTCTAACTTTAATTTACCACTTCTATACGTAACTTAATTATTTCCAAACAATTGCAAAGCCGACTTTCAATACAAGTTTTGGTTTATATATTTATTTATGCGTTTTACGTTATATTTTGGTATGTCTGTATGTTTGTTTGTGTATGTGTGTTTAGTGCAGGAAGGTACTGTTTCTGGGGCATTTCTTACCGCAAGCGCACTTGCGCACTATCTCAATGTCTTTGGTGTATCGCGTGCCGTCCGAGCAGACCAGGCGGATCTGAGAACAAAATTGTACATATATAAATAAATATGTCGGGACATTAACACACTACGAGGCTTGCGTTATGGATACCTTTGTGGCACAACATTAAATCATTTCCATACAGTATAAAAAACATCTAAGTAAAGAAAGAGAAAGAATCATACCTTCCTCTTCTTAGTCTTCCTCGGCGCGCAGCACATGTTGCGTGCGCAAGCACCGGCGAGGGTTGAGGGGCCTGTGAGATCCCCTGGCGAGGGGTCGTGGTCCCGAGAACCCCCTGGTGCGGGGCCTGAGGCACCCGTGGCGGGGCCCCTTAGTGTGCACTTGGCCCCGCGCACGGGGCGACGACTGCGACACGACCCCTCTGTTATATACTCACGAGTTGCTTCCTAGTACATACATATATAATATTAAATTTATAGAATTTAGTGTAGTGAGACTTTAAGAAATAGTGGAAAAAACTTGCAATGCGAAAAGACAGACAGACGAAAATTTCAAAAACTATAGGATTCAGCTTCTATACGAGTATCTATAATAATGAATATTTCAATAAGATTTTCAAGAAAATATTTAATGTACAGATTCGACTCAGAATTCTATTATACCCTCGTCCTCTCAGACGGGGAAGGTTTTGTTAGGTTTTAGTGGGTAGTACTGGCTTCTCTAGCCGGTGAGTTCACAAAACCTCCTGTATGTATACAGGTGGTATGCGTAAACGTATCAACTAACATTTTTAATTAAAAAAATATTTTTTTTACGAATTTAACTAAATATTATTCGAGATAAATCTACGAAAAATCCAAAAAGATAGTTTTATTTAAAATGTCAAATATTCGCGTAAATCTAAAAAATGATGTATTACATTAACCAACGTTTAATAAGGAGGATTATTTATATTTTATTTATACAAGTATAGTAATAGGTACGTACTTTGCGACAGAGAGCAGCGGGAGTGGACTGTAAGGACTCGTCTGGATACAGCTTATGTGCCGGTGCCGCTGGAAATAATAATAAAAAAAATTTAGTTTTTCTTTTATTAAATAAATAAATACAGGACATAGGATAGGTTTTATCCCGGAAATCATCCTTTATGTGGGTGAAAATGGGGATGAAAGTTTGTATGTGGAATCAACCCGAGCGAAGTGAGGGTGAGTCGCTAGTATTATATAAACTATATACTATGAATGTATGTATGGTCAATTTAGACAAAAATAGTAGTCAAATAACAAAAATTTCCGGAAAAGTTTTATTATGACTCTTAGAATCGCGATATCTCACGAACAGTAACTGTTAGGAAAAAAATTATAAAAACCATTTTTGTAGAGAATTTTAAGATCTACAACTTTAGTTTGAGTTTTTTTTTATAAAATTTACCGTTTGCAAGAAAAATCCAAAAAAACCTCAAATTTTGACTTTGACCCCCAATAACTTTTGTAGCACACGTAGGATAGATGGGGACTTTTAAAACTTTATTTGTAATTGTAAGCCCCAGCTCTCCACCAATATTTGGCTTTCTAGGAATTTTTGTTATTTTAAATGTCTATAATAACCGGATTAGGATGTACTATTGTGTAAATATTGCTATCCTCTTTCTGACAGAAAAGAATAATGAGATATATAATATGACGACACGTTTGGCTCAGTTTGTAGTGGCCTTACTTGCTGTGTCACCTGTCGCGGGTTCGAGTCCCGCTGGGGGCATTCATTTGTGTATGAATACGAATGTTTGTACTCCAGTCATGGGTTTTATAGTTTACATATATGTATGTGTAGTGAATCAATTATCTGGTATCCATAGCACAGGCCTCGTAACTTATCATGGAACTAGATGGTGGTGTGTGTTAATGTCCCAATATATCTATACTTATTATAAAAATAAGTCCCCCGGCCGCGTCTTTCTGTCCTCCTGTCTGTCCTCCTGTCTGTCTGAACGCGATAAACTCGAAAACTACTGAACGGATTTTTATACGGTTTTCAACAATAGAAAGAGTAATTCTTGAGGAAGGTTTAGGTATATAATTTATTATGCTTTTATGTAAATTAGCTGAAATACGGCGACAAATGTTGAAGAGGTCGCAAAAAATCTCGCCAAATGGGAACTTTCCACGCGAACGCCGCGTAAACTAGCAAAGATACAGTTAAGTAATGTACTAGAGAATTCAAAATCTATAAAAATGCTACAAAAAAGTCCGCGATAGCATATCTCTATCTCTTACGGTTGACTTACAATAACCACTTTTATGTTAACATTTTTAATTAAAAACATTACGTTATTTTCAAAGTTATTTTCTTTAGTTCGGTATTAATCCTTATCCAAATGAATATTTTAGTTAGCTTAGTCATTTAATGCAGATTAAAATTGCTCTTTACACTAAATCAATCAGATGAATAGTTTTTGAGATATCGTTGTTAGAAGTAATTAGTAGCGAAACATTTTTAATGCTTGGCGAGCATTGAGATGCCTACGGCGAGTCCATCCCCTCTGCCCCGCATCGCTCGACCGCCTGCTCAAGCTATATAAACCGGGCGATGTAGCGCGCGATCCTAGGATAATTTTTACCGCGGGAAAATATCTTATTTCTGAGGAAAAATACAAAAACTGCAATGTAAGAGTATACTAATATGTAACACCTAAGAATTTAGTTTTTGGTCATCTGAACGCGGGCGGAGCCGCGGGCAATGCTAGTATATTTATATTATTGTATGTATATTACCTGGCGATGCTTGCACGTTGCTGATGATCTGCTTGCGCGGAGGCAGCTTGGACTGGGTGATGACGGGGGCTCCCCCTGAGACATGTTCATTGGAATATTATTATATGTGTATATATATATATATATATATATATATATATATAAATATATGTGTGTGTGTATGTTACATTTAAAGCGTTGGTGGTGTCATATAAATTTTAAGAAAAAGAAAACCAAATTATTGAAAACGTAATACGAAATATCACGTTACTTATTTCGTATTACGTTTTCATTAATTTAGTTTTTTTTCATAAGCTACAAATTTTACTCTCAAGCGAAGAAAAAAAAATATTTTTTTTCGCTCCACCCTGTATGAGTATATGTGTATATGGGCGTGTGAGTGTGTGCGTGTTTGTACCAGTGGTGAAGGGTGAAATTTTAGCAGAGGTAAGCCGTTCCAAAAATATACAATTTTTATATTATGTATTAATGCAGAAAGAAATAAAGAGATATAATATATATATATATATATATATATATATATATATATATATATATATATATATATATATATATATATATATATATAAATGTAATTATGTATAAAAAATTATTTGTTTTTTTTCTTATGATAGAACTCTTTTTTTTTCTTTCTTCTTTTGTTGTTTAAGTAACTAATAATAATAGTGTCTTTAAATATTTTTTTATAAATGTTCCGTGTAATTACGTGGTTACCTATAAGTATGAGATCAGTTAGATTTAGACCTCCTTTGTACAATTCTGTATTTTTGTTAAGTTACTGTATATCATATTGGTGATCCTAAGTAAATAAATAAATAGCAAAACACATTTTAAGTACGACGTATGGTATGGACCCTTCGCCACTGGTATGTATGTATGTGTGTGTGTGTGTGTGTGTGTGTGTGTGTGTACCGACCGACGGAGGCGCGCAGCTCGCACTGCGCGCCGGCGGTGCCCGCGCGGCAGCGGCACGTGTAGTCGGAGGGCGAGCCCGCCTCGCGCACGCAGCGCCCGCCGCGCGCGCACGGGTTCGGCACGCACGGGTCCTGCCGGAACATATACACTGTCTATACTAATATTATAAAGAGGTAAAGTTTGTGAGTTTGTGACGTTGTAGGGGGTAATCTCTGGATCTACTGAACCAATTTAGATGAAATTTGGTAAGAAGATAGTTTGAGACCCTGGGAAGGACATAGGATACTTTTCATCCCGGAAATCATCCCTTAAGGGGGTGAAAATGGGGATGGAAGTGTATAGGGAAGCAAGCTAGGGAGGTAGAGGGTATATATATGAGGTGGTACCGGGTCGTGCGCGCCGTCCTCCTGCAGCGCGTGGCGCGCGGGCGCGGGCGCGGGCTCGTCGCCGCCGCAGCCGGCGCGCGTGCGCGACGCGCGCAGCGCGTTCACGAAGTCCACGCGCTTGTGGTTGATCCACGCCTCCTTCAGGCATCCTGCCGGTGGGTAAATGAATAAATATGTTGGAAAATTAACACACAACGCCATGTAGTTCCATGGTAAGCTACGAGAACTGTGTTATGGATACCAGATAATTGATACACTACACATATATAACTATAAATACATACATTATTAGGGTGGCCCAAAAAACTTTTTTTCTTTACGAAAATTTCTTTACGAAAATATGTTAGTTTATCATGTTTTAAGAGCCCCCTCCAAAGCGCAGTTTAAAAAAAAAATTTAAGAGGTCGCTCAAAATTTTTAAAAATGGCCATCCTAACATACATATTATAAATATAAACACCCATGACTGGAGTAAAACGTTCGTGCTTATCACACAAACTAATACCCCCAGCGGGGCTTGAACCCGCGACCGCTGACACAGTAAATAGGACCACTACAAACTCACAAATTAAAAACTTTAATTAAAACGCCATCTATCGACACTTATTTGAACTAATTTTTCTATTATAATTTAGACTATGTAGTAATTACTAAATACTTAAGTTTTTTTTTTAATTCAATATCAACTTATAACAGTCCAAACAACCACAAATATAAATTCAGTAGAAATAAAAGCAAGCCCACCTTTAAAACTAGTAATATTCCGTAGATGCCATTTACTGAAAGCATGCTTGGCGACGTCAGCCGGCACGCCGCCCACGAACATCGGCCTTTCCAGGCGTAGGTACTCGTTACTGCCTAGAAATAAAAAATAAATAAATAAATATTTACAGTTGTTGTACGAGCTGAAACGAAAACCCTACAAAATCTTTGGTTGATAGTGATTGATACAGATAGAAATTATTGATTAGTAAATGATAGTAGATATTATTGATAAAACGATCCGTGAGCGCGCACGACGACTACGACACTACTTTTCGGACTCATTAATTAAAATTATACAGGGTCATTTTTAATTTACTGAAAACCTTTTGGGAATATACTATTTACATCATAACAACAACATCCGTAACAAGAAAAAAATAATATTTCTTAAATTTTTATTTTCATAAAAAAAATAAAAATATTTTTTTGCACCTTCTAAACTTTAAAGTTCTAGCATCTGGCCAAGTTTAAATGAGTAAGCGTGGCTTCCTACACACCTCCCCCCCTCCACCCCTCCCCCTCCACCCCTCCTCCTCCACCGGACACGCACTTTCTTTTGCCAATGCTGGAGTATTATCGTTTAGAAGGATTTATTAGGATTACATTTGTTCAAACCTTCATTAATGATAGATCTGGCGGGTCCGTCGTCGACGCGCAGAGTAAAGTTCTTTTTAACGGCGATCAACTCCGCCTTGTGGTAGTTGCCGTCGGATACCATTTCGAAACTGCAGTTATAAAAAAAATGGTTTTTTTATTATAGTAGTAACATTCTTTATAAGTTCAATTTATCAAAATCAGTGCAGCATCAAGATCATCTTGAACAGAAAATCAGGAAAGTATAAAAAAAAAAAACAATATTTTTGTACAATGTAAACAAAAAAAATGGTTATTGAATCTCCCTCGCACTTGTACTCATATACTTAATGTATGTTTATAATAATGTATCAAAGCTAATTCATAGACAGACAAAAATATAATACTTTTAATAATAATAATTTAACAATTTTCAATATCTCACTACTGCACCGACTTTTCCTCAACGCGAAATGATTCAGGCCAATTTTAGTATCCTCACAAAAGTTCAAGTTGGTATTTAAATGTCTTTCAAGAATTAGAAATGTTCTATCAAATATCACAGCGTTTTACCAATGAGCTACCACTACTGATCTACCTTCTCTCTCTCTCTCTTTCTCTCTCTCTTTCCCTGATTCTCTATCTCCCTCTCCCACTCACCTGTACATAGTGGAAGTGGGATAGTTGCCAACATCATAGCTGATGCGTATCCTGCCGTTGAACAGTTCTACCGCTAGATGCTCATTGTCCCCAAAATACATAAGGACTCCGTGGAGTTGTTTTGTACTGAATACTGAAATGGAAATTGTTTATTTAAGAGAAGATGAATAATTTGGTTTAAATAACTTTATTTCTCATGTCTTTTACATGACAAATTTAAAGCTATAGTAAATTACTAACGACTCAGCGTCGGGTTCGTTTTAACGTTTAGTATCGATTTCTTAGAGATGAGATTTTTGCATTTTTAGGACCACACTTATATAATAAACTAAATAAAACATTAGACATTTACTACCTTAATAAAATAGACTGTAAAAAAACTGTATTTGATTACCTGCAAAAATTAACTTATATTGAAACTGAAAACCTTCTTAGTATTCATATCTGATCATAATATTTATTATATAACTTGATCCTGCAATATTGCCTATGTAAAATAATAATACCCAGGCACACACACGCGCATACACACACACACACACACACACACACACACACACATACACAGACACACATTACACACTCCTCTCCTTTAATTGCTCACACACATTACACTCATTACACAAATACTTCTTACAGTCATGCATTACACATCTTAAGAGAGAGGAATGACATATTTAGTAATATTAATTAATATCTTTAGTTGATATGTAATTCTTTATTTTTTTTGGTAATATTTATGTCACCTAACCGTGGGGATATGGCGCTGACAGCTGATGCACAGGTCTCCTAGTTCGGCTGCAGATGCTATGTTTTAAATATTTGTATGTACCAAATTAGATTTAGTTAGTGTTAAGCAAATATCTGGATGTACTTACTACCTTTTGGAAATAAAGAACTTATTATTATTATTATTATTATTCTCTCGCAGTAAAAAATATCCTATATGACCCGGATAACCAGCTATCATCATACTAAATTTCATAAAAAAAATTGTCCAGTGATTTTCTCGTGATGTGTTCTCAGACAGATAGACAGACAGACAAAAATTCGAAAAACTATAGATTTGGCCTCTGTATCGATAATGATTATTTCAATAAGATTTGTCCAATAATATTTAATTTACAATTTTTATAATACGAGTATGTATAGATGTCTGTTACACGAAAAACATATAGCTATAGTAAATTATAACAGTTGATCAGTAAAACTGATAACATCCGAAAGAATGTACTAACATAATCTAGACTTTTAGAATTTTACATTTTTTTATTTTTTTCCGTAAACTAGGAGTTTTTTCACCAGAAATTAGTATTTTTTTGTCTAGACATGGCTTCAGTCATAGGTAATTTTACTAACATTTCGAGTAGCATAACAACGTGTTAGACCTTTTTCTTACAAAAGATCTTCAGTATGAAATATCTATAATTTTACGCATAAGTATACAGATTACAAAATAAAAAAAGATTGGTTAACAGACACGTATAAAAAAAATAAAAACGGTCTGTGGCGTTATTTACTCTTTTGAAAAAAAAAATAAAAAAAAAAACTCACCAAGAGTGACGTTAGCCTGCGGCGCAGTACGCAGCGGTTCTAGCTCCACCAGCGAGTCGTTGTAGTTGAATGTGAGCGATGTAAGGTATTCGCAGAGGCGACCTGGAAAACAAAATGGAAGCCTTTATATAAGCTGTGGTTAATATTTACAAAATAATTGTAATATTTCAGATCATAAGGGAACAAAAATATCTTTATATTTTATACTAGCGACTCACCCGTTTTAACGGTTAGTATGAAATACAAATTTTTGAATTTATTGGCTTTTCTGTACTGTAATAGGCATGTATTATGCATGTAAACCTTCCTCTAGAATCACTCTATCTATTGCTGAAAACTGCATTAAAATCCGTCGAGCAGTTTAAAATATCGAAGCGAACAGACAGCGGAAGTGACTTCATTTTATACTATGTAAAGATTTATGAATAGTGTCTAGCTCGAAGGACCATAAGGAATTAGTATAGATATATTTTTTGTTTAAGTTTATTTTATATTTTGAACGTTTTTAATGTTGTGAACTGTCACAAACAGAATATTTCGATATAATACATATGTAATAATTTTGCAAATTTTCACTTTTCATTTGTTTTATTAGAAGTAATTTTGAAATAATTATTGGTTCAATGTTTTTTTATTAAATTTTTACACTAGTACAAATGTATATATAAACCACCTATAGAAAATTTTATATATCTATTTATTTATACACTAGCGACTCAACCCCGCTTCGCTCGGATTCGTCCCTAGCTAGATTCCTCATACAAACTTTCATCCCCATTTTCACCCCCTTAAGGGATGACTTTCGGGATAAAAAGTATCCTACGTCCTTCCCAAACTCTCAAACTATCTTTTTACCAAATTTCATCTAAATCGGTTCAGTAGATCCAGAGATTACCCCCTACAACGTCACAAACTCACAAACGTACAAACTTTACCTCTTTATAATATTAGTATAGATAAGTCATAATTGTCTAATTTCCAAACAACCAAAAGTAAGGTTAGACTTCGTTATTGTGTTAATATAAGAGTCTCACCCGAGTATCCGGGCGCGCACTTGCAGAGGTAGTCGGCGTGAGGCAGCATCGGCCGGTCCATCACAATGTCGTCCTGGAGACCAGGAACTGATATTAAATTACACACCCGTCTTATTTATATAGTAATAATAAATAATTCAGCCCTGTCTAAAAGTAAAAAAAAAGTGCTAAAGTCCCACTGCTGGGCACAGGCCTCGCAACCTTGCGCGAATTCAGACTTTAGTAACAACGGTTAGTATAGATATCTCAGAGATGTGACATTTTCCCGCAGTAAAAAGTATCCTATACGTTGACCCGGATAACCGGCTATCATCATTCCAAATTTCATCAAAATCACTCCAGTGGTTTTTTTGTGATGCGGTAACAGACAGACAGAGAGACGAAAATTCTAAAAACTATAGATTCGGCTTCTGTGCCGATAATAATATTCATTTCAATAAGATTTTCAATATTTAATGTACAGATTCGGCTTAGTTACAATTTTATTATATGTATAGATTAAAAAAAAGCTTTTTTTTAAATGGTTGATTAGCTGCGAGTGAATGCATAATTCGAAACAGTAAGTCGTTAGACATTAATTTTATTGGCCATTTATTTAAAACGTGCTGAGAGTTTGATGTTATTTAATTTTATTTTTTTTATTTCTGTTTAAATAGCAATATTATGTTTTGCAATTCATTTAATAATAAATAATTATTTTATTTATGTTGAGAGCGTTTGTATTTAAAAGTAGGCGATAATGTTATTATGAGTAAAATTAATCTTGTAATTTAAGAAAATATTATTTATCTGTGTATGCGAGTTTCAAGTGTTCAAGTGTGCAGTCAGTGTATTAAATCATTTATTGGGTCAACCAAGTGTTGTAAATATTATTAACAAACACTTATATTAAGACTAAACATACTCTACTCGTAATATTTATATGTGTACGTGACAGACAAACGTGTATATGCGTCTTTGTGTGTGTAATGTGTACAAGTGTAATGTGTATGTGTATCACTTCCCCACACATTCCTCTCCTTCTCACTCTTTCTATATGTGTGTATGTATGTACAGGTTTCTCTGTATCTCTCTCTCTCTCTTTCCCTCTGTATACAGAATCATGTTCATTTTACTGGAGACCTTTTGGGAATATACTATTTACATCATAACAACAACATCTGTAACAAAAAAAATCTATTTTTTTTATTTTCATACAAAAATAAAAACATTTTTATTGCACCTTTTAAACGGTGATAGTCCAAGCATCTGGACAAGTTTAAATGAGTAAGCGCCGCCTCCTGCACCCCTCCACCCCTCCCACTTCACCGGTCACGCGCTTTCTATTGCTAATGCTGGACTATAATCGTTTAGAAGGTACAATAAAAATATATTTTTTGTAAAATTTAAGAAATATTATATTTTTTCTTATAGATGTTGTTGTTATGATGTAAATAGTATATTCCCAAAAAGTTTTCAGTAAATTAAAAACGACCCTTTATATGTGTGTGCTTAGTTGTACATGTAATAATATGCGTATGTGTGTGCGTGTGTATGTACGTACAGGTTTTTCTGTCTCTTTCTCTCTGTATATATGTGTGCTTAGTGTGTGTGTGTGTGTGTGTGTATGCGTACGCACGTGCAGCGCCTGCGCGGCGGCGGCGACGGGCAGGTAGCAGACGCCGTGCACGCAGTCGTGGTGCGCGCAGGGCGAGGTGCCGAGCGCGGCGTGCGGCGCCGCCTCGCAGTAGCGGCCCGCGTGCCCGCCGGCGCACGCGCAGCGGTACTCGTCCAGCCCGTCCACGCACGTCGCGCCGTTCTGGACGACATTGGTACATCACACACCCGTCTTATTTATATAGTAATCACAATAATTCAGCCCTGTCTAAAAGTAAAAAAAAAGTACTAAAATCTCACTGCTGGGCACAGGACTCCCAACCATGCGAGGGGTTCAGACTATATAACATACTAGTGACTTACCCTCGCTCTGCTCGGCTACTCGTACCTAGCGACTCAATCACTAGGTACGTTTTAACGGTTAGTGTGAAATACAAATCTTTGAATTTCTCGGTTTTTCTGTACTATAATATGCATGTATTATACATATAAACCTTCCTCTTAAACCACTCTATCTATTAAAAAAACCGCATCAAAATCCGTTGCGTAGTTTTAAAGATCTAAGCATACATAGGGACAGACAGACAGCGGGAAGCGACTTTGTTTTATACTATGTAATGAAACATAAATACAAATTGCCTAGCAAATATGAGTCAAACCTATAAATGTCAAATTCATAAATCGAAAGTTCCAATTGTCTCAACACAAATTCGAACTTACGCACACCAAATAAAGTACATTTTTGAACGAAAAAAGAATAATATAGAATTTATTCTTCAAAAGAATTACAATAAATCCACTTATATATGACACTGATTTATTTTTTTAATTCATTGATAAAGAATTTAACGTACCTAAGATATGTATATATATATATATATATATATATATATATATATATATATATAGATAATACAAAGTAACAAAAATGAAGGTTATAAAATTACCATAAAACCTTTATATTATATATTTATAAAAATCCTTTTACATTGCTTTATATATAAATTAAAACATGTTATATTAAAATCACTTGTTATACTGAGTTTGTTTGTTTGAGCTAATCTCAGAAACGAATGTATGGACTTTCATACAATTTTCACCATTCAAAAGAATCTATAGGTTGTTATTTATGAACAACGCAAAAATGAGCTATCGTTATGACGGTATTTGTGTATTATTCAGAAAAAAATCATCCCTTTTGAGAGGGCTTCCTTGTTCCTTATACTATAAAATCGAAGCATCTCGGTTCAATCAAATGTGAAGACAGATAAATCTTTGTACCTCATTTTTAATTTATTTTTGACTTTTGTTTCCTCATCATCTCTTTCACTAATTCCACACACGTTCACTCCATTCTATTTACTTTTAGAAAGATTGATGCATATGAAATAAAAAAAAACATAACACCCAAAGAAAAAGAGATATTAGAATCTAACAATCATTACATTAAAACATTCTCCACTCCACTCCTTTCATCACAATTAATATATTAGATTATTGACATATTTAAACCGAACTTCGTGTCGTCTCCATTCTACGTGATATTGTCGAAGCAATCTGTGCTCAACTGGCACGCTTTGAAGCCATTAACAAGAGAATTGAATTGCCATATTTAGTACGCTGTCCAGTCCACTCAACTCTAATCCACTCCACTCTACTCCAATCTACTCCACTCCACTCCAATACACTTTACTCCAATCTACTTCACTCCAATCAACTCTGATCCACTCTACTCTACTCCAATCTACTCCACTCCACTCAACTCTAATCCACTCTAATCCAATCTACTCCACCCCACTCAACTCTAATCCACTCCACTCCTCCCCACCTGGCACATATGGTTGATACAATCGTCAGCATTGACGGTGCAGTTCTGTCCGGAGTACCCGCGCGGGCACGTGCACGTGTAGTGGCTGGTGTGGTCGACGCACAGCGCGCCGTTAGCGCACGGGTTGAACTCCGCTGTGCAATACGGTATTTTCTTCTCGCAGAATTCACCTGTAAGCAATTTGGTTATATTATTATTTTATATAGTTAAAAGCGGCAAACGAGTACACGATAGTAAATGGCTATCACCACCCATAGGCTATAGATATCTGGAATATAAGAGAAGTTGCGAATTCGTTGCTGACCTTTGTGGGACCTGAAGACACCACTCCTGAAGAGTCCATATTAAAGCGCTCAGGGAAAGCCTCGGGAGGAATATCGTTTTAATACATTAGGTACGTACTCGTGTGAATCGTTAGACATTTCTAAAGTCAAATTAAAAAAAAATGGGTGGCACTCCATACATATGAGGTGATGAACACATCTTACCCATAAAGCCCGGGGCACATTTGCACGTGTATCCCTCGAGGTGGTCCACGCACGAGGCGTTGTTCTGGCAGCGGTGCGCCGCGCAGTCGTCGATGTTGACCTCGCAGCGCACGCCGGTGTAGCCCGGCAGGCACGAGCAGCTGTGGGTTGAAAGGATAGAATCCATCCAGTAGGATCATTGGATTTAATTTGACGACATGTTTGGCTTAGTTTGTAGTGAGCTACTTGCTGTGCCAGCGGTCGCGGGTTCGAGTCCCACTGGGGGCATTCATTTGTGTGATGAGCACGAATTAAAAAAGTAAAATTTCCTGCGGGAATAAATTATTTATAGTGTTCAGAACACACCACAATTATTTCAAATTAAAAAAAATATGCCTTAAATAAATTAATTAATGCGCCGTACTCGCTTTTGACGCCACGCGTGCAACCTAAAAATGTCGCGCGCAGACCTATTTTCAGCGTTAAATTAAAATTATAAATAATGGAGATAGAGCTCCGGGAGTTAAGAGTTTTATATTGGAAATTTCCTCTTCATTCAGAATCTTTTTTTGAAATTTCTTAAATATTAATAGTTTATGAAATAATGGCAAAAAACAAAATGCCATTTTTTTCATCTTTAATTGTTTATAACTTTTGCAATTTTTCATGTGCTAATACACGCTTTTGGCACATTTTTCTAGGCGTCATTTTGGATCCAATGAGCTATCGCACATAATTTTAAGAGCAGTATCTCTATTTTGTACCATTTTCAACTTGTCCACTAGACAATATTAACAATATAGTTTATATAGTACGGAACCCTTAGTGTGCGAGTCGGTTTAGCACTCGACCAGTGTCTAACCAGCTAGATGACTCACTGGAAGCGTCCCTCCTCCAGCAGCTGGCAGGTGCCGTGGGCGCAGGGCGAGCCGTAGCAGGCGTCTATCTGGTGCTGGCAGGTGTCGCCGTGGAAGCCGCGCGCGCAGGCGCAGGCGAAGCCCCCGCTGGGGGAGGGCGTGCAGGTGCCGCGGTTGCTGCAGGGGTTGCGGTAGCAGCGGTCGCACTTGCTTATCACGTCCGGTGGGGGGTCGCCTGGGGTAAGCTTATGTTTTTTTATTTAGAACTAGTGTATTATCCTCATTCCGCTCGGATTCGTCCGTATTTAGTACTTACGTTTCAACGTTTAGTATAGATTTCTCAGAGATGAGATATTTTCTCGCAATAAAAAGTATGGAATATATTGACCCGGATAACCAGCTATCATCATACCAAATTTCAACAAAATCTCTTCAGTGGTTTCCCCGTGATACGGTCACAGACATACAAAAATTCTAAAAACTATAGGTTCGGCCTATGTATCGATAACAATGTCTATATCAATAAAAATTTCCAAAAAAATATTTATTGTACAGATTCGTCTTAGAATTTTATTACATGTATATATTATATGATATATAACCTATAGCCTTCTTCAATAAACGGTCTATCTAATGCTAAAAGAATTTTTCAAACCGGATTAGAAGTCGAGACTAAACCGTTCAAACAAACCAACTCTGTCACTTTATAATATTAGTATAGATGTTGACATATCGGGTTGTAAGTGGTGCGTACCTTTACAAATGAAGGCACTGGAGCTAGTGCTGAGCACGAGCTTGTCCCGCATGGGCGGCGGGTCGGCGCAGCGCGCGATGCCCGCCTCCACGTACTCGCCCGCCACCTTCACCCACTCCGACAGCCAGCGCGCCGCGCAGTCGCAGTACAGCGGGTTCGAGCCCAGCGCGCTGCACGACCAATCGCGTATAATAATAATAATTAATATACAATATTAATATAATAATAATATTATATAATATAAAATAATTTAGATTTCAAATGTATAAATCTATACCGTTTCCGCCATAATGAGAGGCAACACTCTCTCCTGGCCGTCGCTAAGACGCTTGCATACAAATATATAAATATGTTGGGACAAATAAATATGTTGGGAAATTAACACACAGCACCATCTAGTTCCATGGTAAGCTACGAGGCCTGTGCTATGGATACCAGATAATTGATACACTACACACATATAACGTTTTTAAATGCATACATATTATAAATATAAGCACCCATGACTGGAGTACAAACATTTATATTCATCACACAAATGTGCCCCCAGCGGGACTCGAACCCGCGACCATGTGCAATTTACAATAAACTAGTGTTCCTAACAGTTACAAAATCAAGATTTTCATTTGTCTCCAAATGCGACAGCGTAATAAGGCATGGATTTTTTTAAAGACTTCAAAAAAAGGTATTAATTTTGGCAATTGACATACTGTCTGTATGTTTGTCTGTTTGTTTGTCTCAATGAGACTGGTCGCCGTGGCCGAAATTGATCGGGAGGTTATTATACTTAATCATAATTTATGTTTAAGATATTTTAAATAAAACTACCTTTTTGAATTATTTCGCGGATTTATTTTGATTTTTAGTTTCCGACGTTTCGAATGCTTTACAGCGTACATGGTTACGGAAGACACTAGACGATCTAGAAGACTTTTAGACGGCTCAAAGATCATTATAATATACTTGTTACGGACAACACCTACCCACAATTTAAAAAAATGATTCCAAAAAAATCCAAAATGGCTGTTGGCTTAAAATATTTGTTGATTTTAATTCTTAAGTTAAGATATGATAAACAAACTTACACGTGAGATATAGATTCTAAATCTCTGAACACTCCGTCAGCCAGCATTGATATATTGTTACCGTGCAGAGACAGCACGCGGAGTTGCGTCAAGCCTTTGAGAGCGTCGCGCTGGAAGAAACAATACAAAAATTTTTAGGCCTTACAAAGAAGCTTATGATTCGGTAAATATTAGCTTACCTCGAAATCATTAAAAAAAAACGTGTGTGTGTACTTATGTACGCACGTAAAAAGTTATACTTCTTTGGCGTAACAGAACAAAAATAGCTAAAGATTTCATCCCGTATGTCACAACTGTCTGTTTGTAAAAAGATTGCAGCTAATCAACATTTTTTCATCCCAAGATATGTGCAGTCCGCCCGCACTTGGCCAACTTGGCAGACTATGGCCTGATCCCCCTCGTATTGAAGGGAGGCCCACGCCCAGCAGTGGGACGTTAAAGAGGGCTGAATAGATGTTATGTATGGAATGCCACCCCTATTTTTTATATATCGTATATTTGACCACAGAAAAAAAAATCTTAAAGTGACATTAGGACAGACGGACGTGAGATTATAAGGATTCAGTAATGGCCAATTGAAAACTGAATCACTAAAAAGGAAGAAGTACTCAATTCCGCTAGATACTTTTTTTATGTTACTTGTATTCTTTATCGATTGTCAAACGTTTTGTTTTAAAATTCTTTTTTTTTTGGGGTTCCGTACCTAAAGGTTGCCAACGGAACTTTCTACTCCATTACAAAGTCTCCGCTGTCCGTTTGTCTATTAGCGGGCTGCGTCTTATGAACCGTAATAGGTAGAGAGTTGAAATTTTCACAGAGTGTGTATTTATATGGACGCCATAACAACAAATAATACAAAACCAAGATGACGAATTTCAAAATGGCTGCTATGCACATTAAAAAGAATCTATTAGCACATATGATTATATTTTGTACGATGGTATGGAACCCTTTATGTGTCATCGTTCGACTCACACTTGACTAGTTTTTAACGATACATATCTCAAGAGACGTGTCATATAAATATTAAAAAAAACCCCACTGTACCGGTGGAAAAAAAGTTTTTAAGCAACAAAAAGGTAATTTTAAATATAAAAATAACATACCTGTACACATCTGAGTCTGTTATAGCTCACAATGAGTGTAGACAGCTTTGTTAGTCCTTCAAAAGTGTTATTTGAGAGGACGCTTATCTTGTTATTCGAGAGGTCGAGACGAGATAGTTGAGTGAGATGCCTTATTTGGTCGGCCGATATACTGGTTATTTCATTGGATTCTAAGTATCTGTAAAGTTATTTATAAAAAAATTAGCGGCACACCTTCGCTTCGCTCGGGTTCACCTCTAGAAAACCAAAAACAAATCTATCCCACGGGAACCGTAATTTTTATGGCATAAAAAGTAGCCTATTTATTATTCTGATCTCCGAATTATATTATTGTAAAGTTTTATTAAAATCCGTACTTTTTGTGTACTGAGCTGTATAAGCTACTATAGTTTTTAACTATCCCACGGGAACTCTTAATTTTCCGGGATAAAAAGTATCTAAAATGTTGATTGGGGATATAAGATATATGCAAAATTTCATTTAAATCGGTCTAACAGTTTCAGAGATTAGCCCGTACAAATAGATAAATAGACAAACAGACACGAGAAATGAAAAATTTAAAAAAAAAGGGATTTGTTCTATTTCTCTTCATACAGCTCCCCGACTCGATTTTTAGTTTATTTTTCTATATACAAATATTCGATCTCTACAGGTTTATTATATGTATGTAGGTATAGATAGATGCATGACAGTCGGAACCGCATCAAGTACACTTCGCTTCCTTCGACAACTGTGTATAGAATGTATGGGTGTTTGTTTGTTACACCTCCAAGTCAAAACGACTGAGCGGATTTTGATGAAACTTTATAAGTGATACAGAAATAGAAATACATAATTGAATTCACGGCATAAATTCTGTAAAAGGGGACATTAGTTTAGAAAGAAGGAACTGAATACTTTCTTATATTTACGCGAATATTTGACATTTTAAATAAAATAAAAAATTATATATTAATTAAGGAATAAAATGTTAAAAAATAATGTTTTTTTTTATAAAATAGGTAAATCTCGCGACAAGCTTTTATATCATATAAATTGTGTAATTTAATAAATTGTTGAATTTGATTTAATTTATACTTTATTTTCTTCTTTTTAGAGCATTTAAATAAAAGCTTGTAAGTAAAATTATTTTTTCGGATTTTTCGCTGATTTATTTTGATTTTTGGTTGTCGACGTTTCGTTCGTACAAAATTATAAAATTGATTAAAATTAACAAATATTGTAAGGTACTTTGGTGCCATTTCTAAATTTTTTAAATTCATTTTGTTATTTTGCGGGTAGGCACTGCTTGTAACAACTATATAATTCCGCGAAAAAAATTCGAAAAGATAGTTATATTTAAAATGTCAAATATTCGCGTAAATCTAAGAAAGTATTAAAAGCTTGTTTTTAAAAATGTTTATTTATAATTAATGTCTCACAGCTCGGTGGTGTATGGCGGTATGCGCGGCGGCAGCGCGGCGAGGCGCGCGCGCGCGCAGCGCACCACCGTGCCGGCGCACGCGCAGCCGCCGGGGCAGTAGTCCGCCGGCAGGCAGCCCTTGTCCTCCGCTGGGGCGAGTTGGAGAGAGAGAGAGAGTGTTATATAAGAGTGGAGATAGTGTCACCTCCATTCCACGTGGCATGGGCGATCTGTGCTCAACTGGCACGTTTTGAAGTCATTGACAAGAGAATTGAATTGGAGATATATAGGTATTGTTATTTTTATACTGTTGGACGATTGAAAACAAGAACTTCCGCTGGGAGTCGTCGGAGAGAGAGTATAGGTGTAAAAATGGAGATAGAGATAGGTAGTGTGTTATTTTTACACATAATTATTTCAGAAATATTCTCAACACTATTTAAATGATTACACTATTTACAGGATATTTGTAAATATTTTTTTAGTAATGACATTATTTTATGTATCTCAATTAAATGTGCTTATGATAATTTACCTATATACATAAAAATCGATGTGTGTATATTTTTGGACTCCCCAAACACCTGGTGCGATTTTGATGAAGTTTTCAGACAATCTTTAGATTAGTCCAGCGGGTATGAAGCTTGGTAACGATCACTAAAGCTAGTTCTCATATAACACAAAATCTTAATTATTTAAATTCATAACTCAATCTAACTGATAACCTTCTCAGTGAAAGTCGGTCAAATACTCACGTGTACACTTAAAGTCAGCGGGCTCTAGATGGTGCAGTTCGGCGCCGCGGAGGGCGGGCGGCAGCGCGCAGGCGGCGCCGGTGGCGAGGCGGCGCGCGCGCGTCCACGCCGACACCCACGAGATGTGGCATGTGCAGTGCAGGGGGTTGTTTGATAGGGATCTGTGGGTATAATGACGTTGTGGATAACTTTGAACCACCCTCTGGATAAATTCTTTTCTTTTTTTTTAAATCGATAATCGGATAAGAAAAAATTAAAAGCATATTGTATCAATAGGTGATAAGTAAAAAATAACTGATCCAAAGGGCCAAACACCCCCTAAACTCAATTTTCCTACCCAGAGAGGCATTAAAATTGAGTTTGGGGGATGATTAGCCCCTTGGATCGGTCTGTCTTCTTGTTTTAAAATACTTGTCTGGCGAACTTATATAAAAATGGAGCATCAGAGTTTACGTGAAGTTAAGTAATTATTTTGGGACCTTTAAAGCGTTTGCAAAGCTATACGGCCGACGGAAAGTGTCTCGGAGTATTGACGACTTATTTTTAACGATATTGTCTAAAATATACGTGAAAATCAGATTGGAGAATGTACGTGAGGTAAGTAATCTTTTCAGGTATCTTGATTACCCGATACCTGGAAATTGGCCGTCTAACCAAGTTAGCAGGTAGGCATGCGATCTTAGTACATACTAACACTACCCAATCGTCCACATTTCGTTCGTCAGAAAATACGTGACGTCTGGCGGCCCTGGGATCTTGGACTATAATATCAGACTAAGGAATAATATAGGCAGAGTGTTATAGAACTAACAGCCCCCTAACCATGCTTAGGGGATCCCTTAAACTTAGGTGACGGTGAAATCGGACGTTAATTTTCTAGTACATTGTTTTCATGTATCTTTTAAGGTTTAGTCAGTGTTAGCAATATAAATTTCTAAGGACGACTGGATAGAACCAGTTAATGTATTTTCCCGTGGGAATGAAAGATTTTCCCTGTATTAAAAAGGTATCCTAAATGTTGATCCGAGTAATAAGCTATCACTACACAGAATTTACTTAAAATCAGTTCAGTACTTTTTCCGTGAAAAGCAAACAAACAAATAAAAAATACGTTAAAATTATTGTTAAAAAAATATATTTCATGTACAGATTTCGCTTGGTTACTATTTTATTATATGTAACGATTATGTAAGATATAAGAAAGCCGCCACCGGCTCGGAAGGCAGTTCTGCTGAGAAGAGCCCAAGAGAAACTCAACAGTTGCTCTTTTAAAAATAGTAAAAAATGATGTCCTTACATACTTATATCCATATCCATAATAAAATTATAAATGTAAAAGTTTGTGAGGATGAATGAATGGATGTTTGTTACTCAACCACGTCAGAACGGCTAAACGAATCTGGATGAAATTTGGTACAGAGATAGATTATAGTCTGGAATAGTACATAGGTTCTTTGTACGGTGGGTTCCATTGAGATAGATTTGTTTTTGTCTAGGGACGAACCCGAAGTGAAGCGAGGGTGAGACATAAGTACTTTATACTTACAATGTTGTCAGCAAGTTCAAATGATCGAATGACCCTGGAGTGATGCAGCTTATCTTGTTATCCGTTAATGATCTGTTAAATTAAAAAAAAACTCTTTAATAAGAATAGTTTAAGCTATATTAGTGTTCTGTAGAAACATTTATGGAACTCGAATCTCGATAGCTGATTTCGTGAGTATAAAACTTACTAGATGTATGTTCGGATTCAGCTATAGAATACGTATAGAAAAATTACAGAATCAAATCAAATATACTTTATTCAAATAGACTTTTACAATCACTTTTAAATCGTCAATTTTACATTTAAAATTAAAATTAGATGTCAGTATGTAAGTTTGTCAGGAAGCTACCATCGGCTCGGAAGGCAATTCTGCTGAGAAAAGCCGGCGAGAAACTCAGCAGTTGCTCTTTTAAAATAATATTAATTGTTTATAATATTGCAATACAATAATTATCTACTTATCCTACGTGAGACCCAACCAGACATTAGTCCGACAAATTGACATCTACAAAGTATTCCGTGATAGTGAAATAAGCTTTATTCAATAATATATTTTCGATTTTATACTTAAATTATATTAATGAACTACTACTTGTGAATGATCTTTGCTGATATCGATTTTTATAAATAATTCGTTTTTTTTAATAAATAGGTCACACCCATATCAGTGTCGAAAATACCCCATATCAGTGTCGAAAATACCCCATATCAATGTCGAAAATACCCCATATCAGTGTCGAAAATACCCCATATCAATGTCGAAAAGACCCCATATCAGTGTCGAAAATACCCCATATTAGTGTCGAAATTACTCCATATCAGTGTCGAAAATACCCCATATCAGTGTCAAAAATACTCCATATCAGTGTCGAAAATATCCCATATCAGTGTCGAAAATACCCCATATCAGTGTCGAAAATACCCCATATCAGTGTCGAAAATACCCCATATCAGTGTCGAAAATACCCCATATCAGTGTCGAAAATACCCCATATCAGTGTCGAAAATACCTTATATCAGTGTCGAAAATGCACATTTCTCAAGTAGAGGCTGTAAAATTTTAACGGCCTCTGCCTCTTTCTGTGGCTTCCCCAGAATAGGAATAGTCAATCTGAGTGATTCTAAAGTCAATATCTTAGTAGATATTTTTATAAAAAGCAAATTATATACAAAAGTTTTAAATTAGTCTACTTAGAGCAAACCTCATAGTATTAACATGAAAAATATTAAAACTAGATATAACTTACAATGTAGTGAGGCTGTGCAATCCAAAGAACATTTTGTCTGTAACGGTTTGGAGTAAATTTCCATCGAGCAATAGTTCTTGTATCGAGGCGGCTCCGTCGAACGCGTTGTCTTCTATCACTGCTATAGCTTTATAATAAAAAAAAACTGTCAGTCGCTTCTTCTTCTTCAAAAACTTCCTAGCTTCACAAACTTGTAAACTTTATTTTTGGGTTGTTCAGAAATATTTTTTATTAAGTTTCACGCGAGTTTAATGCTTTTTCTCCATCCCAAACGTGCTTAAAGAAGTTTTTACTTAAAAAATATATGCAAAATACATATGTATATACTATATTTAACATCAGATCAGACTATATACATGCAAAAGTTTGTATGTCTGTTACTTCGTCACGTTGAAACGGCTAGACGGATTTGGATAAATTTTAGTACACAGATTGATTAACCAACCCGTACTTGGACAGCGTGGTGGACGAAGTTTCTCTCGTATTGAGACGAAAACCCAAGGGACAGAATTGTAGAAATATCTCCTATAGGATTCGCACTCATTAAATATAACTTTATATTCTTCTAAGTACTCATACAATATATAAATATATGTCAATATATATATTTCCTTACCATTATTTCGCAAATCCAATTTAGTAAGATCTGGAAGTCTTCCAAACAGACCATCAGATTTAATCTGACCTAAATTGTTATCTGGCATAATCCTGAAAAAGAAAATATGATTAATTGCTAGATCAACATAGAATAAATCGGAAGTATCGAAACTATTTACTTCGTAATACTTTTAGCCGTACGGCTATACCGCGATATGAAAAACATCTATGATTTAGATATAAAATGACCAATGAATCCAAGAGAAAGGAGACGTCTACCGGGATTTCTATAAAACACAACACAACCAAAATTATTTCAATATACTTAACACAAAATTATAATTATCTAACACCACCACAAATAAAATGTTCAAGTGAGTTTCTCTTGGGCTCTTCTCAGCAGAACTGTCTTCCGATCCGGTGGTAGCTTTCTACACAGACAGCACTATCTTTAAGTTAATCGACGATTCAAAAGTGCTTGTTTAAGTCTCATTTCACCAATCTCTTTCGTGTCATCTCCATTCTACGTGACATTGGCAAAGTAATCTGTGCTCAACAGTAACACTTCATTTCGTAGTAAACTAGCGACTCACCCTCGGTTCGCTCGGGTTCGCCCCTGGGTACGTTTTAGCAGTTAGTCTAAAATACAGATCTTTAGATTTCTCGGTAATATACGTATAAACCTTAATCTTGAATCACTCTATCTACTAAAAAAACCGCATCAAAATCCGTTGCGTAGTTTTAAAGATCTAAGCAAACATAGAGACAGACAAACAGCGGGAAGTGTGTGTTTTATACCATGTTGTGAAGTATCAGCCATGATCATATTATACTCACAATGCATAAGTAGTAAGTGGAAGGTCTCTAGGCAGATCACTGAGAGCTGCGCGTGCGCATGCCACTCGAACACGCCCAGGTGGAGATCGTGAACATGCGCATGTTGCTGGACAGGGCGGTTCATCTCCACACGTGTCTGGAGTGTCTTCTCCGGCTGGAAAAAGGTTAAAAATAATTGAACAACAGGGAATATGCGAGATTTTTTTTATTTTTTATACAATAGCTTACATCGTTATATAATTGTAACACAATATCCAGTTCCAAAAGAACTTAAATTTAGTTTTTTTTAAATATCATACCGATACGGATACTTTAAACGCCCGCCATTTCGCGCGCTTGTCGTGACGTCACAGTATGATATACACAGAAAAATGACGACTCAATTTGTAGCGACAAAATCGCTAATCGCTCTGTTATGATAATACTCTGACGTCATATTCGGTCGGACAAATTGCGTTGCGTTTCAATTACTTTGAAATTTCCACTTATATTTTTACATACGTACGTATGAATGTTTGTTTGTATGTTTGTGTGTATGTATATCTGTATGTATATACGGATTTTTGTTTAGATGTATGTATCGATTTATTATTTACAATTTATTTATTTTTATCTATTAAAGTGTTCGAGTACACCGCCTACCATATTTATAAGAACTTTCCCCTCCACCTCAAGGTTGCCTGGAAGATATCGTTTTTAGCGATAAGGCCGCTTTCTGCACATCTTTTGTTAGTGTGTTTATGTATTTTAGTTTGTTTTTTTTTGGTGTACAATAAAATTAAATTAATTAATTAATTTTGTAGCTCCAAATTAGTCCGAAGAATTTTACCCTTTTTAAGCCCTTTTCAACCCTCTAGAGTCTAAGCGTTCGAAGAACCATGATTTTTAAAATTTATTTAACAATTAAAATTATTAAATATATTAATTTAACTAACGATTAAATTTAAATAATTAAATTAATTTCTTTTTAACTCATATGATTTAGTGGTTCAAATTGACTTTTTTTATTGTTCATCTATGGTTTTGAGGATGACTAATCTGACAGTTAAAGTATGTTATTTTACAAGTACAAATTAAGCAGTCATACTAAAAACAAAAGATTATATTTAGTTAATGACATAGATTCAAGACGTTGGCGTGCAAAATGTTAAAAATACACTTGTGCCATATTTTAATTACATTTTTTGTATTTTTGTGCTTTTTAAACAGCAATTTTTGTTTGGAAAGAGGTAAGTCAGATTTAGGTAACTTTAAACAAGTTACCAAATTCTTCATATATGTGTATACAGGATATAAAGCAGCTGTTGTTTTAAATAGGGTTTTAGAATGTATTACAGTATAATTTTATAGTTATGAATGCAAAAATATGACTAATAGCTTTGTCTTTACGCAACGAGGCCACGTAATATTGACATTGACGTACTTTTAGCTGTAGATATATATATATATATATATATATATATATATATATATATATATATATAATGTAGCTAAATCTATACGTACATATAATAAAGTTGTAACTAAGCCGAATCTGTACATTAAATGTTTTTTGGAAAATCTTATCGAAATAGACTTTATTATCGATACAGAGGCCGAATATATAGTTTTTAGAATGTTTGCCTGTCTGTCTGTCTGTTAACGCATCACATAAAAACCACTGAAGGGATTTTGATGTTTGGTATGGTGATAGTTCGTTATCCGGGTCAACATATAGGATACTTTTTATCGCGGGAAAATATCTCATTTCTGAGAAAAAATGCAAAAACTGCATTGTAAGAGTATACTAATCTGTAAAACCTAAGAATTTGGTTTTTGGTCATCTAAACGCGGGTGGAGCCGCGGGCAGTGCTAGTGCATATAATAAAATCGTAATTAAGCCGAATCTGTACATTAGATATTTTTTGGAAAATCTTATTGAAATAAACATTATTATCGATACAGAGGCCGAATTTATAGTTTTTAGAATTTTTTTCTGTCTGTCTGTATGTTTATCTGTCTGTTACCGCATCACAGAAAAACTAGTGGAGGGATTTTGATAAAATTTGGTATGGTTATAGCTGGTTATCCGAGTTAACATATAGAATACTTTTTACCACGGTAAAATATCTCATTTCTGAGATATGTAAAACCTAAGAATTTGGTTTTTGGTCATATGAACGCGGGCGGGGCCGCGGGCAATGCTAGTAAGGATATAAAACTCATCATACCTACGTATAATATATATACATTATACATAGATAGACTATAAAGTCTAAGTATTCCATACAAACCGTCATAAGGTATCTAAGGACGAACCCGAGCGAAGCGCGGCTGAGTCGCTAGTATTCCATAAGAGAATCATTTTCAACATGATTACCACTAGCTTTGATAGTATACATCGTGACGAAACCTGCATGTCTGAGAGAACCTAGCAAGTTTTCGAAAGATACATGAAGTATAGCATGATCCCCCTCACATTATATATACTTAAATGTAAATAAAAACTTATTAATGTTGTTGGATATTACAGGTGACGATTGCAATGCGGATGATTTCGTGGGCGTCTGCAAGACTATACACGAGTGTCCATACGCCATTTTTTTGGTTGAAGTTGAACTAAAATATCCGCCAGTGAGTAGTGATTCCGTCGAGCCTATTTTAGTTACTAAAAACCTGTTTTTAGGGTTCCGTACCCGAAGAGTGCTAATGGGACCCTATTACTAAGCCTCCGCTAACCGTCCGTATGTCTGTCAGCAGGCTGTATGTCATGAACTCAGGGATGTGAAAAAATAATCAATTTTTATATAATAGCTTTTTTTTCTTATAATCGATTTTTAATAATCGATTCTCTAACTATTAAAAATCAATTTTTATGAATCGATTAAATTACTTACTCTCTTTTTTTTTAAGTTAAAAAGATAAGATATGCGTTGTTGGATTAAACCAAGCTACATATATTTGCCGCGTGGTGTCCGGCATAGAATAGCACCACCCCTTGTCTAGCCGAGGGTGTCGTAAAAGGCGACTAAGGCATAAATACCGGAGGATGGGCAGCAGCATTTTCCGAGGGCACGCGCTAGTAACTGCGATCGCCAACCCGCCTGCCAAGCGTGGCGATTATGGCAAATTCCCCCCAAAATGGCGAACGTACAAAACCGGCCCCCAGTACCCGGCAGCTCCACTATCCCTGGTCATGGTAGCGGCCTAGGTAACGGTGGGGCAGGGGGTGCGAAGAATCTCCGGATGAGATCGGGCTACCACAAACGACGACTCGACCTGGCAACACTAAACACGCGCACACTGCGGACCGACGAGAGGATTGCCGAACTTGAGGAAGAATTGAGCAGGTTACGATGGGATATTGTGGGGTTATCGGAGGTTCGAAGAGAGGGTGAGAACTCGATAACGCTCAAATCTGGCAACCTGCTTTATTTCCGGGAAGGCGACCAACAGTCCCAGGGCGGTGTCGGGTTTATAGTCCACAAGTCTCTCGTGAACAACGTGGTAACTATCGGGAGTGTGTCGACCAGGGTGGCGTACCTTGTTCTGCGAATAACGAAACGTTATTCCTTAAAAGTGGTCCAAGTGTATGCCCCGACCTCAACACATCCTGATGAGGAGGTGGAGTCTATGTATGAGGACATTAGTAGAGCCATACATAGCTCCAAAACCCACTTCACCATAGTCATGGGAGACTTCAACGCGAAATTAGGCGAACGAGAAGGGTTTGAGCTGAGAGTGGGGCAATTTGGATTTGGATGCCGAAACCAGCGGGGACATTTACTTGCGGGCTTCATGGAGAAGGAGGGACTCTTCATGATGAACTCCTTTTTCAAGAAACGAAACCACAGGAAGTGGACGTGGATGAGCCCTGATGGTGCAACTAAAAACGAGATAGACTTCATCATGTCGACGAAGAAGCAAATATTCAGTGATGTCTCTGTGATCAATTCGTTCAAAACCGGAAGCGATCACCGACTTGTAAGAGGCACATTGAATATTAGTGTAAGGCTTGAACGGTCTCGACTGATGAAGTCCACGCTCCGACCAGCGCCACACCAAATTCAAAACCCCGAGAGCTTTCAGCTGGAGCTGAAAAACCGCTTCGATTGCCTAGACAGTGATGTGGACACTTATAATGACGGGTTCGTGGAAGCTGTCCAATCAGTTGGGTCTAAGCACTTTAAAAGTCTCTCAAAAAATAGACCCAAAAGGATCTCCGATTCTACTCTAGAGCTCATGACGGAAAGGAGAGGGATGATCTTGCAGTCGTCGGATGATGCGTTCAAGTACCGGCAACTTAATAGACAGATTTCTAAGTCCCTAAGGCGTGACCTTCGCACCTATAATACTGAGCGTATTATAGACGCAATAGAGCGGAACAAAGGCTCCAAAGTTTTCGCGAGGGATCTGTCTATTGGACAAAGCCGGCTAGTGAAGCTCAAAACCGACGACGGTAGGATCATTTCATCTAGTCCCGAGCTTATGGGAGAAATCGAGAGATTTTATGGGCAGCTCTTCACATCAACGTGACAACCCATCAGTCTGGACAACGATCCAAGGGCCAGACTAACCCGACACCATACCGAAGAAATTCCGGACGTCAGCCTGAGCGAGATTAGGGTGGCTCTCAAACAGCTCAAGAACAACAAGGCACCGGGTGCAGATGGAATTACGGCCGAACTTCTGAAGGCGGGTGGAGAACCGATCCTTATGGCCCTTCAGAAGTTGTTTAATTCCGTCATACTCCAAGGAAAAACCCCACGAGCATGGAGCAGAAGCATAGTGGTACTGTTCTTTAAAAAGGGCGATAATGCCTTGCTAAAGAACTACAGGCCCATATCGCTTCTGAGCCATGTCTACAAGCTGTTTTCGAGAGTCATTACGAACCGTCTTGAATGCAGGTTTGACGACTTCCAGCCTCCCGAACAAGCTGGTTTCCGTAGAGGATTTAGTACCGTAGAGTCCACTGGATGCGGATGGCGCAAGACCGGTTATCGTGGAAATCTTTGGGGGAGGCCTATGTCCAGCAGTGGACGTGTTTGGGCTGAGACGACGACAACGACGACATATTTTAATCGAATTTTGCAAAAAGCGCCATCTGTGTGATAAATGAAGAGACGCGTGGACTTGGTAATTTTATTATTATGTATAAAAATCCAACTTTTCGAATAGTTCGATATAATCGATTATTTTTAAGTTAATCGATTTTTTACAAATCGATTTATTTTAAGGAGAGAAAAATGGATTATTTAGTAATCGATTTTTTTCCCCCAAGTCAAATCCATTGAACTGTAATAGGTAGAGAGTTGAAATTTTCAGTATGTATTTCTATTGCTGCTATAGCAACAAGTAATAAAAAAATAAGATGACTAATTTCGAAATGACCGACATGTTAAAGAAATGTTACGTGCCTCTGATATTCTCATTAATATTCATCTTTAACATGATTAGCACTCGTCTTACTAAGCAGAAAAACATCTTGAGGAAGCCTGCATGCCTCAGAGAACCTATCTAGTATCAAAACACATGAAATCCGCCAAATGGCACTTGGCTTTCTTGGTGGACTACGGCCTGATCTTTCTCTAAATAAAAAAAAACTTCACAGTATCAGCCGCTGGGCTAATTGAACATTGCCTAAAAATTTCATCAAAATCACTCCAGCCGTTTTAAAGTCCATATGGAACATACACATCGTTTTTTTTAAATATAGATAGATTTAATTAGGGACCATATCTGTGGTAAATAAATTGATGCTTAAAATCGTCTAAATAATATGTTTTTGACTTTGTTATATGATAATTCAGTATTTTTGGATTTGGTACAATAAGTAAGCCTTAGATGAATAAATATAAATATGTTGGGAAATTAACATACAGCACCATCTAGTTCCATGGTAAGCTACGAGCCTTGTGTTATGGATACCAGATAGTTGATACACTACGCATATATAACTTAAAACACATACATATTATAAATATAAACACCCATGACTGGAGTACAAACATTCGTGTTCATCACACAAATGAATGCTCCCAGCGGGACTCGAACCCGCGACCGCTGGCACAGCAAGTAGGGCAACCACAAACTGAGCCAAACGTGTAGTATAGAAATAAAGTATATGAAAAAGCAAATAATATGTTAACTGTTTACATTTTTCTACAGATGTGCAAATGGGAAGAAATGACTCCTATTGTGTGCTGTCCTACATAAAACTAATGAATTGGGGAACTTATTTCGACATTTTTGGTCATCCGAGCCGGATATAATGAAAATTGTTTAAAACTCGAAATAAAACGATTCTTATAACTTAAAAAGTAGTAAAAATAAATTAGTACAACATAAATCTTTGTTTGATTTTATAAAGAATTTTACTATGCCCTTTTCATTCCTTTAGAGGTTCCAAGAATCATGTGTATATGTATTCAGCCCTTTTCAACGTCCCATGCTGGGGGTGGGCCTCCCTTCCATACGAGGGGGTTCAGGCCATAGTCCACCACGCTGGTCAAGTGCGGGCGGACTGAGCATGTCTTTTGAAAACTTACTTCTATTCTCCCAAGAATCATCCCAAGTATCTGAAACCTGTACAACATATCCACAACATCCCCTGTAATAATTAAATGTACCTACATTTATTTTTTTCATCTTCAAATTTCATCCAGATTCGTTCAGTCGTTCTGGCGTGATTGAGTAACAAACATCCATACATGCATACAAACTTTCACATTTATAATATTAGTATGGAAATCGATTATATTAAAAAACATTTATTTTACTCTTTATATGTATGTAGTGGATAAGTCTACGTTGAATAATCAGGCAGTTAAAGTATGTAATTTTATAGTTGAGCATAACTGATTATATTTTAACACGTAGATGCAAGAAATTGACGTGCAAAATGTTCAAAGCACTTCTTTACCAGATTTTTATTTCATTATTTGTATTTTTGTGTTTTTCAAACAGTAGTTTTTGCCTAGAAAGAGGTAAGTGAGAGTTAAATAACTGGCTTTCCCTCCATAATATATGTATGTACATTGTACAATAAATGATAAAACTGCAGTTATTTAATAAGATGGTTTTAGCATATACATATTAAAGTATATTTTTATAAAAAATATACTTCCTAATACAAACTTTCATCACCATTTTCACCCCCTTAAGGGATGATTTCCGGGATAAAAAGTATCCTATGTCCTTCCCAGGGTCTCAAACTATCTTCTTACCAAATTTCATCTAAATCGGTTCAGTAGATCCAGAGATTACCCCCACACAACCTCACAAACTTTACCTCTTTATAATATTAGTAAGTATAGATATTGTTCAGAATTGCGAGGGTTTTCTTTTTATTTGCGCAGAACTCTAATTCATTTTCTATAAAAATAGTCTAAGCTACTCCTTATAACATCTCTCAGAGAAAGTCCCGTTAAAATCGGTCCAGCCGTTTCGGTGATCAGCCGGAACAAGCAAACAGACAAACAGACAATATTATATATTTTCTGATAATATAATATTTTTTCATAATATATGTTTTCTTATACTATTATCTTATTAATATTTTTAATACGAGTATTAGTATAGAATGACATCATGTAAACTTCCCCGGCTTTTTCCAAACAATCGGAAATTTATTTTTCATCGGAAATTTGACGTAACTGCCTCAGTACCTTGACCCATTGAGTTTAAATATATTTTGTAATAATTTTATTTTATTATTAAGTATTCTTGTAACAAGCACTAATAACTTTATTATATGTATTTTATGAGCAATAAAATTTACGATTTGGAATCATTATCGACATAATGCTTATTAAATAATATAATATAAGGCTTATTAAAAATAATTTTATTAAGCATTATATTATCGACTAGCGACTCACCCTCGCTCCGCTCGGGTTCCTACTTGCGTTTTAACCTTTGGTATATATTTCTCAGAGATGAGATATTTTCCCGCAATAAAAAGTATCCTATATGTTGACCAGGATAACCAGCTATCATCATACCAAATTTCATCAAAATCCGTTCAGTGGTTTTTCCATGATGCAGTAACAGACAGACAGACAAAAATTCTAAAAACTATAGATTCAGCCTTTGTATCGATAATAATGTCTATTTCAATAAGATTTTCCAAAAAATATTTCATGTACAGATTTGGCTTAGTTAGAATTTTATTATAATTATGTATAGATATCAATATCAAATAAGTTGCCAATAATCTTTATAATAAGCCAAAAAAAAAACCATATAAACCTACTATAATGGCCTTCTTGTAGGTCTGTTCCTTGTAAGGCCAAAAGGAGTTATAAAATAAAATTATTTAAAGCATGATTCAAGCAAATGATATTACGAACTTATATACGTATTTTTTTAACTTACCCAATACGTATTTACAACTCAAACCTTAATATTTACATTTCCGTGATTTCTAAATGTTCCTAGCGAGGTCTTAGCAAGTCTTTTTTCGGCCTTACAAGGAACTATTGGCTTTCCTTGGAACACGACCGATATTTTAGTCAAAATTGAAATTAAATCATATAACTTATATCTATAGAAACAACTTTTATATATATATATATATATATATATATATATATATATATATATATATATATATATATATATATTCAGGTCAAAAAAAAAATAGTTTTTTTACTTGAAAACTCACGTCTTACTGTGAGCGCGTACTAAAGTTCTATATATAGTATATATTCAAGAAGATAATATCATTTTATGGCCAATTAATATAAGTTATGGTTGATTGTATTGTTATTTATGAATGACTTGCTATTTTGTTTTAAATGAAAATAGTACGATGAAACTTGTATGTATGGATAGAAGTTGTATTGTATTTATTCAGCCCTTTTTAACGCCCCACTGCTGGGCATGGGCCTCTCCTCAATATGAGGGGGATCAGGCCATAGCCCACGGTACTGGCCAAGTGCAAGCGGACTGATCATGTCTTTTGAAAACTTGCTAGTTTCTCTCAGACATGCAGGATTGTTCACGCGGTTTTCTTTCATCGAATAGAGATCGATCAAAAACAACAAAGCAAACATTTGGCCATCATGGTGGAACATAGCTTGATCCCCTTCTACTCTTCCATTGGAGGTAGCCCCGTGCCCAGCAGTGGATTGTTAAAGGTCCAAATAAATACAAATGTACTTAAATATAAGTATACAAAAACCTATTAATATTGTTCGATATCGCAGGTGACGATTGCAATGTGAGTGATGTCGTGGGCATTTGTAAGAGCATATTTGACTGTCCATATGCATTCCATCTAGTTAATGTCGAAGAAAAGAAACCTCCGGTGAGTACTAATAGGGAATATTCGTGTTTTTTTTCTTTTTTTTTTAATTTTTGGTACCATAGCTAACATCGTTATATACCTAATTATAAAAAAATATCTAGCCCCAAAAAACTAAAATTTATTATAAAAAAAAATATCATACTGAAATTTTAAAGGCCCGCCATTTCACGCGCCTGGCGTGATGTAAATATTTATACATAGAAAAATTACGACTTTAGTTTGTAGCGACAAAATCGCTAATCGCTCTGTTATGATATACTCTGACGTCATATTCTGTCTGACCAATGGCGTGGGGTTTAGCTACTTTGAATTTCTAACCTGTGTTTGCACTTTTTAATAATGATTTTATGAATCAAAAAGAAATAACATTAAATAATATTGACATAGGCTTCATTCTAAAGCAATAAAGATTACTTACCTTAGTGCTTATTTGTTCAAACCAACAATACTTGCTGAACTTTGCGGAGTTTTTTTAATCTATTTTAAAAACAAAGCTTTATTTCTAATATTTATATGTATGTATAAACATAAAGATAAGATAATTTCTTTCGGTTTTTTAAAAGTAAAATATGTATTTTATACTAATATAATGGACATTTAAAAGTCAATAATTTTGTATCAAAAACTCTTTCGGAAACTTGGTCGTTTGGACAAATATGCACTGAAACGATAAATTAGAAAACCATTCGCTAGTAAAAAAAAGTGTGGGTTTGAACCCAAGTTTCACATCTCAGATATTCTCATATACTAATCAATAAATCTTCTCACGGTGAACGAAAATTTCATAAGAAAACCTGCATGTTTGAAAGGCATCTAATATTTTGTTAACGCTCATATTTTTCTATAGATGTGCAAATGGGAAGAAACAACTAGAATTGTGTGCTGCCCTACATAAAATCTTCATTACCTAGTTCAGAAATTTTTGGTCTTTCGAGCCGGATATACTTAAATTGAATAAAAGTCAAAATAAAAGTTCGCTTTACTTAGAAACTAGTATTTATATAATAATTTCTTATATTTACAGGAATATTAGAGTTTTTATGTTTTCGGATACTTTCGCGGATTCATTTTAATTTTTTTAAAGCAACCAAAACGTCGGGAACCAAAGATCAACGAAAATTCGCGAAAGAATTCGAAAAGGTAATTTTATTTAGTACATACATATTGATTTTGCGCCTTTATAAATTCTTTAATGATATTTAAAAGTTATACTTCTTTTGTTTGACGTTTGGAAAAAATTATGAGAGTAAAGTTTTTACGATGCCAAAAAGCGACATGATGAAGTTAGCTGATAATTGTTTGTTGCCATGGTAACCGTTGTTATTGTCTGACAAGTGAGATATAATATTATATTTTTTCTTTAAATGATATTCTATAAATATATAATTGTAATTTTTTGAGAGAGTCAGATCATTTTACTCTTCTATGATATCATTTTAATGTTGACTTATATATATATATATATATATATATATAAATAAGTCAACATTAAAATGATATATATGTATATGTATATTTGTCTTTCATACTATATTTATATCATTCACATTGGATACACTTATGAATGAATGAATGAATGAAAGGATAATAATAACTGATTTAAATATATATTATTAATTACTTAGTATATGCAAATAGCTTTATCTTAAGCAAGTTGAACTTAAGTTATTTTGATAGTTCAGCGAAATAAAAGGTGCACTACAAATAAATTATTAATATAGTTATCATTTATAGAATGTAAATGAAAAATAAGCTTCAAACTTAAAATAAGGTAAATCAAAACTTACGTTTACATTTAAAGTTTTCTTCTCGCAATGCGTCGATTCTTTTACGGTTCATTCGTTTGGGGGAGTCACATTTTGCTCCGGATGTTTCTATGGGATTTTTTCTTAAATACGCCGCCAGCCATCTTAGAGAGCAGTCACAGGAGAAGGGGTTTCTGCCTAGATGTCTAGAAAAAAAAATTGATACAAATTTTTACCAATCGAAAAATGATTGAAAAATATTCAATGTTACACAAAATATTTTGAAATTATACTTCTTTGACACGTTTGGAAAAAATATGAGAGTAAAATTTTTACGACGAAATCTTTAGTTATTTTTGTTCTGTTACGTCAAAGAAGTATAACTTCTTACGTGCTTACATAAGTACAAACACACGTTTTCTTTTATATATATATATATATATATATATATATATATATATATATATATATATATATAGGCGTAACTACTGATAGTTCATATGTCGGTAGAATACTATACTTACAAAGTTTGAATGCCAGTGAGGGAGTCGAAGGTGCTGTTTTGTAATGTCCTTATATTGTTATCATACAAGGATCTGGAATAAACAAAAAATATTGTACGTACCTACATTGTTTAGTGTCCAAGTGGGAAAAGTGAAATGAATAGAATCGAAAAAACATTTATTTTTGCTTTTTTTTTCTGAAAAAAAAGATTATTTTTGGTAACGGCTAGTTATTTTTTTTTCTTGATAAGAAAAGAAAAAAATATTCAAAGTTACAGAATTATATTATGCCAAAACTCAATAGATTAAGATGTTAATTGACATGAATCGAGTATACATTAAATATTATTTTTAATACAAAGACGGAGTTTTTTTAATACATCCTTTTTCATGATGTCGAAAATTGTATTTTATAGTTTTGTTTTTGTTTTTTTTACTCATAGCTTTATATTGATTCCCCATACAAACTTTCATCCCCATTTTCATCCCGTTAAGGGATGATTTCCGAGATAAAAAGTATCCTATCTCCTTTCCATGGTCTCAAACTATCTTCTGACCAAATTTTATTTAAATCGATTCAGTAGATCCAGAGATTAACCCCTACAACGTCACAAACTCACAATTCACAAACTTTGCCTCTTTATAATATTAGTATAGATGTAGGTACAACTTACAGTAGTTTTAGGCTTTGTAGATCTCTAAAAGTATCTTTCCGGACGCATGTTATTTCGTTGGAGTTTAATAACCTGGAAATAAACAAAAGTGTAACCTCCTGAAGATTTTTCAAATAAAAAAAATGCTATACAAGTAGGTACCTAGTAATCAAACACGCGTATCTAATCTCTAGATAGCTATCAGGGTGTTTACAAACTGCATATAATATTGAACAACAGTTTTAACATCTAATGCGATTCCGACTTGGACTTGGCTAGTTTTTTGTTATTTTGTTTTATTAACTTAAGAGTTTATAGTTTATATTAAAAACTTATTAAGTTTGACATTCTAGGTTTTTTACACTATGGCTTAAAAAATAATTGCTTTAAATGAGGCGCCTCTTCTATTTTTTACTGTAATATTTCTTTTAGATATCAGTCAAAATAACACAGTCAGTGAATGTAAACTGGCTACTGGCTACCCAGTATCAATAAGTTAAAACAGCACAGCCTTTTAAATATAGATTAAATAGATTGTCAAATAGACGGACCGATAGACAGCATTAGCTTAGTACAACTTAGAGACCAAGACCAAGACCTTAAAAATTCACATGTACAATTCGACAGAAGCTAATTTTAAATAAAATGAATACTTTTCAAACGAAATCAAATACATAAATAGTAAAATACTAGCGGCTCACCCTCGCTTCGCTCGGGTTCGTCGCGGGGTACATTTTAAATAGATATAAATAATTATTAGCCAGCGTTAGCCATTAAAATTTTATTTTCTTTTCGTAATTTTTTAATTTTTTCTCTATATTAAAACCTTCCGTGGACCTTAAGGAACATACGAAAAAATTTTTTTGCCGAATTGGTCGGGCCATTTTTGAGTCATGCGCTTACCAACATTCATTTTTATTTATTTAGAAGAAGACTCACAGAAGCTGCAATGACGTTAAGCCATGGAATATTCCAGACGGTAGATCTTTTATTTTGTTTCCGTAGAGAACTCTGAAAGTAAATAATTTAATTTTTGTAACTAGTTTAAAAATATTAAAATGATTGCAAAATGTACCCAAAATCTGCAAGATCAGATAATATTAAGCTTTTAGTAAGAAAAGTAATTTAAAAACATATATCTCAATTTTAAATACCTAGCCAAAAGTATTATATACGCTTTTGTGTTTTTTTTTAATTCTTCAGTTACATGGTACCAATTTTTTTTTATTTCTCGTAATTTGACTACAGAACTGTTTAGCAGTTCATATGTAATACGCATCTACCAAATTTCAGCAAAATAACCCAAATATTTCTAAGTAAAATGGCTAACAGACGGACAAACAGACAGACGGACATGAAGAAATTATAAGCAGTTTCGTTTTTGCCGTTTGCCTACACAAAAAAAAATTAAAAATACTTACAATGATGTTAAATGAATTAGTCCATTAAACGCATCGGCGGCCATTTTGATTATTTTATTATTTGACAGATCGATTCGCGCCACTCTTTTCACAGCTGAAAACGCGCCCGCGCCCACTTCTGTTATCTCGTTCTGTTCTAAACGTCTAGATAGAGAGAGGAAATAATTTTTAAGCGTTAAAAACAAAGTATAGTAATTTATATTTTTAAAACTTGAACCCTTAAAGTATTTCTGTACAATATTATAATATACAAGCAATAAAGTTTTAAATATATTTTTATATAATACTAGCTACTCACCCTCGCTCCGCTCGGGTTTGTCCCTAGGTTGATTCCCCATACAAACTTTCATCCCCATTTTCACCCCTTTAAGAGATCATTTCCAGGATAACAAGTATCCTATGTCCTTCTCAGGGTCTCAAACTATCTTCTTATCAAATTTAATCTAAATCGGTTCAGTATATCCAGAGATTACCCTCTACAACGTCACAAACTCACAAACTTTAACTGTTTATAATATATGTATACTGAGTAATAAGTAAAAATATGTTAATAAATAATAATAGCTAACGGATTTTATTATAAAAAAAGCTAATATCTTTTATTCAAGGGGAAGAGAACTAATGCTTAAGGAAAAAATACGTAAGAACATAATCTTATTTTTATTATTCATATTTTATTCCCAAAAATTATATATTTACTTGTGTATATAAAATTTCTCTTTTTCTGTTAAGAAATCAAATGACAAAACTAAGAAAAGTAACAAATATACAGCAAATCATGCTACTGCTATTAATTTTGATATTTATTTTGGCGGACATTTTCATTACAATATGAGGGTTTATAATACGTTTTTTTTTCTTTAATGTCATTTTTTCTGATTTTTTTATCTATACTAATATTATAAAGAGGTAAAGTTTGTGAGTTTGTGACGTTGTTAGGGGTAATCTCTGGATCTACTGAACCAATTTAGATGAAATTTGGTAAGAAAAAAGTTTGAGACCCTGGGAAGGATATAGGATACTTTTTATCGGGTATCTTTTTATCGGGGGTGAAGTGGAATGAAAGTTTGTATGTGGAAGCAAGCTAGAGCCGAATCGAGGGTGAGTCGCTAGGTGTTATATAAAAATATCCTCACCAATTTTGAAACGATTTCCATGATATTTTTTATTTTATGATTTTTTTAATTACAAGTTATAATATTTTCGCTTATAAAATAAAATTAATTACGTAAATATCAAACATGAAGGCTTAATTTCTTAATAATCAGTTTAATTACAATACATACATTTCTGTAGCTCTGTGCGGAATGGTAGACGGTAGTTCAGTGAGTAGTTTCTCCCTACAGTCAACAGTGCCGTCGGGAGAGCATCTACAGGGTGGTGGACAACGCGGCTCTGCAGAGCATTCTGTTGTTATAGCTGTTGTGGGACCTGAAAATTTACTTTTTGCTACTTTCATTCATCATTCAATATTCGTTAATATTAAATTAATGAAACATAAGTTTTTAACTATATTTATACACACAAACCCTTTCCAATAAATAAATTAAAATAATTTTAATAAGTTTTATAATGAAATGGAATTTATTTTATTTATTCGAATATTATTTATTTATTTTTAGCTGTTATTATTATATTTATTACAACTTTTTAGAAAACTATTTTTTATAAAAATGTTTATAATTACAATTAACAAATATTGTAAGGTACTTTGGTGCCATTTTTTATATTTTTTGAATTCATTTTGTTATTTTGTGGGTAGGCTGTCTGTACACACTACAACTACATAGCCTTTGACCAGTCTAAAATCTCAGTCACTCCCGTGACCATGATCGCTGTAAAGCATTCAAAACATCGGGAACCAAAAATCAAAATGAATTAGTAAAAAAAGATAGTTTTATTTAAAATATTAAATAAATACGTTTTTTTATAGGATCAAGTGAAATGCAATCTCAAGTATCAGAGTCTATCAGGCCGCCTGATAATTTCTGATATGGCTCAATAATTACCATCAATAGAAGAGAACCGGTTGTCTTACATGCCCTTTAAGACACGGAAATACTTGGTGTTATGCCACTCACCGGCCAAGCAGTGCTTGTTACAGGAGATATTATTTAACTATGATAATTGCTTAAGATTTCAAACATGAGCGCTAAGCGAGTTGAATCTACGACAATTTTGTCGGCACTATATTTTTATATTTGGTATACGACAAAATATATTTTATTATAACACTACTAGAAGGACTACGCCCACTTTCAATCTAAAAGAACAACTCTTTGGCTTTATGTTATACTGCGACTCACCCTCGCTTCGCTCGGATTCATCGCTATGTATTTATTCGTGATTAAAAAATGGGGGGTGGAGGTTGAAAAATATTTTACGACCTATTGTCATACCTACCAAATATACAAAAAAAAAACATTAAAATCGGTCGAGCCGTTTCGAAGTAATGAGACTACAAACATCGTGGTACACGAGATATTTATATATTAGATGAAATTTGTATCTGCCAAAAATGTTCGAGAAAGCCTATTACAGCAGTCACTAGTGCTGTAATATTTCTTTATTATTGCTGTAATATTTATTTGTATGTAAAACTTTGCATCATTCGGGTATGTCCATTGGTAGACCCATCTACATACTAAATTACATCCAAATTTGTCCAGCCAATTCAGCGTGAAGGAGTAACAAACATGTGTGCAAACACACATACAATTTTTTTCTTTTATAATAGTAGTCCAATTTTACCTGTACATGTTAGTTCATGGGCTTCCAGCTCTGTCAGCAGCGCTCCTCTTAGTGTAGCAGGGGCTTGACATCTATAAAAAACGTTTCTAATATTGAAAAATGATGAAGATGTTCTCCTAGCCGATTCCGGCCACGGCGGCCAATCTCATTGAGACTAGCCAACTGCGCAGGAGATATTATAGTGCACAAGTGTACGCGCAGACACAACGTGCACTCTCTATTCCTGTCACTCTCATTACTCCGGTGGGACGACTGCTCGACACGACCAGTGAGAGTTAAGGCACAGGACCGACGGCTTTACGTGCTCTCCGAGGCACGGGGGTGAAACACCACCAACTTCTCAACTCCGGGCTGTTACTGAGACTTACTATACAGAAAGACTCAATAACTAAACTTGGCCCAACCCGGGACTCGAACCCAGGACCTCCAAGTGTGCAGCCGTACATACTAGCCACTACACCACTGAGGCAGTCATTGAAAAATACTAAATATTTTAAATAAAAAACCTTATTATTTGTTATGTATAATCATTGCAAAAACTAAAGGAATCACACCATTCTGGTTTTCCTTACAAATTACAAAATTGTAACACTGGATTTAAAAAAAAAAACACTACATATAAAAAATTAATGAATGAAGGCGAAAGAGCTCAAATTTATCACCTCCAGGTAAATTGCTAAGAAATTAATTAAATTTCTAAGAAATCTATTAATGATACAAATTACTATAGGAAAGGACCAATGAAAAAATAAAAATAATACAGTACTAAATGATTGACATACCTTGCCCCAACACCCTGTATACCAGCAGCCCGGACGGACGCCGACAGACGTGCGACGCGACAGTCGCACACGATCGGATTGTCGGTCAGTCGCAGTGTGTGCAGGCGAGCGACAGACGCAGCTTCCAGCGATAAGTAAGTTAGGTTGTTATTATTAAGTGTTCTGGAAAGAAGATAACATTGCTTATATAAATATTACTTAAGTGATATATTTTATTTTATTTTAGTTATTTTTAACGGTACAAAAAGATTTTTTATATATTTGCCAAGTGATTTTAATTATTTTTCCCAAAATTAATGAATATTTCCTCAAAGCTAATTCCATTTTAAATTGAAGTTAAAAGTTTCATCGCTAAAGTCGAATACTGAATGGTAGCTAAGTAATTACATAATATTTTAAGTTTTCTGGGAAACTTTTTTTTAATTTTTCCGCGGGCAGCAGACTAAATCAGTGGTATCTAATTGGCTCTATATATTTAGGATAGCTGTAGTGAGTTCGATTCCCACCCAAAGAGATTTTTTTGACCTAACGAAAAGCTATTGAAAGATTTTGTAACAGTACAAACAGACACACATTAATTCATTTTACCCAACTGTCAACAGTTTAAAACTTACAAAACTTCCAAACTCTTCAGGTTCTCCAAAGCTTTTTCATCTATACACTTGAGTTGGTTGCCATCTAAGTGCAAACTTTTCAATGCAGTCAGACCACGGAAAGTTCTTCTACTGATCGCTGTAAGCTCGTTGCGACTGAGGTCTCTGGAAAACGTAAAAATTGTAGATAAAATAGCTGTTCAAAATTCAAAATATTTTATTCAGCATTAAATTATTACAATTTTTTACTGAACGTCATGAGTCTACTACCAGTTCGGAAACAAGAAGCCTCAGACCTGAGAAGAACTGGCGAAAGAAAATCAGCGGGACTAATATTATTTCATTATCTTTTTTTATAAAGTTAAATTATAATTTACAATATTTCTATCAAGTTGAAGTAGCTGGAGGCGATCATTTCATTCCCAAGGTGTGCCATCTTCTATAAAATAATTTATTGTATAATTGCCTTTAGCACACAAACGTTCTTTAACAATTTTTTTGAATTTGGCGATGTTGTTGCGCTCTAACCCTAATAGGAAATATCTTTCTCTCTTTCTAGAAAAGATTTATGTTGGGATATGGTTGTCTCTTTCTTATTCTTTATATAAATAAAGAGGGAGAACTTTTAAATATTTCTTTATAGTATTGAAATATTTATTTATATCATATTATTATATTTATATCACGAAATACATTATAAAAAAAAAACAGTTTATTTCGAATTTTGCGATATGAATTTGCCTAATTTAATAAAATATATTGTAACAGTATAAAACTGTAAAAAAATGTATTATGAAACTTATATAGGAAAACTAAGGCCTTTTTATAGAGTGATAATTTTTATATTCATTCAATCAAGAAATAAGTTGAATCTAAATGTTATCTATGCATATATGTATGTATAAAAATAAAAAAAAAAACGGAAAAAGGGATAAGAAAGTAAAGTGTGTGTTCTTCATGTGTTACGCAATATCCTCGTCAGTTATTTTGTTCAATTTTCATATATTTTTTTATGACTACTGACTTACTAACGCTTCGCTCGAGTGCGTAACTACTTTGCAAATAGATATGAATCATACTTTTTCATATACATCGATTTTTGGTCATGGATCATACATCGATTTTTGGTTCCCGACGTTTCGAATGCTTTACAGCAATCATGGTCACGGGAGAGAGTAAGGTTATAAACGTCTCAAAGACTGTCACTGTCTGTAACGAGTGTATAACGCCGTGTAAAGTTATTATTTAGTTATTGCGAGAGTACCTTAGGAGAAAGACTTATGCTATTGTCGATTTTTCTGTAGGCCTTATTAAGACCTACAATTTTTTAGTACATTGTTTTGATGTATCTCTTAAGGTTTAGCCAGCGTTATATGTAAATTTCTAAGAACGACTGAAAGATTTTCCTTTAGTAAGTAGTGTAAGGTATCCAAAATATTGACCACAGTAAAAGTTATCACTACACAAAGTTTTGTTAGAATCGGTTCAGTACTTTTTGCGTGAAACACGCACATCGATTTTACTATGTTACAGTGTTATTATATGTATAGAATATATTATATCTAAAGGGTTGTCCGATACGAGGTGACCATATTTGCTGTAAAGCATTCGCAACGTCAACAAAAATCTAAATAAAATCGCGACAAAAACCGAAAGAATAATTCTGTTTAAAATTATAAATATTCTAGTGAATCTAAGATATTAATGTTGATACACTGCAAAAAGAATAGATTTTACGTTTTAAATTTTAAAATTTTAGTGTTAAAAAGTACACAAGAAAATGCAAATAAATAGAAGGTTATTCAGATCAAATTTTGTAAAGGTCAGTATTTCTTTAAGAAAAATGTGCAAATTATAGTGTGTCCTTTTCACTCTCAAACTCTGGTAGGAAGAGAATTCGACATGAAAATTGAGAGGCACGCAGGATCTACGGGTTTACATGCTTGAACAGGACCATGCGGTAGATTTTCTCAGTATGATGCAAATTTTGGAACTGCCCCGAGGTAAATTTCGTAGCCCATAGCTAAAAGGCAAAAAGGAAAAACCTTATAATTTGTCTGTCCGTCCATCTTCTTCTCCCTGCCCATTTCCCAATCACTTGAGGTCGGCGCAGTACATCTTCTGTACTGCTGATAGGATTTGGCAAAAGTTTTACGACCGGCCGCCTCACGCCTGCCTGACGTCAACCCTCCTTGTCCGTCCGTCCATATACCACAATAATATTACTCAGAAACTATTGAAGCTATATTGCTGACAGATAGGTAAGTATATCACGTCAATTACTAGACAATTTTGTTAAATTACGAAAAAATGGCGTTCTTGTGTCACCTCTTTGCATCATAGTACCGCACGGCTCTGTGATTAAATAATTTTTTTATGGCTCAAGATTTGAACCCAGGATTTCTCAATTTGCGATACCATACCCATTAAATTTGTAACAATTTTTCAAATTCTACTGGCACTTCCAGAGATTAGAGCGTCCAAGCAAACACAAAGTCTTTAGCTAAATTAGTATAGTTTGTTCTTACTATGAGCAAATATTTCAGTAGGTATACATCGATCAGCTCAAGCCACGAAGCCGCTCGCACGCGATCGTAGCGCGTTAAAATTTAACGAACTTTAAACGGTGGGATTTTATGGATATGACTTGTGCATTTTGATCTTTGAAGTGAAAATATTTTTTTTGAAGTTAAAACTTCTATAGGCAGGTTTGGATGGGGAGTAAATTCATGTAAGTCGTCATTGACATGGTCACGTGACGTGTTAACGCTAACACTCAGAGTGCCGATAGATGTCAGAACCAGATACTTATAACCAGTTTTAATTTACAAATTTTAATTTAAGATCAAACAATTTGAATATCCAAAAATAACAACTGTTTGTTTTTTAGTTTTCACTTCTGTCGGTAGTCCTTATGACTGCTTTTTTCATAAGTATCTATTTATCTTATTATATAAAAACTTAGAAGGAGCTTTTAGCATAATTTTCCTATTTTACTTTTCTTCATTTTTGAATTGCTTTAAAACTTTGTATACGAAATCTAGATTCTAATACAATCATTTGGTACTATGGAGCTGGGTCTGATAATGGAGCCAGGAGGTGGAAGGTACTCTTCAATCTTCTAGTAATCCTTCTAATGAAATTATTTTCCAGGGGATTTCACCTCTTAACGAGATAACGTTTTAGACCTGCGCTATCTTTTAAAAGGAAACGTACTAATTTTAATTATAGTTCATTAAAACTAATTGCTAGTTATATCGAATATAAAGTAAGAAATGGAAGAAAAACTGTTGATTCGTTTTTAACTTCTATTTCGCAAAGGCAAACTAAAATTATTATTTAATGGATCATCGTTTTAAATTTTACCGCCTACTTTACTACAGGAGCAGGTAGGCTTAATTCGAACGTAATTTTTTTGTGTATCATTCCTATCCTTCACCGAATATAAAGTAATTTTAATGAATATTTTTATTATAAAACTAGAGGCTCACCCTCACTCGAGTTCACCTCTAGGAAAATAAAAACAAACCTATCCCACGGGAACCGTACATTTTCCCGGAATAAAAAGTCTATGTGCTATTCCAGACTATAATCTATCTCTGTGCCAAATTTCATCCAGATCCGTTCAAGCGTTCTGGCGTGAAAGAGTAACAAACATCCATACTCACTTTTCACATTTATATGCTATACGAGTACTAATATAATAAAGAGGTAAAGTTTGTGAGTATGTGACGTTGTAGGGGGTAATCTCTGGTTTGAGACACTGGGAAGGACAGGATAGTTTTATCCCAGAAATCATCCTTTAAGGGGGGTGAAAATGGGGATGAAAATTTGTATTGGGAAGCAAGCTAGGGACGAACCCGCGCGAAATGAGATTGAGTCACTAGTATTAAAAATAGATAGATATTGGAAACCTTATCACTTATTTATGTTGTTAGTTATTGGAATGGAAACCTTCTAGATAGTCCCACATTTTGAAGAAATGTTCGAAACACGTTTTTATTGTACAGATAGGTACTATACTATGAGTGAATTTCTCTTCTTCTTAGTACTCATCAATTTGTTTCTAGCTATCTAAAGGAATTACTATTTAATGTAAGCAAATGTGTACAATTATAGTAAAAACTGAGTCGTTTTTACAAATGCATATTGACTGAATGCTAATAGCATAATATGCACTTGAGTTTCTGTAATTATATATTAATAAAATAAATATATGTAAAAGTTTGTTAGTAGGCGTGTATGTCTGTTATTTTGTCAAGCGTAAACCGTTAAAGGTATTTGTATGAAACTTTACACGCATTTAGTTTTCTACCGACATACCCCCCCACCTTGCTTGGACGTGTCTCTAAGTACTTAACAGTAGCATGTGTGTTTCTCCAGATCATAGTCTATCTGTGTACTAAATTTCATCCAAATCGGTCCAGCCGTTCCACCATAAAGCAGTAACTCTCCAGCCCTTCAAATATCTCCATACAAAAAAATAATTTAAATCCGTCGCTCCGCTTCATCGTGAAAGAAAGACAAACTGTTTTACTTTCTCATTAATATTAGTAGATATAGATAATATGGATTGGTAAGGAATAAAATAATATTAATATTAAGACGAGGTACGTTATATTATGAACGAATTTATATTAATTGATTAAGGAATATCCATAATATGATATCGTAAGGGTATCTGTCCAAAATTGCTAGCTATCTGTTTCGACTGAATAATTAATAGTATTCTCGATTGGGTGGCGCTACATCATGCAAGTGAGAAAGAATGGATACGGCAGTTTATATATTTTTATTACATATGCAGGAATTGTGCATTTTAGTGTATGTCTTCATGCTGCTGAGTTGAGTGAAAATTAAGACAACTCACACTAAATTCTTAATTTTATTAAAAAAACAAATATGTTTCATAAAAATAACCTTGTACATGTGCATTGTTTGTACATGAGACTTTAAAATCATTTAACTTAAATAAAGGAACGTACAATCGAATTTAGCATTTCTTTCTATTTTCAAATGGATTAATAATTTAAAAAAAATACGTGTAATATCAAAAAAAGAATTTTCGATTCATAACCTCTTAATTATTAAACTACGAGTATATGTGTCTAAATAACATAAAATAATATAATGCATGAAGTTGTAATGCTTGAAGTTTAATGATGTAAAATGGATTATTATTCAGTGAATAGTCCCATTTATTTTCAAAAAATATATCAGATAAACCATAAAGTACGGACATAAATACCGCCTCCATTTAAAATTTTCATCACATCTCCATCCCCGGTGGGAATCTATTAGCCCATTGTTATATATATTAATATTTGATGGGAGTTGAATGTCTTTTACGGTGCCTTAAATGTATATTGCACTAGTTTCACACGCAGTTACACCTCTATTAAACTAATATGTATTATAAATACGAAAGTTTGTGTGTATGTCTGTTACTCCTTTACGCTGAAAAGGCTGTACTGATTTGGATGAAATTTACCATACAGATAAACAAACACCTGGAGTATCCCATAGACTACTGGTAGTAGGTACCTAGAGATGCGCCAAAGCGAAGCGACGATGAGTTGTTGAGAAAATGAAAGCAAAAAAGGTATTTACGTGCGTAAAGAATTTACTCGTATTTTTTCTTAGGTAGTGGATACGATTTCTGCACGGGGTAGAATTGTATGTCGAATAGAGGCGACTCATACAAATTAAAAAAAAACTCTAAATTAATTTTAAAGCAAAGTAGGTATCTTTTTTTTTGTTAAAAGTAATTTTGAAATTATCTCTACATCAACTCACAAGTGCGGATGTCGATAACATGTTACCACAATATAAAAAACCATATCATGTCAAATGCCTTTGCATTCAAAAAAGCTGTTGAAAATACTAATTAAAACGGCGAATGAAATCGTTGTATTTACCGACCAATCTCTTTCGTGTTCTCCATTTCATCTGACATTGGCGAAGTAATCTGTGGTCAACTTTTCAAATTGTATTAAATTCGCTGTAATGCCATCTTTTTACAAGCAAGCTACAACCCTATATCCGTTTCCCGACTAACATATACGAGTACGTATGACAGTTGGTATCGTACCTGACAGAATAGTCAGTGTAGCCAACTTAGGGGCTTGCCGCCCAATTTAGGGGTATAAAAATTGCACCGGGGATTTTAAAGGAGAAAAATGCTTAGGTATTTTTAGGGGCTTATAAAGTTTAGTTTAACGACTAGGAAAAATTATATATTTTTAAATATTATTTGCATTATTTATCGTTTTTTAAATAAATTTTGTACGCTTCTTTTAATCGTTTAAAATAAAACATATTTTGATATTAGATAAAAACCTATATTTTTCAAATTGTCAATAGTGTTTTAGGGGTTTTTGAAACTACTCTTAGAGGGGTAAAATTCCAAGTGTTGGCAACACTGGTACCTGTTTACCCCACGATTGTTCTGTCTAGGGCCTTCGTTAGACTATGGATTAATAGATTGTGATGTTACCATGTCTTTCATGTCTGTACAAGTGGATGGGGTGAAAACTAAAAGAAAAATCATATAGCTCCTTGTACTTAGAATACGTGTTAATGTACCCCTTCAAACTCTTAGAGGGTCTCCTTTTATAATGAGCAAAGTCTTAACCCACTGTTCCAAAAAGAAATGTAAGTTGTTGACGACACTCTCTCACCCGTTGTAACTATACAAGTGAGCTAGCTTTGGCATTCGGGTTTGTCTGTTTTGATATTGGAAAAAATTTAAATATGTCCAAATATTATAAAACAAAGTCATTATCAGTTTGTTAGTTTCATATTTGTGATTATAAAAAAGGTTTTTTTTGTAACTTTTTAACTTAACACTGAATAGTAACAACTTTAAATTTTCTTTTTCGTTGCATTGTTAAATTATATTATTAGGTAAAAGATACCGGATGAGACGTGAGTTGCTGGTGGGTGTAACATAAGCAAACACCGGAATATGTAGTCTAAGACCCAAAGTGTTTTCGCTTACCATTCTGCAAGCATGCAAAGGATGAAAAGTTCTTTAGTAGCTTATCTGAGATATATTTGTTTATAATACTATGTATACATTTAATTAATAAGTAGATTTGAAGGGCGACCTTACGTTAGATCTTCTCGTACCACGTTTATTTATCGCCTTTGTAATATGAAAATAAAACTACTTACAAAAAAATTATATCAGAGTTATTTTCTTACATGGTCTTTTTCAAATATTTTATAAAGTTAATAAAAAATCAATCAATAAACTATTTCTTAGTAAAAACTTGCCCGCATCTATCCCGCCATTTGCTTTCCACTTGAACAAGATGGCGGCTCACAATGGCGTTAATGCATTTCAAGTTGGCGGGAAAACAAAGGAATCGCTTTGAAAATGGCAATTCGATGTGATCGAAGGGTTACTATATTTGAAGTATGAATTAAAGTCTTAAATAATATTATAAATGAATATAGCACACGAAAAATAAGTTTATTGTTTATGTTATGACACTCAGACTAATCTATACTAATATTATAAAGAGGTAAAGTTTGTGAGTTTGTGACGTTGTAGGGGGTAATCTCTGGATCTATTGAACCGATTTAGATAAAATTAGGTAAGAAGATAGTTTGAGACCCTGGGAAGGACATAGAATACTTTTTATCCCTGAAAACATCCCTTAAGGGGGTGAAAAGGGGGATGAAAGTTTGTATGGGGAATCAATCATTTCTAAGGGATACAAAACTCTAAAAAAACTCTAAAAAATATATGAAAAGACAGAATTCCAAAGAATTAAAAACAGAAAAGAAAAATAAAAAACTAACAGAATAAAATGAAGGAAAAAATCTAAAAATATAGTTCAACAAGAAGTAAAAGTATGGACGAAGCCATGAGAAATGCTAGTTACTTACAAAATATTACTATATTATCTTGCCTCCAATTAGTATCTAATGGCAGCAGCGAGCGTCACTTTGTGGAGCACCACTATATTAATTGCAAATTATAATTAAAGGGTTTCAGGAAATATGTACATATATTGCTTAGGTTCGGTTAGGATATCACTTTGATTGCGTTCTCATGTTATCAGAGGCGGATCTTGAATTTGTGGGGCCCTGGGCTAATACTGCTTAGGGGCCCTACCTAATTACTCAACTAATTGCCATTTTGACAAGAAACTGTTTTCTGTAGTGATGTAGGTATATGTAATGTAATATATGTTAAGTACAGGAAGAAAATAGGAAAACAAAATATTTTATTTATTTATTAAAACATTATTTATTGCAAAATAAATTGACGGGTTATAAATGGTTATGTTAAATAAATTATAAAGCAACCTTTCTGCATTTTTGTGCTGCAAATTCTTTTATTTGGTCATCGCACTGTAGGTCCTTTGTTAAATCGCAATTTATCGAAAGAACTGATAAATGATTTAGTCGATAGTTCGACATTGTTGTCCTGTATTTGTTTTCTATATACGACATCCTGGAGAAAGAACGCTCCGCTTCACAGCTAGTGATCGGCATCGTTAAAAAAATCTTTAAGATAGTATAGCAGTTTGGGAAAACATCAACAAGTTTCTTTTCATAAATTAGCCAAAAAATTTCACTGCAAGAGGTGTAAGACTCTGTCTTAGATTGCAGTAAGTAAGATTTCAACTGAATGCACTCATTCACTAAATGTTCGTCTACGTCATTTGGATAATAATCAATAATATTACGTACACTTTCCAGATCTATGTGTTCTTGATTTTTGTCTTGCAAATCCATTAAAAATTTAAATTTTTTGCTATAGGTCTCATAGGCTTGGCTTCTATTATTTAAATCCATAATCATCTTATCCAACGCAACGTTAAGCGTGTCTCTTTTAAATTTTTCTGCGCAGTTCACTGAGACTTTATCTGTAGATTTATCTGAAAATTTCAAAGTAATGCGTCTCTTATTTATGTCACTGTAGTCTGTTCCCACACTAGTACTTAATTTTTTAGCTTTCTCTTCGTATTCCTTTAGCTTCTGATCTGATTGTTGCCTTATGTTTTTCACGAACTCTTTTAATGACACAATTAACTTATTGCCTTCACCAATGTCTAAACCAGGGCTCTGTACTTTTTTATGTAGTTATGTTATGTAGTTAACATTAAATCTCTCCAAAATTTCTTCCCAAAAAACAATCAAAATTGCAGTTTCTAGTTTCGCCAGTTTATTAAATAAATTTCGTGCCTCTTTTCGGAAATCAACTTTTTCATCGTCATTTTCGCCGAAACTATTGAGAATTTTCATAATGCCATCATAATTACTTTTCAAAGCTCTGACAGCATCAAAGTGACAAGACCATCTGGTCTGGCTTAAACTTTTTAACGTAAATTTTAGTTTTGTTTCACGATTTAACAGTTCCCACCTATGGGTCGAAGCAGAGAAGAAAACGTATATTTGTTGCACTATTCCAAAAAAATTTACAATTTCGGTTGCAACCTTCACGGATTCTTGACCAACTAGGTTAAGGGAATGCGCAGCACATGGCACGTAATCCGCGGATTTATTTTTTTCTTTTAGTAGTGCTTGTACACCATTGTAGACTCCGGCCATATTAGCAGCGTTGTCATATGACTGTCCCCTGCAATTATCCAGTAGTAGTCCATTTGTTTCCAAAAAGGCTTGTAGAATATTAAATAAATATAAGCCAGTATGACTACTAATTTTAATGAAAGATACACATCTTTCATACACTTTTCCCCGAAAACAGTATCGTAATACAATAGCAAGTTGGTCATCGTGAGACAGATCTGGGGTTGAATCCATCATAATTGAATAATACTTTGTGTCGTCGTTATTTATTTCAGTTATAATTTGTTTAATTATCTGTTTACCCATAATCTCAATTATTTCCTCATATACTGTTTTTGATAAATATGATATTACAGGGTTTGGTCGCAGCTCTCGTTGTTCAATATGTTCACGTATGAATGGGTCGAATTCTGCCAATAGCTCTAGAGCACCCATAAAATTACCATTATGTGGAGAACCAAATACTTCCTCGGAACCTCTAAGTGCTAAGCCTCTTATACTCAGAAATTTTAGCACTGCAATAACCCGTTTTAGGACATTGTGATAATATTCTGTTTCTTTATTTAATTGCTCCTGAAGCTGCTTGTCTAAAACAGACTTATTTTCTTTTCGTGTCAACCACACTAACATTGAATTCTTATGTTCATTAGAATTTTCGTGATTTTCTAAACAAAATCCTATGTGTTTCCAATCAGAAAATCCGGTTGTGTATTGAGAAGGAGTTTTAGAAAAAAGTTTGCAAGTCAAACAAAAAACAGTACCAACTCTTTTTGAATAACATAACCAAGATCTTTCCAGTAATTGGCCATTTTTCATTTTTCTAGTGAAATACCTATTTGAAAAAGATCTATTTTGTTCTTTATATTTCTTCATTGAAGCTGAATATATATTCTTCGGATCTTTATTTTGAAAGTCAGTCATTTCATGTGAGAGGACGAAATTAATAAAATCATTATTCAGCAAATCTGGCCACAAGCCCACGTCAACATATTTCTCAAACTCAAACTTAATATTTTCTAAATTTCTTTCCACCTCGGTATCGGTATTACCTCCCTTTTGCTGAACACCAATTTCATTTTCAGAGGAACCAGAGGGTTGCTGGAAGTCAAGATATTGCACATTTTCATCGTTGGTATTTTTTTTCTGGTTTTCAAAATCTTGCATATTTTCATCACTTGTATTTTTTCCTCGTTTTGCGATTTTTTGCTGCCATCGGTTAGATTCTCTTCGCATAAAATACCTTCCTTTACGTTTTTTAATGGATTTATAGCTATTTCATTCGCGTTTATATGTTCCGATTTAAAAAAAGTTTCAATTTTTGCGCATTTATTTCTTTCTTGTTCTCGACTAAACTGTAATTTTCTTTTTTCAGCTCCACTTTTATATTTTCTAGCAGACATATTGTAAAATAAGATATTTTTCTGAAAATAAACAAAGAACTGGATAGAACTTTTAATTTTAATACCTACTTTGTAATGAGTGTAGCAATTCACAAATTATAATTAAATATCGAACGAGTTTGATTCATTTAGTTTTGAAAACTGAAATAAAAAGTCATGTTTTATAATTCTTTTTACTTACCTACTGCCTATTAAAAGCAGGAAGTCTAGTTATGCTGAAGACTTTCAATTTTAGTAAATTAAAAGAAAGGTCCGGTCCTTATAACTTTTAAGTTATCTATTACTTAGTAAACTAAACACACGCACTAAACACATTTCTAACAATAACAAAGTCAATTCGTTAATATAGTCGACTATAGCAGAAGTGCGGAAAAATAACAAAATTGCGTCGGGCGATAAGCGGAGGGAAGTCCCCAGTAATAGACACTACTATACACGGAATACACCGACTGAAAACAAGCGACAGGGAATTCCCCGTTCCATTTGATAGATGCGCACTCGGGTTGATTGATCGCAGTGTTGCCAACCTCATGATCGGATTTTTTAAAATTCTAGATAATTTTTATTATTGACAATATCGTCTATTGGTTTCAGTTCGGTTGGGGGCCCTCTGTATTCGCGGGGCCCTGGGCTGCAGCCCAAAAAGCCTTTAAGTAGATCCGCCCCTGCATGTTATGCCATGATCATCTCCTTGGTCTTATCGGTCTAGTGGCTAGTATTGCAGATAGGTTCTGGGTTCGAGTCATGAGTCGGGCCGAATATAGTTTTTGGGATTTTCTTTTAAGAAATATAACTGAAACAGAGTTGGAAAGTTGGCGTTAGAAACCTTTGCCTCAGATAGCTAAAAAGGTTTAGTAATTCCAAAATTTATCCTTACAGAGCCGTGAGAAAATAAAATTAAAAATTCATAACTTTGAAATATAATTTTTTTTATCGTATACAAAACGGAAGAAGTTCTCAAGTCTGTTACCACACCACAAAAAACCACTGGAGGGATTTTGATGAAATTTGGTAGGGCGATAGCTGGTTATTCGGGTCAACATATAGGATACTTTTTACAACGGGAAAATATATCATTTCTGAGAAAAAATGCAAAAACTGCAATGTAAGAGTATACTAATATGTAAAACCTAAGAATTTGGTTTTTGGTTTCCGAACGCGGGCGGAGCCGCGGGCAATGCTAGTGTGACTAATTTTGAACTCTATGACGTGAAATCTAGAGCCAACCACTTTACATAGCGAAAATGAACGCGATGTCATTAAATTAATTACAGCGCAATTGAAATTTCAATTGAAACTAAAGTGACACCTTAATTTGCTATTAAAGCCCTTTTAGTGTTACCATATTGAACAGATTATGTAGAAGACTAATGACTTCTCATCGCTTAACTTGAGTGCGTCTTTGCTTGCTCTTAGCGTTCAAATTTAAAAAAAATATTGGTAGTGCCACCTTTTGGTAAATATTATTATTAATACCTATTAATAGTAATAGTAATATATATATATTACTTAAGGTCATCTGTCTGTGTATTTAATTTCATCCAAATCCGTTTAGCCATTTCAGCGTGAACGCGTAACAGATATACACATAAAAATCGCTTTTATAATAGCTTTTTATAATTCACCACCTTAAGGAATGATTTCCGGAATAAGAACTATCCTTTATAATCCTTCTCAGGGTCTCAAACTATCTTCTAACCAAATTTAATCTAAATCGGTTTAGTAGTTCTAGAGATTACTTCCTACAAAGAAACTCACTATAATATTAGTATTAGATTAGTGTTTCAATGGAGTTCATTTGATCAATATTAGACCTTACATCAAACGCAACTTACAAAGATTTGTTTCGTTATACACTCAAGTAGATACTTGTGCGGCTTGGACTAATAGAACACATTTTTTATTTCCTTCACGACCGCGGACACGCCGGCGTTATAGTTAACAATAGATATCTTAAAAATTTATTAATTTCTTAGAAATTTAATTTATTTTAAGGTGTTAAAGCTATATTAGCCTATAACACTCACGTTATCAAGACGAATCTAACGACGTATGAATCATCAAAATCTACCCACACGAGACCAATCTCTTGAATGCCATATTGGAACAAACATAAGACTGATAAACACATTACCCTCTTTACGTCGCGCAGTCGGATAAAAACCACTAGACCTACTTACACGTAGAAACTTTGGCAGTTTGACATGCAATTGACAAGTGACGTTCAATATGTCAATCTCACATGCTTTTACGATTGTTGTGGAATTATGAAGATGGGGTCAATCTGACCTGTCATTTATATGACACTAGCGGACCCGACAGACGTTGTCCTGTCTACACGTCTTTAATTTGAAATTTTCAAACTTTTTTTAATAATTTTTTTGATGAAAATTATTATTCAAATTGTGAATCTAAACCATTCTCAGATCCCCTTGAACACACACAAAAAATTTCATCAAAATCGGTCCAGTCGTTTGAGAGAAGTTCAGTGACATACACACTCACAGAAGAATTATATATATAAAAGATATACATACATATTTGTCAGTTCCCGTCTTATGTTACTATAGTCTGATTTTTAATTCGGGCATTTTAGCAAAATAAAAAAATAAACCTTTCTTGAATTTAATGTTTCAATTAGAAAAACTAAGACTTAAAAAAATATTGATAACCTAAAATGGTAATTATTTTTTTATTATCATATTATCGAAGTTAGAATAATTATTAAGGAACTTATTTTTCTATTACAGGAATCCCTGTCCAATAATACATAGGTTGCAAGCCTTTATTTAGGATAACCCCTTTGTCTGTAAAATCTTTGCAATTGGCAAAAGGTATTGGAAAGTTCCAAAAAGACAGGTCCACAACGATCGTTCACGATTTTTTATTATTGTTTTTGGCAAGAATGCATAAACCATATTATAAAAGAAAAGGATAAAATGTGTCCTCTTAATGATCTGATGGATAGCGAGTGTGATTCTTTTATAATCCGAGTGGATGATGACGACAAGGATGATATAAGTAATAATGATTAGTAAATATTTTCATTTCATATATTTTGTTTTAATCTGTTTTTTTTATTTAACCATTAAAAAATTTACATATATAGTTAGTGTGTATTGTATGCACAAAACAAAGACTATTTACAATGTCATACATATAGTTTACTTGATCTATTTCTGTTTCATATTTTTTGTTATACAAAGCAGAAAAGGTTTATGATATCTGATTTGTCAAAGAATGACAGCTGTCATATTTCCGTGGAATTAAAAATCAGACTTTAACGCCTTACCCTCGTTTCGCTCGGGTTCGTCCTTAGTTGCGTTTTAACGTTTAGTATAGATTTCTCAGACATGAGATATTTTGCCGCATTAAAAAGTATCCTATATGTTAACCCGGATAATCAGCTAAATACCAAATTTCATGAGAATCGGTTCAGTGGTTTTCTCGTGATGTGTTCCCAGACATATAGACGTGTGTCTGACAAAAAATCTAAAAACTATAGATTCAGCCTTCGTATGCATAATAATGACTATTTCAATAAGATTTTCCAAAAAATATTTAATTTACAGATTCGACTCAATTAGAATTTTATTATATGTGCTCAAAGTGTATGAAATTACTGATATAATTTTTAAATTAAAATTATAAAAATTATTATCCCACAAAGAAAAATATTACCCCTAATTCATTAAAGATGCCTCAATTTAACTGAAATAATGTTCCGCACGTCCGCACCGGAAGACAGTCAGACATAGACTGAGGGTAGCGGATGTGCCGCCATCTTGACTCCGGAAGCCGCTGCTCGTAATGAGCTCCTGTCTTTGAGTGTTTTGTTTTGCGATCTTTTGGTTTCGAAATTTTTCCTTTGATTTAGATACTTAAATCGAAATATTCGGAGATTTTAGGATTATGAAGAAAAATGAAGTCTCATTGTTATTTTATTTATTAACATCTTTTCCGTAAAACCCCGAGAGAATTCGATCGTCCAGATACTCTTTAGTTTAAGAGTTATTTTGATTTCGTGCATTATTTGTTAAAGAGTAATTACTTGACAAGCATGTTCACTGGATAAACATATATGAACGTGATGCCCGATAATTAACGGCCTATACACACTATATTTTATAAACGCGCCGAGACGCGCGTTTTCATTTCTTCGTATAAGACACCTCTCTGTCAAATTTTAATCATATATCTCTATAAGTCTCCGTGTAAAATAGCTGTAATAGACAAACATAACGAAATTATAAAGCTTCCGTTTTTGCTTGGAGGCTACGAAACTCTAAATATGCAGATACTTGCGTTCATATTGACACAAACGCGTCGACAACGCGTTAAAAACTCCTCGTGCGTATAGACCCTAAGGGATACGAAATGAAGCTATTAGTATGGTTTGAAGCATAAACAATGTTACTAGTTCCTGGTTAAAGCTGAGCAGTAATTAAATACGGTTGTTTCACTTAAATTATTGTTTAATAAAAGGTAAAATTTCATATTATTTAACTAAAATTATTTTAAACTCGATATCAATAGCTTGTTTGTATAATACTAGCGTTTTCCCGCGGCGCCGCATGTGTAGTTTAGTTATGTATTGATATATTTACAAAATCGGTTCAGTAGTTTTTGTGTGATAGAGCTTTTGCGTTTATAGTAAGTATAAGTAGACGCTTCAGCTTCCGATATGAATAGGCGTTTGATTTGACATAATTAAAGAATAAAACCTTTGGTATAATTATTAATTACAAAATTTAATTAAGTTTTTTATTTATGACGTTTATGATATTATATTACTAAAATAAATAGGAAAATTTTGCTATGTATACACACTGT